AAGAAAAATCAATTTTTTTGAAGTTACTAGAATATCTTCTTAAAAGTACAGACAGATAATGAAATCCATTTTAATTTTGATTTTATTTTAAACATACTAAATTGTTATTTATAATTATGCAAACATATTTAATGTTGTATATAAAATATTTGTATAAAGACTCTTACAATAAAAAAAATACAATCCAATCAAAGTTTTATCAGAGAAAATTAGAGTTAAATTCCAAATTAGTTGTTTGTATTTACTAGAAATAAACTGAATAACTTCGTGTCTATAATGATTATCAACACTGTTAGATAAACTATTTAAAGTTATTTTAGAGTGTTGCTTCATCTTTATATTTTATCATTAAAAATTAAATTGCAAATATGTTATGACATACGGACATGATAAAAGAAACTTTAAATATGAAGAGAGAAGGCATTTAAACATTGTTTACAATGAGACTTAAGATTTACGATTTAAGGAAATTGATTAATCGATTATTCGTCGATAATAGTCGATTATTCATGTGAGAAAAATAATCGATTGTGATTGGTCACTTTTATTAAATCTTAAGTCTTAAATCTTACTGTAGGCGCCGCTTTATTTATAATGTAAAAATTTTTCATACTTTTAATTTTACAATAATTCCATATTTAATATTATACCATGACAATGTTGCTAATTAAATTTAAAATAGAAATAATATGAAATAAGTTTTAAAAAATACGGATTAAACATTGAACGAAATAAAAAGATAAATAGATGAACATAAACTAGTATTTTCATACGTCAATTAAGAAATAATCGTTAGTATTTCAAACTGGTTATCGGATTGCTCTTAATACCAGTTATTGGATCAATTTAGTTTGTCGCATGACAAGTTTACGGGATGTGGATTGACTATATCAAGCAGAAAATTTCTGCGTGAAAACATCTTAACTGTTTCAACTGTGATTACTTATTGATAACCATTAGAAAGTAAAGAAAATAAAAATGCTTATCTCTATACTAGATATCGATAAATGTTTGGATAATTGTAGGATGAACGTCATAGATATACATCGATCAAATACAGTTTCAATCGCACACTATATGTATAGATTATTAGATCCACATTAAGCAAATGCGTATTATCGTGTTTGCTTGCTTATTTCGCCATAAAAATAATTGAACGTAATAGATTGACAGAAATGTTTGATCTGATTAATGCATGTTACAACGGCATTAAAATATGCAAAGCTATTTCAAGGATTGAGAATTAAATAATTAAATACTTGCTGAATTATATTTATCTATTAATTCATATAATGAAAACCATAACATTTTAGTAAAAATATTAATACATTTATTTATCGTTTATACAAGATAAAATGCAAAATAATGCAGTAAAATTATGTTTATATTTCACAAACGTTCGAAGAACATTAATTAATAGTCTTCATCAAAAATCGTACTAGCTTTTTTCCCGAGCTTATAATTTTTATTGTTAAAAATTGAAATATAATACTAAGTACGTAAATTATAGTTTTTTCATGCTTATAATTTTATTGTTAAAAATGAAATACAATATAATAATAATAATGAAAAATATAAATTTTTTTATTTATTTATATTTTATATTATTTTATACTACATTTATTTTTTAACGACAAAAATTATAAGAACACACACACAAAATATACAGGGTTCTTCAAAAGTATGGAAACGGTCCAATAACTCGCAAGAATGCATTTTGTAAAGAAAATGTTAGAGGGGAAGTTGTTGGGTTTCAAAAAACCCTTATCTGAAGATTAAGGCCCATTTAGGCTCGGGAGTTATTTGATCGTTTTCATACTATTGAAGAATGAGGGTACATATCTACATATTTTAAAATCTTATTGATATTAAGATAATTCTCAATAATTCTCATAATTGAGAAAATTCAAAAATTCAAAAATATATAATCAACTGTTTTTAAGCTTTACAACACTTATAACAAATACAAATTTCTTTTTGTAAAGATAATTTTGTATAAAATATTAAATACGAAATATATATATATTTTACTTTCCTAACAGGATGTTTTTCGATTCGTAGTGTAAATTATATCTCCTTTTAAAAGAAAAATAAATTAAATAAATTAAATAAATTAAAAGAAAAATAAAAATTAGTTTTTTTATTGCGGTGACATCTTATTCCATGAGGTCGATTCATAATCGCTGCCAAATTCCGAATTCAATTCGGGACCTTTGTCTTCTCGATTTTTCGTTCCAATTCTTACCTTTTTTAAAAGTTGAGGCGTAATGTTACTTGTAAAAACTAAATTTACTAAAAAGCCTAGAGAAATTAGGTATAATATTGACATCGGTGAAAAGCGTTATCTCAAATTCAATGTCAAAAGCGTTTTTAGTACATGAACACAAGTCAAATGCTTGAGAAATATACGTCCAATTTTGAACAGTTTTGAAATTAAGAGATATGAAGTTGCTTTGCACATTTTTTTTTAAGGATGAATGAATGATCTAAAAAGATCTAGTTAAGATACCAGAATGAGATTCAAGAATCAGAACAATTATGGCAACTGATACTTAATGCTGCCGATGTTATCCGCAAAACATTTTAAACGTTTAAAAAAAAACAATTTATTTGAAATCAATATTGAAAATAATATCAACTGATCTCTAATTATGAATTGATTAACTCGTTGAATCTCTTTAATTTCAAGTGTTTTAATTAAATAAATTTTAAGAATTATATGTGAATAAATATCGAAGATAAACACATTTTGCGTGAATATAAATATGTACGAATAAACAAAAAAGGGCCTTAAGAAGAAAATCGATCGAGGAATTCGAAGTCGATGGAGGAATTGTTCAGCACCTTTTGTAAAGAATTAAGCAACATTTACTTCAATTTAGATTTTTTTACAAAAGCAACAATAATTAGAAATCCATAAAATCAATAAATACCTCGTTCATCGAAATTAGATATATGCAGATTAAGCATTATTGTCTTCATGTGCTAAAGCTGTAGCAATTTTGACACTGAGTTCAGAGACACCCTGTATATAAATATTTCTTTACTGCAATAACTCTTCTTATTTAAAAATAAAAATCTAAACGTCACGTGCGAAAAGCAATGTAGAATAAAACACCTTCCTATAATTTTTTTCCTCCTTTTTCAGTTTGTTATTTTAAATTTAATAGTCAATTGATTTATATTAAACAATTTACATCTTATCGTCAAACAATTTTGTTCGATAGCTTCAGATATTCACACTCACCTTGTCTTTCTCGCTTCTCAATTATCTAAACAAATCCGCGTGCTTGAGTTATGTGCTGGACTACGAGCCACCGCGATCACTCTGTACCGTGCGACAGTTCTTGCTGTACTGACCAAGAATTCAGTCGACCTATGTCGATCGTGCTATGAATCGTACATAAGCTGACGTCTGAAGTATACGAAATACGTCTTTAGCTTTACGCATCGAGGCAAAATCGAATTAAAAAAATTGAAACCGGTCTGTCCAACCAATAATATTATAGGAATTGTAAAAAACTGAAAAAGTAGAAAAAGCATTAATAGGAGAGAATTGTTGTTATGATTAAATTAAATAACACTAGATTTGTAATAGAAATCACATTTTCGGTAATTTTCATGCATTTTCATAGAGTGCGTGTATCATTTAATTTTGTGCTATTTAATTTTTACATTTACATTACAGATTTTTCTTGCTTAATTGGTTTCATTTTTTTAGCTCTGCGTGCAGCTATGTAAAATATCACGAATTAAAACAAAATTTAAATTTTTTAAAATCATCTGGTTTTATTATCATAATTTTAATAAAAAATTATTATGTATATTATTATACACATAATAAAAACTATATATATATATATATATATATATATGGCATATGTATAAACATATTGATTAACTATTTTCATAAATCACAATTTATGAAAACAATTTATTAATCAATTTGCTTACTGAGCAAATATAAATCATAAACTTATATCCAGCGAGAAATGTTTAACTGATGTCGAATCGACATCGAATTGACGATTGATTATTTTTTCATTATAATTTATGAATTGTAATTAAAATTTTAATTTATATCGATATCAATGTCTTGATCATTACAAAGTTTTTAAAAAACCATTAAAAAAACATTAATTAGTATCAATGTAAAATAATATCATATATGTAAGTATAAAGTGATCTATTAAAAGAATCAATAAGAAAATTCGATCGGTACTTATAATTATAATTCGATAAAATGAATTCTATTTGTTAATATAGAAACATTCTCGTAATTATATAGAATGTCTTAAATTTACAATAATACCTTAAAGATAGACTCGGTCGTGAGATCATTTTGAGATGAAATTTCTAAAATTAAAATGTCGAGGTTGTAATAATTTTATCGTATAACGAAATAATTTTTAAGTGAAAAATATACATTTAAGTCGGCCAATAAAATTGTCTGAAATTCGTGCGCTTATAAAACATGACGTATTGCATAGGATAGAAAATAATTTTTATTCTTTTTTTATATCAAATAAAAACAGCTTCAACTTAGTTTTTTGATGCAAATGCATAATCACAATGATAATAATAATGATAATAGACGTGATCGTCCATTATCATTATCATTATCTTAATCGTCTACGAATATTAGTGATAAATTAACATATCCAAATATGCTTTGTTTTCGAGTTATAGTCATATTTGTATTCCAATAATATATGCAACTGCTAATCTTTATAACAAAATAATCATCTTCGATCTGAAGCAAGCAGCTATTGTCCCGCCGTCCAATATACAAATAAAAATCTAATGAATCTAAGTCTAGGAAACGCGCAGGCCAGCCAGAAATAGATTCTGTATGATCTATCCATTTGTTAAGAAAGCATTTATTGAAAAAATTGCTGCCAAAAAATCTGACAAACATTTAGTATTTGTGCGATACGGTGTGATCGTATGCTTGTATTCAGGGCGATGGTATAGTTATTTTGAGTATTGCACCTCACATGTAAAAGTAAATAGGTCTTTATTACTAGAATACAAATACTGTTGCTGAATTTTATTATAAATAGAATGTTTATTATTCATGATTGTTGCATATCAAAAGGTAAATCAGACAGTTTCTTATGAAATTAGTTAACAGAATACAATATGAGTTCGTAGTGTATATTATTGGGAACCCGTTGAGAACAGTGCTAAGAATGCGCTGGTAGCACCTACGGAAAGTATATAATTTACTGCAGGCGTGAATGTTTTTAAAATGTAAAACGAAGATATGATGACGAATGCCAGGAAAAGGGCGTTATTGTAGAAGATTGAGAATGTCGTTGCTTCATAATCCGCCACTTCATTCTTCTTCCACAAGATCCTAGATGTTTAAACATAATATAAATTAATATTTTCCAGAAGGTATAATACATTCTTATAAAGTAATCAACTGTGAAATGATTGCCTAGGAGATACATGGCACTTAAGACGATGCTTGAACGACGACCGAACTCCATAATATCGTTTTACCGACGATTTGTACATATGTGTGTGTGCGATATTGATGTTGTACTGCATAGATGTTACGCCTGATTTGGGTTAATGTTAATGTCTACTATTACATCAATGTTGTGTACAGAGGTACAAATGATATTTTCAAATCAGCCGTTCATTTATACCAAGGGGGGATTGAGGGGTTCAAATTTCCCCCCAAATTTTTACTTATGTTTTTAGTTTAACAAAACCAAATATTTTTTATAAAAGTTATAATATTTGATGATATTTATGTAAAATAATAATAAAATTAAAGCAAAATAAAGCTATTCATTAATGAAAACAATTGCTATTTATGCAAGTTAATAGGATTGATACTCCCCCTCCCCCAAAAAAAATCCTGGATACCCATGTCTTATACTAAAGTATCTAGGTTCATCAGTAAAGCACAGTACTATTCTTTCATGTTTCCGACTGTGACTACTACTTGTTTTTACACGTACAAAGTCTAAAACTTTCATGTTGTCACAATTAGTCGACTGCAGAAGCTGATAATTTTTTCTTTTTTTTTTTTTTCGTTTTTAATCTCAAATTGTAGTAGCCGCAGTCCGTTATCGTCACTTTAATTCTGAAAAAGGATTTATAATTCTATGGAATCAATAAAAAGATCTGCTGATCCAAAAATACTCGCGTTCAATCAGTAAAACAGACACGTGTTCAGCATCGCCTTGAATGATTGATCAAACAATATTTTTGTGTTTCAAAAGATCTATAACATTACCTTTCGTCCTTTTCTTTCTTGCTCATTTTCTTGTCTTCTGCAAGTTTGCGACTTATCTCCTTAGTTACAGCATCTTCCCTTTTTACAGCAATCTATATAACATATACAAAATTAAATTATATTCTCATCATTCTCATCATCTCTTCTAAAGATTATTCAACAAGTTTTCAATAAATTTCAAAATGAAAATCAGAAACTAGACAATTTACAACTTTGTTGTAAATTGCATTAAAAATGATTTATTTATTTTAATAAGTATTTCTATAGCGATTTGGTAGAAAAATATCTTCTAACTTCACGTACATTAAAAAAATATTTATCAACATACCTTATGTTTGAGGATGAACTTTGTGTTTTTATATGCCAAGGCAAGAGCATATGTGCTCACTAATGTAACCAGTACAAAAAAGATCAAGTTAGAATATAGATCGATCAAATGTATTCTCCAAAACAACCCTGTAAAAAAACAAAATATAATTAATAAAAAGTAGGGATTTCATATATTTATTTTGTAACAGATATTAAATATTAAATCTATATAAACAAAGATATATTGGGAATATTATATATTATATCTATTATTAAAATTAGACTAAGATTTAAAAAATATTTATCAATGAATAAAATCAAATTCTGATTTAATGTTCCAATTTAATGTTTCATTTAAATCTAAATGTAAACATTTTTAGAAGAACACAAATCTATTGTTTTCTTCATAGAAATCAGGAACATCCCTCTATCGAAATAATTATACAGAAAAATCTATCTGCGCTATGCATTTTCCATATACTAAATAAACTCATTCAAACACATAATCAAACATAATGTACAACAAATGTTGTATTCAAAATCATATAAGAATCTATTGTAACATCTGTCTGCTATACAATATTTATCAAGTTCTAAGACATAACTATTTAATCTCAGATCTTTACATCTTAAATCAAAGAATAAATCAGACCATCGTGAAATTTTGCGCAACGAGAATCCAATTGCATAATTCAACAGAGAAAAAAAAAATTGTTGAAAGGAGTATTTCGTGACTCCTGACAGGTTTCTGCACTCACAAATGGGTATCGCCGAAACGATGAAGGCATTGCCGTAGAACAGTGCCGAGGATTTCGTCGACACATTCCTGGAGAAGTCCTGCAGCAGCAGCTCCTCCTCTTTGGTAAATGCCTTAGACTTTCCCGACATTTTTCAGTAAGCCGACAGCGAGACGAAGGTAACCGGACGACGACCGTTCAGCCACCACGAGGATTGTGACTTGGTCGGAGTCGTCGGAGGAGGCAGAAACAAATGCGTACGCATGCGTAAGAGGCGTCGGTGTGTGGAGACGTGTGGTGACGTGTCTCTCTCATCGTCATACGTCGTCGATATCGATCGAGACGCGAGTCCCGCTCTCTGCGGACAACCTGCCGTAAACTTCGCACCAGAGATTCGTGATTGTAAGTACGTCAGGAATTCAATTTACCGGCCTGTCTAATTTTAAATAATTGTTTTTTTTTAATCTCTTCGCCGATGCACATCTGAGAACTTTGAAAATGAAGCGAAGACACACGATGCATTCATTTCTATCCTATTTGGCATCTATTATTATTTCCGACGAGCGCGATTCGCTGCAGCCAATTCCGCGGGATGACAGCGCTAGCCTGGAGAGTCTCTGGTGTAGCGTGACACTAGTGTAACATTCTCAGTGCCATTGCTGTCAGTGTCGCTTCCTGGTTCCTGACGGATCGACAGCAGCGGTTGGTGCGTTAGTCTCGAAGACTTTCCGAAAGTTTCGATTAAATTGTCAGTGTGTTATGACACGCGTACTGCCGATGCGTCTGGCGTAAGAAAAAAAAAAAAAAAACCCACCACGACATCGCGAGGTCCACACTGGGACATGGAGGCTGAGAACGAGGAGATGCCCCTGACGCAGCCCGTGACGGACGCGTCAACGCCAACCGAGAATCATAACCACAACAAGGTTCGCAGGCGGAACGTGCCCGAGCAGTCGGCGAGCCTCGCGGACGGCTGGGTGACGAGTGACTCGCGCGACCGCGTGGTGCCCCTCCTGCCCGACTCCACGAAAGCGTGGCACGGCGGCGTCGTGCCGCAGATACCGGACGACGTGGCCGCCGCGACGGACAAGCAGCGGAACGGCGTGCTGTCTCGCGAGGACGACCGCGGCGCGACGGACGTCCCCACGAGTCGCGAGAGGATGAAGGTCAGCGTCATCCGCGGCAGCGTCGCCAATCCGGATCTCACGTTAGGAGAGCTGAGGCTACTCGGCTGCAGTAGCGAGGGCTTCGTTAATGGTACTTTGCCCAGGTGACGATACGATTATGATCAACAAGGAACCTGATACGATTAATTTCGCTCTTTGGGATTTCGCCCCAAGAGAGAATTTCACGGGTTTTTTCCGCGTCCTCCGCGATTGCGGTTGTCGATGCAGCATTTCCGGATGCACGGACGGATATCTTCAGAATTTGCTTGATATATCGCTTGTACACAAACTGGTTCCTTTTTGAGAATAATCTCGTTCTCTGTTATCAAGTCTTGAAATCATGAGGGTGATCTGTAGATGATATACGAAGGGTACTGTGGCCGAAACTTTTGCGACTGGCACAATTGGAGCTCGCGCCTGTTGGCGGACTGGAAGATGTACATACTTACGTACCGAACGAGATTTATCAGCAGATACTGAAGGATGTGGCGCGTAGCGGTAGCCACATGTCGCAGGGCGCGACGGAAAAGGAGACGGAAAATTTTCAAGAGGAGTTGACTCGGCTTATGTGCTGGGTACTTCATAGACATTCCGACTTAAAGTTAGTATATTTAAACGTTAATGGAATGCTAAAGTTTATACGATAAATTTATATAAATATATAAAACTCGTGTCTTGCTGCGGTACAAAGTAAAATAATGAATACTTAGTTACTACCAGGGATACAATGATGTGGCAGCAACTGTGCTACTTGTGATGGGATTACAAGCAGGCTTGTACGTGCTTGAGAGTATCTCGCTAGAATTCCTGGAAAGATTCATGGAAAAGACTATGGAAAAAGTGAATCAAGAGTTATTCTTCATATTTGCGTTACTAGAAAGAGTACACCCTACGCTCTTGGAACATTTAGAAAAGTTAGTTCTCTCTTATACTTATTGGAACATAAGATGTTAGATTTTTTAATTATTTTAAATTTTTTCTCCAACTAAACATTTCTATTATATTCTACATAAAATTATATAATGCTATTCTACATAAATTATCTCAAAGTTTTATATTTTTTTATTTTGATTACATTCTTAGACACTTGCTGATATTAATAATCTCGTTACTAATAACAGAATTTTACTCTTTTTTTACTTTAGTGTAGAACTGTTTCCACACTTCGCTTTGGCTGAATACACAACATGGTATGCACACAAATTCGCGGAAAACCGAAAATTGTTGCACAGGTTATTTGACTTTTTCCTGGGTAGTCCCCCGCTCATGCCTCTCTACTTAAGTACGGTAATTGTTGCACATAGAGCTACAGAAATTTTCAATACTACGCCTGACATGGGGCACACACATAAGGTGTTATGTACGGTGAGTATAATCGAGGAAATTGTTGACTCCGAAGAAACGCGAAAGAAAGACAATAGAATCATTTCTGATTTACGTTTTCAGTTACCTGACGACTTGCCATTTGAAACCCTCTTGGTAGAAGCGAAGAACCTGTATCGACAATACCCTCCTGAATCTATCAGTAACGACGTCGTGGATTACGATCACAAGAGAAAAATTAAGGAGCAAGAATGGAAGGCAAAGGCGGAAGCGGGCCGTCAAGAGAGAGAAAGACAACGAAAATTAAAAGTTGTCCAGTCAACGCCGAGGATATCTTATCGTATCAGAAGTTACAAAACCATTACCGTTGTGACGATTTTAGCTTTGGGAATATATGCTTTTATAAGATCCTCAACGGGGCTTAACTGACATTAGGAGATATTATTTGTTGTAAGCAAATTAGAATTTTTATATATATTTTCTAAAGCAGAAGCCCTCCACTTCTTTGATATGTCGCTGAGATTTTGAACAAGGATTAAAAAGTGTAAGATTGTGTAAAAGCAAGCACCAAAGAAATGAAGGAGCAAGGAGCATGTGTTGCTAGGAATAACTGAAAGATTTGGTTGTCAGTATTTGAGCAAATCTGTTTCTAGGATACATGAGTCAGAATTTTGTGCATTCCTACGCTGCCTTTATGCTGTGTTCTGGAGGCTGACCTGAACTCTTTATTATATGTTAAAAAAAAAAAGAATTATAAACATATGAAAATTTTTAGTAAAAAAGCAACAATTTCAAATATTCAGAATTGCTAAAAGTTCGGACCTAAATGGGATATCTAATAAATTGTACATAAGACGTAAAAAAGTTTCGTATATAATACACATACATATAAATATATATTGATTATAATTACGTTGTTATGATCTGTGATTAGAAAAAATTTTATCTAATTACATTTGCGAAGAAAAATTATAATAGTTAATCATTATATGATTAATAATAAAAACATTTTATTTTTTAACAACATTCATTTATTATCATCTTTGTTCACGAGTTTTCTTTACAAGTTCTTTATACAGTTTATATTATATACCGTTTTATCTTAGAAATATATATATATATATATATATAATTATGTATCGTCTAATTTATCAGATTTGATGGCATTAGATATCAAAGGAATACTAGGATATCGTTTACATTTTATGTAAGATATTTATTTTTCACCATTTTATACACGAATGTAATTTTGTAGAAACTTTAATGCGCTCTGATAAATGTTTATTATAAGTCTATATATTTACGGATTTATTTATGCCAAAAGAGATACAAGCTATCTGTGGATACTACTAAGAAAATCTTAAAGTTGTAAACATTTTAAAAATTTAACGTTCGTTGATATTTAAGGGAATGCTTTTTACATTAAATTTCTTAAGTATTAAATATTATTCTACATTGTCATGAGTGTTTATTGCAATCAGTGTAAATATAACATTGGTACATATTTATAATACATTCAATTTGTGACTAGTAGACTATGAAACTCGGGATTTCATTGTTACTCTAATTGTGCTGCATCAGCCACTAAAAAATACGTTACTATACAATACAGAAACACTATATATATAGGATATTATTATTACTATGTATCGCTAGTCATGTTAACCTGATCACTCTTTGTTTCATGTGAGATCATGCAAGGTAAAAATTGATAATATATACTGCATATAAAAATATACGCGTAAGGAGGAGATAAAGTATTATATTTATAGGATGAGAGCATAGCCAGTTAATGAGTGGAAGTATTGACATTTAGAAAAAATGTTTTTTGTAAAACTGCACCACTTTACAATATTCCCAATTGATATTTGCTGGTATGTTAATGTAATGATATATTTTAATGAACAATGTAGTTAATAAAAATATATTTTCAATTACACATTGTGGTATTCTTTTTATTAATAAATTATTAAGAATATATATCGATGAAATTACTTGGTTAAATTACTTCGTGGAATCTTAATTTAATATCTTGTTAAAATTATTTTATATTGCATTTTGGATATTAATTTATATAAAGAATATCAAAGTAAAAAATGATAAAAGAATTCGATTAGCTAATCTATTACATTCTTTTGCTTCTCATTTAGTTTAGCAATAAAAATCATATTACACTTTTAAAACTGACTTAATATACGCTAAAATGTCATGATTTCTCAAGATCTCGGTGTGATCCACTCCGGGAAAACCTTGATTGTAAATTTTTTGTTTCTGCGATTGCTGCCAACGTGTACACGCTTCCAAACTCCTTATATTAACCGTTCCATCGCCATCTCCAACAATTAATTGAGGATAACCATTTACACTTGTACCTGGCTTATAATACAACCTGCACAAAAATAAAGGCGAATTTTAAACGACCTCTCTTATCAAAAATCTGTGTGAATAATTATCTAAATTTTTTAACGAAATAATATATGTACAGATATACTAACTTTTCTACAGTGTCTACTTTGCTGCCGTATAAGCAATGTACTTCAACACCAGGTGCTGAAAAATCCAACTGGTATTTTTCATTGTCTTTCCTGAACTCCCAAGCGTTAGGAACGTCTATGTCTCTGTAAATGAAAATCTTTCTAAAAATATTTTCTTGAGAAATACAGGTATAATATTTATCTAAATAATCTGTCGTACATAAAATATTGTTGTAAATCATTCAACGTGTAGTTTTTCTTATCCGACTGCACCAAAATCTCTGTATCTTTCCAAAATAGTTTCGAGGGTAACAGCCATCCGAGACTTGGACTCGTTATCTGTTCGTTTCTTAGTACACTCTCACGAAGAAAATATGCGCCCAAGTCATCGCCTGTATTAGACGTAAAAAGTAAAGCAATGTACTTTGTAAGGTAATAAGTGAGGAAATACCGAGATAATAGTAATTGGAAAATTTTACTGCTTTTCCTTAAAGTTATCTGACAACTTATCAGCAATTTGTTCAACAATAATCACTTATTGATAAGTATAACGAAACAGGAAACAATTGTACAGATAAGATCGGTATGCTTACCGATGGCAAATACTTTGACAGCCTTGATGGATCCTGCCCATACAGCGCTAAGTGTGATCAGGGAATTTACATATTTGTCCTTCCACTTTTGAGTCTGACGTTGTAACATTATGAGACTCATAGGTCCGCCCATGCTGTGAGCTAGCAGCGTCACTGGCGTATTGTTATTCATTACGTACGTTTCCTCGACCAGCTCTTTCAGCTTGGCAAAGAACTCCTCGCTTTCACCTGAAGTTCAAGGTCTTTATCTCGGTAAATTTGTAGTGTAATCAAGTAAATATATACATGCAAAAATCTGGTCAGAGTGCCTGTACGAAGCAATTTAGTATAATATCGAATTCTTTCTACATACTAGGTCCCTTCCTGAAGTCGTAAGGCGCGCCGCGCAGCGACAAGTTCCTGATGTATCCCAGCTCGTTTACCAACATGTTTCCGATGTCCTTGAAATACGAGCCTGGCGAGGCCCTGCTGGGATCTATGTACTCGACTACAAACGGATCGCCCCATCCCGGTATCTGTATGTCCACTCCAGGCTGATCGCTGGTAGTTCTCGTCACATTGTCGTAATTCAATTTAAGATTATCGATCTGCAAAGGTAGGGATTCGAAATGTATACCTTCAAATTATTCGGCGGGAAAGAGCGAGGGTACTTGTTACTGTGCGTGACAGGATGAAATCGAGCGTACAAAGCAGTCTATCACGACGGGTACGAGCAGTTCCATGTTGAGCCATAAGTTAAAGTAATCGTCGGATATTTTCGCGCAGATATAATGCACCACCGACGACTTGTTAATCTTCGCGTTGACCTGGCTGCCGCCATCACCTGGAACTGGAAATATCATTTTCCTTCGTTAGTGGAAATTGCGCTCTTCGCGCAATCGCACCCGATTACAAGTCGATTATGTCTCCGAGGTTCTACGACATTACGATAAGGTAATCATACAAAGAGGCACTTCAGAACCGTTTCGAGGCCTAAAGTGCAGGGAGAAAGAGAGAGAGAGAGAGAGGTCAGGGTCAACTTTCGGTGAGCAAAACGCTTTCGAAAGCAAGAGTCAAGACGTTCTTTCATTTCCCTTTAATTTAATGACTCACCCAAAATAACTGGCGATATCTGTTTCGTCTTGACGTGCCAGGATCCGGCCGGTCGCGCGGCGAGGGAGAGAACGATTATCGCGCTCAGGAGAGCCGCCAGGCGCATTGTTCGTCGCGGCTGCGATTTTTAAAACGGATTACTCGCGGCGAGGAAACACACGGTTTACTTACTCCGGAGAATCAAACACCTCGCGGTCAAAATCTGTGCCCCTACACTCGACGAACGACTCCTCCTCCGAGCGTGGACCGTTCTCGTGGACCTGACGAACGAAATAAACACACGCTCGTGGCTGCGTTGTTTGTATAACTACATAGTACGTATACATACCGCTCATACCAATTGCAGTAATCAGCTGATATGACGTCACTCGCGCACATGCGCCGGAAGTAGGAGGGGAGCACTCGCGATCAACGACGGCCAATCGGAGTCATCGGAGTGACGGATGAGGACAAAAAGTATTGTTGTAGTAAATAGTTGTTTCATCGGCACGCTTTCGTAAACGACTGCCTGACCAATCGGTCATCGCGTCTTCCTGCATTTGCATATTTGAAAAACATATGTTATCAAACGGGTTTATTTAAATTATCGATAAGCACGAGTTTATGAATATTGACGTTGAGAGAGAGAGAGATTAGATTAGAAGAGAGAGAGAGAGAGAAAACACATGAATTCCATGAATTTCATCATGTTCCAATTACATGCATTACGTACAGACGTAATAAATAGACTTAATTAGTTTTAGTTTAGCTTATTCTTCTCTTTTTGAGAATTCGAATGTATTTACGATATATTATACATATATGCTTCGTTTCGTTTATGTCAAACAAAACGAAAAAAGTGCATAAGAATGCATGCTGCAGGTGAGACAAACAAAGTTATTATGGACAGATTATACTTCTATTCTATTGCCGATTTCGCAAGTGTCAATCGGTCACGATCGAAGATAAACAATTCCGAGTACAAAACATAAAAAATATATGATTCATTTTTTAAGTCGTATGACGTCTTGAATTGCGAAAGACTCGCATATAATGTACGTCTTGTTTTTTAATCGTTTCGCACTGTTTCGCACGCAATATATTTTCCATCCTCGCATCTATCCTAAGCTCATATCTCTGTTATTTAAAACGCGTCTTTTTTTTTTTAACGATACGTGACAAACACGTGTTTTTTCCATTTATCGTAAATCTACACGTGTCATTCAAATCACGGCAAATTGCGGTGTCTGGCATTAATTTTAATTAATGAAAGTACATAACGATAAAATCGCGCAGTAAAATTCAATTTCTCTATTTTCCACGCCGCTCATCACCGACGTCCCGTCCCGTCCCGTCGTCGTCGTCGTCGTCGTCGGTGATCGAACGCGTTGTTGGATCGATCGACGTACGGTGCTTAGCACGGATCGTCACCGCGGACACAGACACCCCCGCCGACGGCGCCGACGAGCGAGTCGATCGCAGGAGCGAGAGAACGCGCGGCAGGGAAGCGCCAGTACGGCGACGTCGCGTCGCGTCACGCTCGGGAGGATCCATTGCGTTGGACCGGACCGGACGAGAAGCGAGAGAGCCGAGCCGAGCTTTTTTAACCCTCGTTTCCACCCCTGCCCCTCTCGCGGCGGTTCTCGAGAGCGTCGAGAGGATGGCCGACATCAAGCAGGACCACAAGGGCGAGGATGTCGACAGCTACGGGATGGGCAACAACGCCGACCCGAAGAACATGCAGGAGCTGACGCAATACGTGAGTCCGCGTATTTACGCACGGGACGACGGTGACGCGTCCGGGGATGACGATCCGTCGCGAAGCGACCCTGACGCTACGTTGACTCCTTTGCAGGTGCAAACGCTGCTGCAGAACATGCAGGACAAGTTTCAAACCATGTCCGACCAGATCATAGGAAGAAATATCCTTTTTCTCGCACTTAACCTAGAAAAAGAAAAACGGTGCTGCTGTACTGTGTTGAAGCGGCATTTGGGAACCTATCTGTTGTGTTGACACTTTGTCCTAGAGTAACTGCAAGTTGTCTACGTTAGTACGTGTCAGATTTTTTTTGCTATATGGCTACATGTAACGTAGTTCTCTTTCTGAACGTAAGTAAAAAAAAGCATGCTGTACGCATGCTACGCTTTATTCAATTGTTTTAATTTATATTGGAGATGTTACTGCATGCCAACATATATATATATTTATTTGTAATATTAATCATGGTGTAAGAAACAATAATAGAAACACCATATCATGGTGTTTTCTTACACCATGATATTAATATTGTTGCTTTCTGTTGATATTTGATTTTCAATAATTTCGAAGGAAATTTTGTATTTGGAATTTTATATGCTTTTATAATCCAACTAATCGTTAGTGCTGCAAGAAATTAAAATCCTTATTCATACCTTACCTTTATCAATGAAAATGCGATCATTTATTTTTGAGATTTTATTATGTGAACTATATATGCTAGATGTGCATATAAAGGTGTGTTTATCAATAAAAGTGAGATATGAATATGGACCTAAATGTATGTGCCATTTATATATAAATATCTAATCCTGAGCTATATTTATTTTTTTTAACTGTGTGCATGTTACGTTTTATTCAATTGATAATTTAATTGGAGATGTCACTGCAAGCCAACATGTATATTTATTTGTAATATTAATACTGTTGCTTTTTGTTGATATTTGGTTTCAATAATTTTGAAGGAAATTTTGTGTTTAGAATTTTATATGCTTTTATAATCCAACTAATCATTAGTGCTACAAGAAATTAAAATCCTTATTCATACCTTACTTTTACCAATGAAAATGCGATTATTTATTTTGGAGATTTTATTATAGTTATGTGATCTATATGCTAGATGCGTATTTAAAGGCGCATTTATCAGTAAAAGTGAGTGTATGAATACGGACCTAAATGTGCCATTTACATGTAAATATCTAATCCTGAGCTATATTTATTTTTTTAACTGTATGCATGTTACGCTTTATTCAATTGTTAATTTAATTGGAGATGTTTATACAAGCCAATATATTTATTTGCAATATTAATGTTGTTGCTACAAAGATACAATTGCCATAAGATCCTTAATAAGAAATACTAGATGAAATGGGTAACAGAATAGACGACTTGGAAAAGAATATCGCGGACCTAATGACGCAAGCCGGAGTCGAAGGAGGTGATAAATAAGCTCATTCTTTCCTCAAATGCACTGAACTATGAGTAACGACTTATCTAAAGTATAGCCATACTTATTGTCATGGAAAAAAAAAATGTATACCGATAGTGAAATACCCATCCTTTTGTTACATTACAAAAAATAAACTTACACTTTTTTAGAAACATTTTTCGATGTTATTTAAAACAATTCTTTTGTTACAGCTGATTAAGATAACGACTAATGGATCAATTCTAAGCAGAATCGTAAGGCCCGTAATTTGTTTCCGTAAAACTTGTAAGAATTTATGACTGAATGCTTATAACGACTAATGGATGAATTCCAAGCAGAATCATAAGGCTCACAATTTGTTTTCGTAAAACTTGTAAGAATTTATGACTGAATACTTATAACTTTATAGCAATATCGTTACAGACGACTTTCTCGCTAGCCATAAGATTTACTTTATTAGAGAAATCATAGATATTTAAATAATAATCGTACATCTTACGATATACACATAGAATTACAATTCCAGTTATAAGTTCTTACAAATTTTACGAGAACAACTTACGATTCTGCTTAGAATTGATCCATAAACTGATGTAGCAATTACGCTACGCAACTTCGGTGGAATGCGGGTTTACGTCATTTCTTTTTATCTTAACTATGTTTATCTTAAAAAAAAATGTTTTCTCATCTTATTCAAAAACAATATTGCGCATCTACATGTACCGTTTAAATCGAAAGAGATGCAAATAAGCATTCTTCAAGTGTAAGTATAAATGTTTACTTTGTCCGGTTCAATTTGTGAGGTATACGGTACATTATAGACGACATTAAGGACTTCTGACACGTAGGAATTGCTGGAACCGGTCTGAGAATGAAGCGTTTCTTTACTTTGTATCCAGCGTGTTTTGACACTCTTCTCTAAAAAGATAGAAAAGGCACGATATTAAAAGGTGACTGAAATTACATAGATTTCTGCCTAGTTCTCACAGGTCTCTCGCGAATTGATTCCGACTCCGTTTCCTCCGTGCTGTCTGGATATTCTTCAACCTGAACCGACTCGGAGGAGTTTGTGAATGCAGTTCGTATAGAATCCTGAAATTTGCCACGTTTAAAGATCCAAGAGTGGAGTTATGGTGCGATGCGTATACGCATTTTGCCCACTTACCGCAGACTCGGTTCCTCGATTAGCTAATTTCTGCGACGCCACGGGCGAGGATGCGAATCGAGCGGCTAGGTTCGTCAACGAGTAAGCCTGTCGAAATGAAGTCCTGCCGACCGTATCTAATCTTGCGACAGAATCGGACACTCGCATTGTCTCACGAAATTCCTAAATACCGAGGTAATACTTTATTTGGGTAATCATGACAAAATATTGCATCAGCATTTGATAATATTATGATAATAAAGCTAATTGAAATGTCAAGTCTTTCTCATTAAATCGCAATAACAAATATCAATTCGAAGTAATAAGTTTACCCCGTTCATCTCTCCTCTCGCGCTTTGAAAGTCCTGCATGTCAAAGGATAAACAACGTTGTCTACACTTGTCGTACAAATATTAATGCAATTATGTGATATATATTTTATAAATATCATAATTATTTTTTTTTTATAACTTTAATCAGACACGATTTGGCAAAAGAAACTAAAATTAGGCTTTCTACCTCACCTCAATATCTTTAATTTCGTCAATAGTTGCAACGTCTTGATATGCTTTGGTCAGAAGCTCAAGGGCCTTCGTGTGAAAGCTCAATTCGACGGTGACAAAATCTAAAAGTATGGACTTCAAATCGTGCAACTTTCGTCGTTCAAATGAGTCGATCTGTTCCTCCAGTCCTTTTACCACTCGGGATACTTCGATGGACGCTTTCGTCAGTTCCGATTCGGCTTGCGACTAATATTCTTTTTCAGTTAAAGATTTATATAACGCAAGATGGTGGGAGACACTTGAAACAACAAATTAGTTATATCACTTTAAAATGATTTTATCAATATTGAATTTTATGTTGATCTTAATTATAATTTTTAATTTTTTGCCTTATTGTCACAGAACACAAAATCAACTAAATTACAACTAAAAAAATTAATTGACGCTTGACAAAATGAGTCTCTAATTATAAAAGGATACTATCATTTGGCGGTTTCTCGGATTCCTTTCTCGAACTTTGTCCAAATGTCTCCGTCTCGTGAGTTCTCTGTCGCGTGCTGCAAATGTGTTTTTTACATCATCGCGGGCATGCTTGCAAATCGTTGCGTATTGCGACAGAGGTACAATCACCTTGGCATCCAATCTTTGTACTTCCGCATCTCTATAGAACACAGTCGACAATTTTAAAAGTGAAAATATAAATTTAAAAAAAAAAAACGTTGCAAGATAAAACGATGCAATTGAAATAGCATATAGGCAAATCACAAGAAAATAGATTTTTAAAAAACTGCTAATAAACTGTCGCATTCCCCGGGGGGAATAGAAAGCCATGATTATTTAATAGAGAGATAATACATTTTTTTTTTAATTTTACTGCGATTGAATTTGACAACGCTATCATATATTTTTTAATTCTTTTAGAGACTAATACCAAAATGTAATGATTACTTATAATAAGAAATAAATTAGTATTTTCTCTTTTTTCATTTAATTATTGCGAAGAAAACGTAATTGTTTAAAAAAGAAAATTTTAGTTTTACCTATAATCGCCGATGACCGATAAAGTTGCGGAAAAATTCGCGAGTCCGGCGCTCATTGATCGATTTATGATTTCCGAATCTGCATAAGTTTGTATTATTTTAGCCAGCTCGTCGTTTTTATCACGCAACCTGAAAAAAATATATATATAAGCTGCAGGCGAATAGCAAACGGATCGGAGCGCATCGTCGTCAAAACAATAGGGAATAAGAATGTGTCACTACGGAAAAATAATCGATACGGTTTGTCGGTCATAGCGGTGGAGCACCTGGCAGCTTTTCTGGTGAAGGCCGCGAATATTGTGCACAATTCTGCGAAGTGTTTCTCCACGCCCGTTATACGATCTTGCACGAACTTTGCTTCCTGTTCACTGACAAATAAAATAGATTCGTTTATTCTAAGCTTGTTTGCAGTACGTTAACGATCTGTCAAACAGCGACGTAAAATAAAAAAGAAGCCACACGTTCGCGGCTTCGTTTAACTTACTACAAGCTGCTTTGGGAGCGCGCTCGAAGCATCTCTTTCCCTTTTTCTTCTTCCTCTTTCTTAAAAGTGTTTTATTTTAAAAAATAATTCGACGTGTTTTGCGCCACGGATTTCTCTGCCGTGGTAATATATATCTCGCGAAGCGAAAAACAATTTCAGTCGTTCACTTTCCCGCACGCTATCGCTGACAGTTGCCTACTAGCAGGTGGTGAATTGGTGAAGGGTGAAGTTACCAGTGCGTTTTCTATACCCCCTTCGGGTTAACTACAAGGGAATTGATTACCGCGCGAGTTTCTGATCGTCTCGGGAGGGATAATTCAAGTTCGATCCGATCAATTTATTAAATTGTACCTATAACTGTCCTCACGTTCTGTTCCGCAGCTGTGATATAATAATCATATTTTGGTATTTTCTTTACAAATTAAGATGTTCAAGACTTAATCTAATTTTGTTACTTAGAGAGGACTTAATTTCTCCTCAGCTCTCTCTAAGTAAAAAAATTAAAACGTTTTCGGACGGAGCGGGTTTGATCGCTCCGAGAGCGATTAATGACGTCATATGCGCTCTATTTTAGATTTCTGATTGAACGAGGAGAGCATGTGACGTTATTAATCGCTCTCGGAATGATCAAACCCGTTTCGTTTGAAAACGCTATTAAGTATACATTTTGCGCTGTACATTTTGTGTATTAATTTGTATGTAATCTTCATTAAAAGAAAATGAATTTACATTGTTATATTTTATTTTATATAAAGTGTGGACTATGAATATGAAATTCTAGCTGTATAATTATTAATTTTGCTTGGCTCAGCTTTTGTCTTACATCATCTCAAGGGTGCATTTCCACTGAGTGCATCACGAATTGACCAATCAAATCCCATTTTAAATTGTATCATTTGCCGCGCGCTTCCTTGCACAATGCATCGTCAGTTTAATATTTCGCTTCGCGGGACAGAGTGATGCTTTTCTCTGCTCGATTCTTTCATTTCGACCGTAAACTCGCTTCGATTGAACATAACATTACGTCGATATTGGAGGTATGGGTTATATGTTGCGTTGATTTGCGGCAACGCGTTCAATATATGTGAATAAAAACGACGTTATTCTTGAACTTACCTCGCGTTGCGTCGTGACGCAAAGGATGACGCGACGCGCTCAGTGAAAACGCATCCTATAACCGGTATATATATATATATTAAGTGAGAATTTATGCATAGAGGCCTCGAATAAAAAAAGGTCTTTTCTTTAAAAAAAGAAAAAGATTTTTTGAATTTTCCTTTTTAGTCTTTTTTTATTTTTTTCTTAGTTTTTTTGCATTTTTTAAACTTTTCCTTTCTTTTGCTACACTTAATATCTTTGTTTAAATCTTTTAATGCACTAATTAGCGCCTGCGCGCGACTTTGAGCTTCGATTAATTCCTCGTGATCTTGCCTTGCCTCTTTCGTTTTAGTGAAGAACCAGCCGTCACCGTTATTGTCATCGTCGACAATAGAAGATGAGCAAGGACGCCGACCTTTCGAGGTCGTCACTTGATTCACTTTATCGTCGTCGTCTACAAGGATTATAGATGATGGACCAGGCGACGATCTAGACGATCTATCGTTTCTATTCATCCCCGTTTCGTCGTCATCGTCGTCTAGTACGATAACGGAGGACGGACGAGGCGGCGACCTCGGCGACCTCGGCGGACCGTCGCCTCTGTCCGTCTCCACTTCGTCGTCGTCATCGTCGATTAAAATTATCGACGAAGATGAAACGTCCAAAGTGGATTCCTCCACTATTTTTATTTTGTCATTATCTTGAGCCATGACTTTCTGAAGCAAAAAAGAAAACAATTTTAATATATTTTATAATTCGGTTTTAAAACCCGTGCATCGTCGGCGCTCCTTCTTAACTATCCGAATAATCGCGGATGTTGCGAAAACTATAGAGGACCTGAAAGATCTCGTATTCTCGTGGATCTTCAAAAAAAAAAGGTCTTAGTTTTCGCGATATCCGCGACTATTTGGGATCAGTTAAGGGTGCTGACACACACACCTGAAGCGATAGAGGCGGATGCGGAACGAAAGCGGAATCAAAGTGAAGCCAATCAAATAGATATTTGTATGTTATTTGCATTAGATTTGATGATGTGAAAGTGTTGTTATGTAAATACAACATAAGATACAATATATGATACAACATAAAATACAATATATGATGAATACAATTAAGCTGCTAACAATAAAATATATTTATTATTTAAAGTAATGTTAAACGTTCAAATACAATTGTTTCATGATTGGCTGAAACCTCTGACTCCCCCTTTACATTTTCCGCTTAATTCAGAAGATCGGCGGAACAAGGAGCTGGAATCCTTTGAATCCTTTTGATAAACTAAGCGTGACATATAAGTAATCTACGCATCGGACGGACCACGAACCGGCGAATCCATGCACCGGGATCCAGCAGCCAGTTCGTGTGAGGATCGTTTTTGATCGAAGGGAATAAAAGATATACGTCATTATTTTTACTGCATATTTTATTGCATGTAAAAATGAGGTTATCCGCATGGCTATTTTGCTATTCCGCTGATTCTAGCGGAACAATTTTTTAGCGCAACGGAATGAAATCAGCGAAAGAGTTGATCTCCGCTTCTGGTTCTGTCTCCGCCTCTATCGATTCGTATGCCGACGCCGGCTTACGTGCCGCCGACGAACGTCGACGGTGTGAACGCGAGATCGATGACTTCATCGAAAACGCTTCCCGGCGGTCCTGGGACTCCTGGGAAGACTCGCCGGAAGCCTACTTACCGCTCCGAATTCTCAAAAACGATCCCCAGGCCGTGCCGCATTATAATAGCCGTGCTCGCTGAGAGACGTTAATGCCAGTTAATGATGGACAATGATGGATGCACATAGGAAGCGGACAATGCTTGCTGCGCAGCGCGGCGGAAGTTTGCTAGGGAATATCCAATCAACTCCATCCGCGGTATCCAATCAATTCAACGTCTTGCTTGTTTGGAAATAAATGATCGGCGTGCAAAAAAAGTTCGATGAAAGTTGCGGCGGAAGTTCGGCGGAAGTTGCCGCGGCGCTCTGCGTGAATTCAAAATTTCGATCAGCTCTTCGATTAAACTATGCAAATCAATGTTTCGCTATAATATTTAAAATAACTATTTGACTAGCATCGTCAAGATATATTTAAAAAAATACTTCGCAATTACAACATTTAATAAATAACACATAATAACATATTTATCTGCATATCGCAGCTAGCTAGTGTCTTTTATCACAGCGAATGAATGTCCTGCGCCAGCACCCACAAGAACGGCAACGGAATTAGATGGAATCGGAACAAACTCCGGCTGCAGAACGTTCTCCGTTTTTCCGTTACCGCAATTTCCATGTTCGTTCCAGCCCCAGCACAATATTGCTCCATCATCTGTAAAATTAAATTATTGTTATATGACATGCGTCACTAAAAAAATGTTTAAATATACATTCCCAATTATATAAAATTGTAATTATTTAACGATTACTTAATTATCTTAAAATTGTAATTTATCATTTATTTTTGTAGCATTTGCATATGTTTATCACATATAATAATTTACCGGTTAAGGCAATATTATGCTCTGATCCAACTGAAAGTTGGACGATTTTTGGGATATGTTCAACACATCGAAGTCTCTCTTCCGTCCCAGAAATTCCATTTTGTAGTTTCGACAAAGGACGGCCCAATTGGCCATAGTCATTTCTTCCCCATGAAAAAATAGTACCGTCTGAAATCATACGTATGTTTTAATAGGTATATACATATAAACATTCGATGTACATGTAGCTAAAACATAAAAAATGAATTTAGTTTATTTACTGCTCAAGATATTTATGTGACTCCAGCCTGTGTGAATTTGAATTGGCGCATCATGTTGTACGTCGGAGAGCGGAATACATACAGGTTGCGATATTCGTGTTTCAGAAGATGTTACAGGAAAGAGTCCCAATTGTCCATGTTTGTTATCACCAAAAACATATGTATTATACGTTTGCCTCTTTGTTATAACGACAGTATGATATTGGCCACACGCAACATTTTCCACGTTTCCTTGCATCGTCCATTCTGCAACTGTTTATCTGCGCTTCAATTAAGTGAAAACATTTTCATTTTTTCTTACTATATAGTATATTTTCAATAGAATAACTAACTGTTTAAGTTACAAGTAATAAAATAAATTATGTAAAGAATGTAAAATCAAATTCATTAGAGTGGCAATTAGATATTAAAATTATAGATAAATACACACAAATAATAAGATAGTAATACACAGTTAAAAACATATTAAAAGATTTCGACTGATTTCGAAAAGATATTCGACTGAATTAATGTCTTTGTCAATGTTCCCTTAACAGAATTCTTTAATTTTTTATACATTTTAATTCACACATTTATTTTTACAGAACAAATTATTCAAAGTACGATTTGTTACATACCTTTGGTAAATGCACTAAGAAGAACGTAAGGCTTTGTAGTTTCTGGATTAATCAAACCTAATTGTCCTCTATTATTTGATCCACACACATGGAGCTCACGAGTCTCTGTTACTACAGCGGTGTGTCGCAGGCCCATAGAAACATTCTTTATTTTTTCGCCTACTGAGAGTCTCCGGGGTTGCGGTATTGAGGGAAAAACTGAAGGATCCAGACCCAATTGTCCGTAACGATTAGAACCCCATACGTATAATTCACCGTTCCTCGTCAACGCCGCGGAGCTATCCCATCCACAGCAGATGTCAATTACTACTTCGTGCTCGAGAGCACGTATCCTCTGAAACATTAGAACATTTTCTTGCTCGACGTCGGTGTTTCCAGCTTGTCCTTTATTGTTCAATCCACAGGAATAAACGTGACCATCCGCGTTTAAAATCAACGTGTGTCCGGCACCGCCGACAATTTTCTTTACGAGTTCTGGCCTCAGGGGACAACCAGATAAATCAACTTCTTGAGGTAGAATAAATTGCTCCGATAATAAACCTTGTCCTAATTGCCCATGGGAATTTGCACCCTGCAAAATATATGTTTATGAGATTTTTTGAATTGCTTATAATCTTATTAGATTTACATTTGGAAAATTTATGTATTTTAAATTTTCTACTATCCGTTTTAATAGAAATTTGACTTCACTGTTTACATATATTCAATAGACACATCCAATTTTACGAATGCATGCCATGCAAGTTGCACAATGGAAATTCTTGTTAAATCATAAGTGATAGATTTAGATACTTTATTTATAATTATCTTACCCATGAAACCAAACGATACGTAGACATTGTATTTGAATTATATTCTTTATTAAGAACTTTCTTTCTTTCTATGTGGATTCAAAATATATTTGTTTAGACTGCTCCACGTGTCCATTATGAGAGGACCAACTAGGGGATGCGTTCCAAAACCGTGGGAGTAATATCCAATTTTATGGGCATTCTAAAGTGATGGAATTAGGCAAATTTATAGGTTAGGAAATTCTGTGAATTGGCTATAGAATCGAAAAAATTTTTTACAGGAATTAAAATAGACAAAAAATAAATAAAGATAGACGTAAAAAAGGGTTGACTTAAAAACGGAAAAAAATTTTTTTTATTTTGAATATAAAAATAAATATTTTTATCTTTGTTTACTGAATTAACTGTTTACTGTTAAGCAAGAATGAAACGATACTTTACGAGGTCTATTCGTGCTGCTTGCACTTCTTCCACTCAGAATCTTCGCTTTCTCTTTCTCTAACGCTTAATAAAATATATTTATCTCGTTTTAAGTGCAAAAATTTGTAGAAATTTCAAGCAACACGAACTAGGTATATGCGCGAACGTACTGTATGTGTGATTATTACTTATTAGTAAACACATAAGCAGTACATTCCCAAGTATGCCGGTATACCACAAGTTATATTGAGAAATGTATGAATTAAATTAAATGAGAAATTACTCTAGGCTGTGCAGTTTAGCGTTAAGTGCTGTCATTCTTGTAAGCAACGTAACGTAGGAGCCGAGCAGAATGCAGGAAGCCGTGAAGTTCAATCTTAAGGAGGTTAAGTCGGACCTTCTGCATGCGATACACGAGTGTTCCCAGCGTGGTTTGTTACACACTACCAAATGGTAAATTTTTTGTTCGATTGAATGTATCGCAGCATAATACCTTTATACATGTGCTTTTGAGACTTCATACATTTCACATTCATATCTGTTATATTATAGGTTAGCGGAATTGAATTATTCGCTGAAGAACGTAGGGACAGATGATTTGACTGCGGATACCAAGGTGCCGGAGGTCGGCGAGGCAGAGGATGTTTATACCCTGGCTAAAACGTACTTTGATCTGAAGGAATACGACAGAGCGGCGTATTTCACGATGGACTGTACGAGTCCCAAGATCAGATTTCTGCATTTGTATTCGCGTTACTTGTCAGGGGAGAAGAAGAAGATAGACGATATGACGGACGTGCCGCCGGATCCTTTGAAAAACGAGACTCTGAAGTACCTTTGCGCCGATCTGAGATCGGATCATCTGGCATCGAAGCTGGACGGCTACGGGTTGTACCTTTTTGGCGTAACGTTGAAGAAGCTGCAGCTCACCAGAGAGGCGACAGACGTTTTGGTGGAGTCTATTCACAAGGAGCCCATGCATTGGGGCGCATGGCTAGAGCTGGCCGCGTTAATCACGGACAGGGAGAAGCTGGAGAGCCTCCGCCTGCCGAATCACTGGATGAAATATTTCTTCATGGCGCACATGTACTTGGAGCTGCAGCTCATAGACGAGGGCCTAGATCTGTACTGCCAACTGCAATTGATGGGCTTCCAGAAAAACGGCTACGTCTTAGCTCAAACTGCAATTGCAGTGCATTACAGAAGAGGCAAATTTCCTGCAAATTTTAGAAAATTTTATATTCGGAATAGTCAGGTGTTAGGATCTTTAGTGAATTATTTTTAGTGAATCTACTTTCTCTTGATTATCTGAATTGTGATTTTTAGGATATGATTAATTTTATTTATCGTGACGTTCATAATTACGACAAAAAAAATTTTTTTTTCTAAATATATATCTATAATTATCATATGTTATAGAAATATTTCTTATTACAGATGTTGATAAGGCAATAGAAATTTTCAAAAGAATCATAGATGAAGATCCTTATTGCCTTGATAACATGGATACGTATTCGAATTTGCTTTATGTGAAAGAAATGAAAGTTGAATTAGCAGATCTGGCGCACAGAGCCACCGAGATAGATAAATATAGATTGGAGACTTGTTGTATAGTTGGTGAGTATTAAATTACATCTGTTTGAGAGGCCTTTCAGAGAGGAAGAGATAAAAGAAAATGATGTCTCCCCCTTTTAGGAAATTATTACAGCTTAAGAGCTGATCATCAAAAGGCAGTGATGTATTTTCACAGGGCGTTAAAAATGAATCCGCAATATTTATCAGCTTGGACGTTGTTAGGCCACGAATTTATGGAAATGAAAAATACCAATGGCGCTATCCACAGTTACAGACAGGCGATTGGTAAATTCTCCGAATAATTTTCTCCTGCGTCGGCAAGACATGCCGCATCTTTGATTTATATTTTGCAATCTGCCAGAGGTGAACAGACGAGACTATAGAGCGTGGTACGGCTTGGGTCAGACGTACGAAATCTTGAAAATGCCGTTTTATGGACTGTATTATTATAAACAAGCTCAGCTCTTAAGGCCCCACGACAGTAGAATGGTTCTAGCTCTGGGCGAAGCATACGAGAAGCAGGATAAAATTCAAGATGCACTCAAATGTTATTACAAGGCATGCAATGTGGGCGACATAGAAGGAATGGCACTCTTAAAATTGGCAACGTATGTATTCGACATATAATGATAATAATAATAATAATATAATTCTGTATTGACAGAAATAATATATGTATACCTCTCGTTTTCACAGGCTGTACGAAAAATTAGGAGAACATGATCACGCAGCGGCGGCTTACACAGATTTTGTGGTGGACGAATCTCGAAGTGTCGACAGAACAGAGCTAAGTCACGCGTATAAATATCTTACACAGTATCACTTAAAGAAGGAACAATTGGATCAATCTAATCACTATGCACAGAAATGCCTTCAGTTTGACGAAACGAAAGAGGAAGCAAAGGTGCTATTGAGAACTATCGCTGAAAAAAGAACTAAAGTAGAAGAAACCTCTATGGTGGTAAGTAAAATTATTCTGTAGTAATTAACAAAATAGTTCAATTTTATAGTAATTAGCAAACTAATGTTGTAATTTTTTTAGGTGGATGATATGAACGAAACAGATCCTGTAATTGAGCAAAGAGCGCGAACGGATGCAACACCGGGAAGTCAACTATCACCGATGAATCTTTCGTTCACACCCACGCCATAAACAAAACAAATATTTTTCGTATTTCGTAGTATATAATTTTTAAATATTAATTTGTAATTCTGTACATAAATACAAAATATTCAATAATTTTTTTATACTATATATTTTCATAGTAAATTATTTCCTTTTTTTTATGTTAAAATTTTTCGAAAATTTCATATAAGTGTATAAGTATTTAAGATTACTTATTAGGCAGTGCGTATGTATATATAAAATAAAAAACAAATACTAAAAAGTTTGTAAAATTTCGGTTTCCGATTTTTCCAGTTGGAAAAAGGAGATCATAACATTAAATTCAGTATTACAATCCGAACATCCAATTTCTATTAAAAATTAATCATGCAAGTCAATTCATACGTTAATATAATTTATGTATTAATATTAAGAATACATTGACACTTTTATGTAATATATAATAGATTTATAAATTATAATTTTCTGTCAAGTATTTATTTATAATTAATTACATTGTATCATTGTATCAAAATATTCTTATATCTCACACTAAACCTAATGTATATAATCAACTAACTTTTATTGTATAATTATAAAATGCAATTGATTACCAGTTAAAATATTTAATTTGCATTTGGACATTTCTTCTTCGGCGAGTTGTTATTGACCAATATTGTTTCCTGTAAATACGTAACATATATTCTTATATTGTCAATAATTCTCAATTTATTCTTTGAAAATATGTAATTTCTAAATCTATCTTTATACTTCATTGTCAGAATTGTCGAGGTAATTTCTTGTTTCTCTGAATCTCTGAATGATTCGTTCGTGCGGCGAAGTTGCGATAAAATTCCGTGGATATTGATATTCTTTTCTTGCCGGCGTTGAACCTGAAAAGAAATATTAAAAAAGAAATGTTAATGAATCTCTAGTTCATGTATAAATTCAATATTATATAAATACATATAAAAACCGGAGACTCACCTGTTGGTACATCATGCCTTAAATCTTGAAGGAATTTTCCAACTCTTTCGTGTATTGAATGCAGTTCCGTAAGTGTCTCGTCATTCCAGGCAGAAGCATTTTTACTTTCATTCATAAGCTTATCATTCAGTTCAGTGAATGATTGTAGATTCTTCTTTCTTAATTCTTCCCCAAGTTTTTTGTGATCTTGACTTCCTTGTGCTAATTCACTATATATATTCTATAAAAGAAAAATATTTATTGTCTATATATATATATATATATATACAAATAATTGTAATGATATATAAAGTAGATTTACTTTGACGGATCCAATAAAAGAAGTGTTATCTTCCTTCAACTTCTGCTCCATGTGTTTCATGTTATCTTCAACATGCAGTTTGTTCTGCATTAGTGCATCGCAATGATTATTTAAGTCAGTTTGAAGTTCGTCGACCAAATTATGACTATGTACTGCAATCTGCTCTGCTAACGTCCAATTCTAGATAAAAAAATAAGATACATAATTAAAATGTCATATTATATTTTTCAAAGCATTTAATAATCATTTGAAAATTAATAAAAAATTAATATAAAGTAAATGTTACCTTTTCCATGCCAGATTCAACATCGCTTTTGAGTATATTTACATCGTCCTGAATTTTCTGTTGCAGGGTCTCATTTCTTTCAACAGCCTTCTTATGATTATTGAGAATATCATTAGTTGTACTGTCACAAACTTTATCAACATGATTTAAGGTAGCGCATGTAACGGAATAATTCTCAGTTACGTTTTCATTTAACTTATTAAATTGTAGCCATACATTTTCAAACGACTGTAAAATAAGAACAATATTTTGAGTAAAATTATTAAAAATATTAATTAAAGAATAAATGTTATTAACAAAATATTATGAAATAATGGAAAGAATTATTACTAAATCATACCTTCTTAAACTTTTCTCGTTCCTCCATAATTTTACCGTCACGTTCACGCATAGCTTGTGTATCCTGTTTTATCTCATTTATATTTTTATACAAATTATCACATTCTTGCAATCTGCAGTTACAAAGCTGTTTTATCGATTCATTTGTATACGCCAATAATTGATCAAATTTTTTAGATACATCGTTCTTTAAATGATGTAAGTTCTTTACAATTTCCATATTATTAACTTCTATCAAGTGATTAATTTTTGACGTCAGTTTTAGGGATGTGTTATTTAAAAATTCGCGTTCACGCTGAGTCATATCAGATGAACGTGCCATTTCTGTGTCTAGCCATTGGTGATAGTGTTCGTACTAAACAAAAAAAAATTCGTTACATATATTTTTTTTGTTAAATTTTATATGTGTAAATGACTTACCGAATTACGTATATTCTTTGTGAATTCATCCATTGCTAATTTTTCTTTATTAACAATGTCGTCTGACATATGACAGATTATTGAATCAATATCCTTTTTAAATAGATCCATTTGAGAATCTGTAAAGATAGTATAATGTACATATTACACATTTCTCCAGTGTCTAAACTCTAAGAAGTTTTACTTACCAATGTTACTTTTCATAGAAGTGCAAAATTCTATGAATTCCCGTGTATAAACTGTAACATTGTTTTTCATATCTTGAAATTGTTTTGTTACGTTACTTCGAAACTGATGACTAATATGTTCGTTTTCCTGTTCCAATTGTCTGTAAATATATTAAATGTATTTAAAACTAACTATAATTGATAAATCTATTTATAAAATAAATAATATTATTGCTCTGTATTATAAAATATCCATATGCTGGTTTTAATAATATAATAATATGGAAAATAATGTAGTTACCTTTTATGAGAAATTTTATCGTGAAGCTTATTTACATCAAATGTTGCCGCTTCAGCTACATCCAAGACTTTTTGTGCTTGTGATAAAAGCTGTTTTTCTGTAGATAAATGTTTCTCTACTAAGTGGCTTTGTTCCTCTTTCTCACGTTCTGTCATTTGTAAAAGAGCTTCAGTTGATTTCAAAGCATGTGTAGTGGTTTCCAATTGCTCCTTGGTTTCATGCAGATGATTAGTTTGTTCTTCGTGCTTTGCTTGTAAATCAGTAAATATTTGCTAAACAGAAATAAAACTTAATTTAGGATAACGAAATTTAGGATAACAACATTTACTACTATAACCAAGTATAAATTGAATTGTGACACTTACCTCCTTATTCTCCATAGTTTCTTTAAGTACTTTAATGTGAGTTATCTTTTCTTCGATTTCCTTGGTTTGATGTTCAATTAATGTTTGCATCTCATTATAATTCTCCTGCGCCAAATATACGCCGTTTCGTTCACGTGCTGCTAACAAGTCTCTCCTAAGTCTTTCAATTTCTTCCGTATACTCTTTGAGTAATGCCTTTTTGGACAGTTTCTGATTGATCTCAGGACGATTTGTAATATTTTTGGCACGATGAGCATAATCTAATGTCGATAAGGTTTCCTCAAGATTTATGCTTGCTGGGGACACTGTTGCAATAATTGACGTTTTCGTACGTCCTCCTAATGATTCTTGCAAAAGTCTTGTTAATTTTGATTCCCTGGTCAATGTAAAATGCAAAAAAATAGATTAATTTTACTACAGATAATTATTAAATATTGACATTAAATTTTAATGTCAATATTTTACAATTTCTATATTTATATTTATGAAGTTATAGTATTACTATGTAAATTTGTATTATACCGATATGGTATGTGAGGTGCTCTTTCAACAAGCGCTGTTATAACTCGACCAAGAGTCAATAACGATTGATTAATATTTCCTGCTTCTCTTGCTCTTCTATCAACTGCACCCGATCTTCCGACATTTTCACTCCCCGCTAAATCTACCAAATTTAATTTTCCAGTTTTTAGAAGCTCCTCCCCATCCACATTATTCTCTTTTATATGAATAGTAATTGAAAACACTGTGTGGGAACGGCTGAAAGTATAATATAAAAAATGTACAAGTAGCGAAAGGTTTAATGTTTTTAAAAAATAAATTTAAAATTATATATTTAATTCATATATAAGATAGCAACCTTGAATGAGCATTCATTAAAGTTGCAGCTGTTTGTCTTTTTTCTGATCCCTTTTCTAAGATCTTGTAAACTTCATTTTTATTGTGTACAGTTACTTCCTCTAATCCATGAATGATCACCGAACCTTTTCTTGTAGCGTCTTCATAAAGCCTAAAATAATCATAAATCATTATATAACACATATTTTTTATATTTCTTAATAAAAATTTTATAACATTACCTTATTTTAGATGCATCATCATTAGGTGATAGCAAATCAAACAATTCTTCATTATATAACTCAAGAAAACTAACTCGTACTGTATATTCTTGCATTTCCAACATACGTAATTCATCAAACAAATGACTCAATGCACGTGGTATAATTCCAGCTGAAGTATCCTATGTATAAAAATAAATCCAATTATACAAGCATATGTGATATTATATTATTAAATTTAAGAATTATGGCAAGATACTAAATTGAGCTCAATAAAATTATATAAATATATAAAATTGTGTTGTAAATTATTCTGTCTTCTGATTTTTTGTATAAACACATTTCATTTAAATATTGTAATTTAATAATTAAAAAAGGTCTTAGTTTTCTTTATATTACAATAAATTAAAAAATATGTTAGAGCATATATATATATATATATTAAAATTCAATATTTGCATAATATTTAACAATAATTAATATCCTTTTACATAATATAACTTACACTTTGCCAATGTAATGTTGGATCATTGCTACAACCTTCCATAGTAAAAGTTTTTCCAGTTCCAGTTTGGCCATAAGCAAATACTGTGCAGTTATATCCAGCCAATACTTCCTCAAGCAACGGACTAACAACTGCATTGTATACATCCATCTATAAATTACAATCACTTTTTTAAGGCAAATATTCTTCCAAATATTTTAAAATTTAATTCTTCACACAAAGAAATATTTATCTCTACCTGTTTCGAAGAAGGCCCAAATACTTTGTCAAACGTAAACTTTTTTGAATGAGTGCCTTGTTGCCTCTCATGCACTACTACTTCTTTATTAGATGGTAATTCCAACACCGCTATGGATTTGCCAACTTTCTCGCTCTGATTTATCGGCCTATTAAAAAAAAAAGTTAATAAGCCATACAAATAATAGGCTAATACATCACATACAAAATAAAAAATAATAATAATGACAAAAATGAATGTTGTGTATCAAGCTAATTTTATTTAATAAAAAATTAAGATTGTCAAACAAGAGAGCGAATAAACTTTTTCGAAATTTGTCAAAACAGAAAGAATTTAATGCGCCTGTCGTTACGCACAGTTTCAGTTTCCTCAACGACGTACACAATAGTGCGTCAGTATCATAAATAATTGTCACCTACCTGACACGCACGAAAACCTGGATATGCTGATTCTTATCCTTCTTCATGTTGCGTGTATCATTCATCTTGTCGACAATCTCTTGTACAATTATCTCTCGCTAAAACACAATACGGCTTTCACGTTCGTCAACGACAGCGCGTTTTACTTCGCGTTCGTTTACTGTTTGTAAACGCCACACGCGAGAAGTCAGCCACGGTATCCGTTGGAAGAATTTAAATCGAGATATTTCGCGCGATCGCCGCCAGGTGACGGCATGCGAAACCTCGTTGTTTGGCGGCAGCCAATAGCAGTTCGACGAACAGGAGCAGCGTCGCGTCACTCGTGCGAATAACGCTGTTGTCGCGTCATGTAAACGGAAATTTTATTCTCGAAAAATATCATGTATGGAAATACTGTAGTACACATGACGTATATTATAGATTTTTGTATGTAATAATTTTTTTCGAAAATAAGATCACCGATACGATGCACTAGATTTTCCAGTACGCTCATTGATCAATGCAGTCAATTCAGTACATATATACTGGAGTATTATATTAATCTGTAAAAACTAATTCATGCAAATAGTGTAAATATAAAATTTATGCTACATTTTATTACGTTTTTTTTTATTTTTTACATCTTAATCCACATTCATCCGCAATTTACAAATCTTCTAAATTAAACAGCATTAGGCTAGCATTACTCTTTTACTCTTTTACATTGACAAATACATGATCGAAGTTTTTAAAATATAAAAGTATTAGTTAAAATCATCACGTGACAAATTATCTTATATAAATATAAAAAATAAAATACTAAATATACTTAAAATTATAACTTAAACAAGTGATTTTTATAATGTCTTAGCTCGGTAATGCTCTCCTTTATATCATCCAGAGCTCTATGGTTTAGTTTCTTTTTTGGCGCTGAATTATGTACATTCGGATTCCACCTTCTAAAAATTATGAAGATTTACTCACATTATCGGATTCAGATTATTCTTCTATTGAAATATCTTAAATATTACTTTAAATGTCAAATATCTGCAGGACAAATTCCCATATCTACTAATATACATATCATTTACATTACATAAGAGAATATCAGTATCTTTGTTCACATAAAAATAGTAAATTAATTCTTACCTAGTAAGTTCCTTAACTGTACTAACATCGATAATCTTGTAGTGCAAGAAATTGTTAATTAATGGCATGTGTTTGTACAGAAAGAAACGATCCATGTAGATCGAATTTCCAGCTAATGGACATGTACGTTCCTGAATGTACTTTTTTAAAAAGTCAAGTACTGTTTTTTCAGCCTCTTCCAATGAAACTGTACTCGAGCGAGAGCTCTCAATTAAACCCGTCTGAAATATGTAGAAATAGTTACATCTCAATTCCACCCAAAATATATCAATTTTCAAGCTAAAAGGTTCAAAAATATTTGCATCATACATGTAAGTTAAGCACTTACCCTTTTGTGGTTTTCTTTACACCATTCATTCATATTTTCTAATATCTCATCTGACTGATGTATTACAATATTCAGTTCCTCGCTAATGATATTTAATTTATTATCTGTTATAATACAAGCAATTTCTAATATATGATCCTTGTCTACTTCAAGTCCAGTCATCTATAAAAATAAAATATGCAACTGATTTATGTTTCTTAATTAATTTTTGATCACTCGTTATTATGATCATTGTAATTAAGTGTCATTCGTAACGTTTCAATACCTCCATATCAATCCAAACAATATAGTTAGCATTCTTGGGTGCCATGTTGTTCATTAATATCTGTATCTGACAATCTGCAAATATAATTTAAACATGAATGAAAATAAAAAATAAAAGACGTAAATATTGGTTGTTAAAAGAAATATTGAAAGAGATTAGTATTCATAGTTGCATTTAATTTCGTATGACAGTAAAATCTAACACTTTAATATAATTTTTATTTCACGCATATCATAAAGTGTCTAAGATACTTTTACACGCTTCTCTGACAAATTTATATAATAAATTATAACGTTGCAAATAATTAATAAAATAATAAAAAATTGATAAAGTAACGGAAATGGGAATTTTCTGACGATATATAACTTCAAAGATAACCTCCAATTATATGTGATAAACTTTAAAAACATGTGTTCTTCTGAACGTAAAATATTATAAAAACTAAAAATAAAACTTACCAAATATGATAGTATAAGTAAGTCTTAGTAAGTTAAAGACGACTGTCTATTTCTGATGAAAACAATAATACTTTCACAGTGAAAGATTGAAAGTGATACCTATGCAATACCACGAGAGACTGTTGCTTAATGCTTTCGTAAACACACGTGACATCTCACATGCGCCTTTCACTATGAGATGAAATTTTATATGTCGGTATTATCAGCTGTTTGCATTCGCGATATGTGATATTTGTTTTTTTTTGTGATGTGAGCAAGAAACAATTGAATCGTATCAATTTATTATGTAAACATTGTAAACAGAAAGATATGATTAAAGCAATATAGCATATTATAAGCGTTGATATGAACATGATTTTGATCGAAATTTAATTGATTTTAATTTATGATAGCTTATTTTATTATCGGTTAAATGCCTGTGCAATTCTATGGATGAAATTATATTGTTTTATTGTTTATGGAAAGAAAGATTAGATAGGAATTATAATTAAAAATTTTGCTTTGTTGTCGGTTGAGTGAAAGACGCCGATTAGATTAATCAGATCAAATTGGATCTGTTATATTAACTTTATTTAACTGCATTCTATAATATGTTTATGCAGTGAAAATTAAAATTATATTTGTGTTTAACGTTTTATAAGGAAAGAAATAGTTCGTACAAGCTATTTTGCTTTGTATTTAAATTCTTAATCATTAAAACTTATTTCATTCTAGAATATTCAGGTGACTCTTATAAAAAATACTATTGGAATTAATTAGAAAATCATTCGTCGAATTCAATATTCGTATATACTATTTGTTCTAATAGTATTTTTCTATAAGGTGATAAACATATTAATTATTACGGTCATAATTAATATTTATCAAGGTAAATTATTGTACAATATCCGTGTACAATTACTGTACACGGATAAAAAAGAGATATGAAATATTATTTATTTTATAACTTATTCGAATCCTTATAAATGTGATATCTGCATAACACATAATTTTATCAACCATTGGTTTTTAAATATTCCCTTCGAACATCAGAAATCAATTATCTAAAAAACAATGTGCTCGCTTTTATTGAGAAAACATCGAAATTCGTAATATTTTTTTTTTTTTTTTTTTGGATTCTGTAAACTTGAGGAATTCTAATTTTCAAGAAAATTCGTAATACTTTTTTCTTTGGATTTAGTAAATCAATAATTTATAGTTCTCAGGAATAAAGTGTTTTACTTGCATAAATCATGTCTATATAATGATACTAACGCGATAATTCTCGAATATTCGTCCTTAGTATATCATGAATCATGATTATAATATAGAGCATTCGTGCCAATTGTAATCAGTTATTTTATACAATCTTATAAATATTTTTTAACGATGTCAAAGTAATAAAAATAAGAATCACTTAAACTAATAATTTTTGTATACATGCGTAAATGATGGAAAAGTTTGCAAAAAAAAGAACTCAAATAATAAAAATTACAAAATCACGAATAGAAAAATTGTAATAGCGTTAATACAGTTTTTATATGTATATAGTAAAACGTTAGTAGCAGCGCACCAATCGCGTGACGCGTAGCAGTCAACGTCACGCCATTGGACGCGTGAAGCTACGCGAAGTGGTATAAATAGCGTGGCGCTGGACTGTCGAAGAGACAGGCTCGATTTTGGCTCTGATGTTGAGGGCGAGGCGGCGGGTGTTCGGATGCTTCGAGGTTGCTTCTGACGAGCGGACGGCTTTCGAGGCTTCCTGCTGTTGAGTGGTTTCGCTTGAAGTGGATTGTGACGACCTATTTGCGTGACTGGTGGTTTTGCGCTTGCCTTGTTAGCGGTCGCCTCTCGCGCTCGTGAAGCGCGGTGGCGACTACGGATGTTTCAGCTCCTGGACATCCCTCCACCTCGGAGGGTACATCTTATGAGACTCCACCCGGACTCGGCCTAAAACGCCATGCTGACGACCGCGATTCTGCGGGACCCTTAAATCCGCCTGACAAGTTTCTCCGTTTGGAGAAACCTCATTTCAAGGACACACAAGGTAGTATCAATTTATCCAACCGTTTCGAATGTCTCATGGACCTCATCGAGCCGGACGATGAGGAGAATGGCGAAATCAGAACCCAGCCGGACCACTCGGAAGACGAGAATGGGTCGCAACCGTCCTATACTGCACGTAATTTAAATAACAACCCAGGTAACGCTCGGATTAACGATAAACAACCGTCGCGTAAAGACAGAAAACCCCCCCCAGTTTACTTAGCTCAACGCCTCCACAATTATACCGAGTTCTCTCGCCTCTTAAGAAAGCACACCGGGGATTTCACTATGAAATTCCTAGGCAACCAAACGCGAATTCAATTCTCAAAAGTAGACGATTTCATAGAATTCAAAAACTTTGCTATAAAGCATAAATTCGCATTCCACACCTTCTCGTTGCCAGAAAACAAATCATTTACCGTCACACTCAAAGGCCTGCCGCAAATCCCAACACAAGAAATAATAGATGAAATGGCAGAACATGGCATTGTAATAAACTCTTGCAGCCAAATTAATAATGACAGCAGTATTTTTGCCATTTATAAAATAAATTTAAGCTCAGAATTCACATTAAATCACCTTCGAAAGATACAATTCTTATTTCATTCTAGAATATATTGGAACAAATTTATCAATAGAAAAACAATTTTACAATGCTACAGATGCCAGGCCTTTGGGCACACTTCGTCTAACTGCTTTAGGAAACCCCGGTGTGTGAAATGCGCCGCGAACCATCTAACTAATGAGTGTGAAAAAAGCCCGGATTTGCCAGCCAAGTGCTGCAATTGCTCTGGTGACCACCCGGCAAGCTTCACAAAATGCCCTGCATATTTAAAATTCTCAGAAAAACGCACTTCTCAGCGCACCTCATTGGGTCCGGCTGTACTAGTAAACGAAAATGCAAATATCGGTTTCAATAACGTGCAAATAAATCCGGCAAGTACCTTCCAGCAAATCTCAAATCGCCAATTAAATGAAAACCCCTCCTTGCCTCACTCTTCCACGAGAGTGCAGCCGTCCCAAGCGAGCCTTCTTCCAAAACAGCTTTATAGCCGCGCAAATAACGATTATTCACTTCCTGTTTCCTATGCTAACATTCTCAAGCATAATACACATCATGATTCCCCGGCAGATCCTTGTTGCTCTCAAGGTGATGATATTTCGGATTTTAATAACTTAATATCTGAAATTCGTAAACTCAATCAATTTATTGACATCAAAAACATGCTTGCAGTAATCCGCGACCTTAATGTCAGGCTCTCCACCTGTAAGGACGGCCTTGAAAAGCTTCAAGCGTTTGCCGAGGCAGCAAATTTTATACATTAACATTCGATAAATTCACCGCATCGGGACTGAAAGTTTGCTTGTGGAACGCTACAAGCTTAAACAATAAAGACATCGAGTTAAATTATTTTTTAAATTCGCACAATGTCGATGTTGCCCTCATTACAGAAACATGGCTACACTCCGGAATTAATACAAATTTCATTGGGTATAATATTATTCGACTTGACTCTCCACGCACTATTGGCGGCGGTCTGGCTATAATCTTGAACAAATCCATCTCGTACACTACCCTCCCACAAGTCACTCTTCCTGAAGGTGAAATCCTGACCATTAAAATTCTCTCTAATATAAATATAATTGTGGGTGCAGCATACATCTCGCCAAACGTCAACTTCTCTCCAGATTCTCTAGATGCAATCTTTGGGGGAAGCCTACCGATTATTATCGGAGGAGATTTCAACGCTAAACATCGCTCCTGGAATAACTTTTCTAATAACCAACGCGGAGTCAGACTGCTACACTATTTAAACAAAACAAACATTTCAATAATACACAGCGACTCTTACTCACATAAACTACCAAGACGAAACCCAACAAATATAGATATTTTCCTTATCGAAAACTTACCTTATACATACAAATGCTACACATTGCATGAACTCCAATCTAACCATTTACCTATTATCCTTGAGCTTGAAAGCACTAACATAATCAAAAAAGAAAAGTTTATCTTCAGAACAGACTGGCAAAAATACTCTAAACTTACTAATAACTGGCCAATTAACAGTAAATTAAACAACTGCGAAGATATAGACAACTGCATCACTGAGCTGCAAAAATTCATCCGGAAATCATACAGCAAGGCCACAAATAAGATAAAATGCAAAAATAAACTATTTCACTTCGCAAGCCCGGATGCTTTGGCGGAACTTGAAAGATCAGTCAAGTTGCGTAACTACTACCGTCGAAAATATCAGAGAACGGGCCTTACTAAATACAAAATTTTCTCCAACACCTTAAATAACCAAATAAAACATGATATCAGTGACATCAAACTAAAAATGTGGGAGGACAAGTTAAAAAATCTCAATACTCAGGATCACTCACTCTGGCATTCTTTAAAGACGAGACAAAAAAGAAACCCCCCCTCCCCACCATTCGTTCTCCCAGACAACACCATAGTTTACGATAATAAAGATAAAGCCATAGCCCTCGCGCAAAATTTTCACAGGACCTTCGAATCCTCGCACAACCGCACTTCCTCGTTTGAAGCTCATGTAAATAGTTATATTCTCTCACTAGACAATAATGAGGTCACCGTAGAAACAAATTTCCTGAGCCCGACTCTAATTCATTCAATCGTTAAAAAATTCCCGAACAACAAGGCTCCCGGCTCTGACCGCATCACCGCCATTCAACTAAAGAAAGCTTCGTTCCGTATAATACTCCAGCTTTATTACATTTACCGAGAATCACTTAAAAGATGCTACTTTCCCTCCGTTTGGAAACAAGCCATAATTTTGGCCTTCCCAAAACCGGGCAAATCTCAATCATCTCCGTCGAATTATCGCCCCATCAGTTTACTTAGTATTATGAGCAAAATATTTGAGAAAATTATATTAAGTCGTATTAACCTTCACATACATGACAATAACATTATAATCAACGAACAATTCGGATTTAAACCTGCGCACTCTACAGTCCAGCAACTATTGCGGGTTACAGAATACCTCGCATTAGAAATTAATAAAAATCGCAACTCAGGTATGATTCTGCTAGACTTAAGCAAGGCATTCGACTCCGTATGGCATCTGGGATTGCTTTACAAACTTGGCCAAATGAACTTTCCCATCTATCTAATAAAACTCATACGTGGCTTTCTCAATGATCGAACCTTCTCTGTTAATTTCCAAGGGGAGCGTTCCCCCCCTCTCCCGGCATCGGCGGGCGTCCCCCAAGGCTCCAATGCAGGCCCCACGCTATTCAACCTGTTTATAAACGACATACCAAGGCTCGAAAGCACCCAGTTGGCTGTCTATGCTGACGACACGGCGATATATACCTCCTCATGGAGTCCCGCGCTAATCACGTCCAGACTACAGCAGCACGTTGATCTCATTTTGCGGTTTTTTCAAGACTGGAAAATGTCTATCAACCCTGATAAAACGGAGGCGATAATTTTTACCCGCAGGAAATTACCGCCTCCCCCTTCTGTACGTGTATTGGATTACAATGTCCCGTGGGTGTCGCAAGTCAAATATCTGGGTGTCGTGCTCGACTCGAGGCTTGGCTGGGGCCCTGCAATCTCTGACAGAATTCGTAAAACGAACAATATTCTCAGAATTTTATACCCTTACATAAATTCAAAAAGCACTCTGCATACTAAGTACAAATTACTCCTCTATAAAGCATGCGCGCGCACCGCTCTGACATATGCGGCCCCGGTTTGGGCCGCCGCGGCAAACACACACCTAAAACAAATTCAAACAACTCAAAACAAATTCTTAAGAGTGATCCTAAACAAACCCCCTGACACCCGAATCGCAGATCTACATAGTGAATCCAGCATAGAATACACAAACGAATTTATTTTCCGCCTATTAAGCAACATTTACTGCCATGAACATAAAAACCCACTAATAAGTGACACGGGCAACTACGACATACGCGAACTTCCTTTTCGAATCAGATGCAGGCTCCCCAAACATTTCCAATCAGATATTGCTACCAGTACATGAACAAATATTACTTATATCTTTACCCATATTACCCCACCTATATATTCAAGCCACTTTATAAAGTATTACTTCATCTGACTGGGCTCTTCCCTATACCATCTTCTTGACTTATTCTTTTGTTTTTTAAAATTATATGTTATCTATTTAATTATAATATATTTATATCTTATTATTGATCCAATTTTAATATACTTAAGTCTGTATTATTTATTTAAATTACTTATCTAATTTATATATTTAATTTAGTTATTAATAAATCAACACATACATATTTGCCCACTCTCGCACTTCCTTTCATATCTCCACCAATCCGGTGTGTACTTGCTCGGGTTTTTTGCAAGTTTTCCCGACTCATTAACCATTTCGGAACAAAGCTTTATCCTAGACTTAACTCTCATGCACTATACTTAAATACACTCATGTAATATGCAGGTTGTAGGCTTGTCCCTGGTACTGCACTTTTCAACCACTGGAAATTAAATAAAAAAAAGTCGAAGAGACAGACCCATTTGGGACACCGTGCGTTTGACGTCGCTTTGTAAAACTTCAATTGTTCGTTAGTCGCAAACATGTCTGGCCGTGGCAAAGGTGGTAAGGCTAAGGGAAAGGCGAAGTCGCGCTCGAATCGTGCCGGGCTGCAGTTCCCCGTCGGACGTATCCACAGGCTTCTGCGAAAGGGAAATTACGCCGAGCGCGTCGGTGCCGGTGCCCCGGTCTACCTGGCCGCGGTGATGGAGTACCTCGCTGCGGAAGTGTTGGAATTGGCGGGAAACGCCGCGCGTGACAACAAGAAGACCAGGATCATTCCCAGGCACTTGCAGCTGGCCATCCGCAATGACGAGGAACTGAACAAACTGCTCTCTGGCGTCACCATCGCTCAGGGTGGCGTACTGCCAAATATCCAGGCAGTCCTGCTGCCGAAGAAGACCGAGAAGAAGGCTTAAATGCAGAACTGCAGAGCAGAACAAATGAAACGGCCCTTTTTAGGGCCACCATATTCTTCATGTACGAAGAGCACCTCGTTTGCAATACTATGTATAATTTTTACACGCTTAACACAAGTCATATCAGCATAAAAAAATTCTTTAAAATTGCATTTAATTTTTTTAAACATGTTTTTATGTAATATTCGAGACGTATGTTTTCTGCAATTATTGTGTTCATAAAGTTTTCGAGATATAAAGGTATATTAATTTAACTTATTTAATCATATGTAAATACATTATATATTTCAGCTGAATCGTATTTAAATTGATTGATTAATTTTATATTTAGAATAAAACCATTTGATTGCTGCTGAATTATTTTTGCTCGTTGGCATATTGTACTTATATAATCGTACGAGAAACAGACCTAATTTAATTATATATGTATATATGTCATCATGTATATAAAGTACATGTGAGGATAATAACTGGACAATACAAAAGAACAATAATTATGCTATAAATTTGATGATATTTTGGATATCATGGAGTATATTTTTCTACAAATTATTTTCTTTTAATTTTAAATATTCAAAATAATTTTAGATTAGAATGAAATAAGTATATATCTTTTTGTATAGTAACCACTCTGTGGCAACTGCGGCTACGCCGGCTATGCGTGGTTCTCCGGGTCCTCCCCACCATCGTTCTAAAGGCCAATCAGACAACGTTGGACGTTCGCTGAAGTTATAAAAGACCGTACAACGGGAATACTTACAATTAGTCATTTCTTGACTTCTTGTACGCTGGCTGTAGTGGTCGCTGGCCACGCTGTGATCGTTTACAATTGAGGAAATTTAAAGAATTACAGAATGAATGTACGGTTTCTAAAAGAAAACTGCTTTTAGATTAACTAAAGACAAAGCTCTTCCACATGATATTCGACTAGATTCGCCTCCTCGTAGGACATTCTCAGGTACCGAGAATAGACTAACGTACTATGTTACGCCAGACGATAATGTGAATTTTGTAGAATTACCAAAAATGCAAAATTTTTAATTGCTTCTGTAATCCGTAAATTACTCATTGTTTATGAAATTACTCGAAACTTTGAAATAAAAGTTTCGAGTTATGGCGTTTCAAAAGACGCAAAATTTACTTGGATTGTTTGAAAACTTTATTTATGCCAAATGAGTTATGTCAGTAGATATCCAATTGTACCGATTATTAGAGTAAATTAACATAAATGCTGAAAAAAATAGAAACAATCCATTTCAGGACTTATTTACTTATGCGAAGAACACCTTGAATTTGCCACACATATATAAACAATCTATTCCAAATATAAAAAATGTATTTTGCATTTAAATACGTATAAAACTATGTCTTTTTTCTTGTTAAATTTATTATAAATATTGAAACGACTGGATATTTACGTCAGTGTGCGAAATCGAGCTACCTATCTTTGTTGATTTAATTTATAATTGCATGCGATACGTTATTTTTCGGACAGTGCACTAGGCCATAAGAAACATCGCGGAAATTCTATACCGTGACAGGAAGTAGCGACGATTCTAAATGCGATACTCGAAAATTGGAGGCTATCGCGTGACTTTTATTCGGAAGATTTTCTTCTCATGCAACATTATTCCGTAAAAATCGGGATAATATGCCAAGCGGGGTAATCTTTGAAGCATCATATTCCATCTTACCGCAATCATTTCTGCATGAAGATATATTGCATATATGTAGAACGTATAAGGAATGAATATTGTTCAACGATATTTCCTAATTACAAATCGTAAACACGCGATAAAAGCTACATTTGAGCCGGGGCATTGTAGTTGGGCGGGAATTTATTTGAAATTATAATTTGTTTTGCAGAAATGTATGGTAGAAATATAAGAGATAAAATTGTACTTCGTTCATTACTTATATACACCTGGGGTCTACTTTTCATGTACAATGTTTGCGTTAAGAATCAACCAAGATAAAACTGTTGAAGTTCTACCGACGGAGCGAATATAAAATTATATTTTCCTCATCGCTCTCTCGTGTACATTCGTTCTTATAATAAAGCTATATACATATGTCGCGTTGACTTTTCACAAAATGATCCAGGCAACTTCCTGTTGTACGGTGTTGTATCTATACTCGTGTCTAAAGGAATATCGTTAAAAAAACGAGAAGAAAGACGTCGTTCGGTCGTAAAATTAAGTATTTCTCCGGTTGAGAAAACAGAGCGTCGGGAAGTGCTGCTATAGGTTTTCGTTCGGTATTTTTCGTGTGCCGCGCGCTCGGGACACGTGAAGCAGGGTAGAACCCGGTGGAACCTTAACGATCATGAAACTCTGTTACAGGCACGAACGCACGCAAGCATGCATGCACGCGAGCGGGCACGCACGCACGGCACGCATGCACGCACGCACGGCACGCACGCGGCCACCACCGCCACGCACGCGGGAATTGTCGGCCGTGCATACAATAGGCGAATATGTACATATATACATACATACATACGCACGCGAGCACGCACGGTAAGCACATGCACGCATGCACACTCAGCTTCGCCTTGGCTTAATGCGGGCCTACCGTGCCGCGGAACGACTTCGTTCGCCTTTCGATCCAACGCTATACCCGCGCTAGCTTTCTTACGAGAAATAATATAATGCTTCGTAGACGTTACGAAATAAACGTTATAACGACGGAGCCGTCTATATTTACAAATTTCGAGTATGTATTTAGAACTTTCCAAATTTTGCTCTTTCTAAGAAAATCCGTGCGATCATTTTCAATTTACAGAGCGAGAAGGATTTATTAATAATCTTAAGCGTAAATCAAAATCTGAAAATATTATTTGTTTAGTTATACCGCGCTGCTTTGCTCCTTTTTTTTTCGCGAGCTTTAAAGCTGAATGTATTGCTGTATGCTGTATAAATTGGAAGTAATAATAGCAATAGTTTTATTAAAGAGTTAATATAATATTTTTGTGTTGATGAGATAAAACATATCGGTTCGTTAAACATATTGATAATTATTACAAATTTTCATTTATATGGAAATAAAATAGAAATATTAAAGCATTTAATTCTGTTCAAACTATTTAATTTCAATGCAGAATAATGCAGGAGATTGCAGCAATTTATAACTCGTGTGTCAGAACAGAAAATTTTATTTATATCTTCGTGTAATATACGTGTCAAGTAACGCGGAAAAAACATTTGAGAAATCAGAATAACATACAAAAAAAAATATATATATACATTAATATAATATACAATGAAATAAATCATAAAAATATTTATGATGCGAATACAGGTCGTTTAAGGCACGTTCGGGGAGCACGCTGTTAGCGCTATCGCGTCATTTCTATCTTTGTTTTACATTTAATGAATGATAAAGATAGATTGACGCGATAGAGCGCTGATAGCGTGTGTTCCCCGAACGCGTCTTAAGCGCGTTTAAATTCTGCGACTCCATCGAGTCCGATATCAGTGAGATATATACATGTGCAGTATGCATACATCTCATTGAGTCCGATGTATTGTATATCGATGGTCATATATTCAAGGTTACAAAGATTTATATCTAATAAGACATTCCACCGCGATCAAGATGCATATAATTGTTCCGTTCGGCAAGACGTATATACGTGCTGGAATACACGAATTTTTAACGCTCAAGCGTTCCGGGGGGGCGTTTGAACTTGGCGCGCGAACGCGAGCCAATACTCGGCGCGGGACGGCCATGCCGCTCGACCGTGGTGCTCTGAGCTCTCCCGACTCCGGCGATGTTTGTGCGTGCCTGGCACGACTGCGGTCCCACTGTCGCGCTCGCCGTCAACGTCGTCGCGTGAGTGAGAAGGCTCGCGGACACCCACCGCACGGTGCGACAGCGTCCCGACAATACCAAGCGTCCCCGTCCGATCCCCGCGCGACATGTCAAGTCAAATATGTCTAAAGTGGAACAGTTTTCTCAGCAATATCGCGACCAGCTTCGAGAGCCTGTGGGAGGAAGAGGGCCTGGTGGACGTGACTCTCGCGAGTGACGGACAGTGCCTCACGGCGCACAAGGTGATACTCTCGGCCAGCAGTCCCTTCTTCAAGAAGGTCTTCCAGGTAAGCCTGTCAAGGTCGCCCTCGTGGCCGTCCCCGTGCATACGACGCGTTACGACGATGACCAGTCATCCTTGAACGCCTACTTCTCGCTGCTCGTTCGGAACCTGTCCTCGCGTCGCACGCGTGTTGTCGTGCCCGTGACGACGATGACGACGACGACGACGACCAGGCGGGTAAAACGACGCGTTTGACAGCTGTCGCGTAGCCTTCGGATGCATTCTCGCATCGAGGTTAGAGGACTACTGCCGCGACTGTTATCGAGATAAATCCGACGATTATTGACTACACGCGACTGTTAGCTATCTGGCTCTAATTGAGACAATTTTCTTGCTTATTGTCGATTTTTGTCGGCGAATGATAATTTATCTCTCCCTTTCCTATTCCTGAGACGATAGATCGTTCTACAAGTTGTCAATAGTCGATTTAAATTTGCTGTAACGCAAAATGTTAATTTTAGCATTTAAAAGTACAAGTTTTATTTATATTTTGATTTTTTCTTTGTGGAAACGATGATAAAAGTAACCCTGATCAAAGAAGAACCAATGATTACTATGATATAGTGAAATAACTGGAATATTTATTAACTGTAATTCAATATAAAATTATGCATTTTTACATGTCTACATATATTTTACATGTTACAAATTTTACGAGTATTTCTTCTTGTACATATTTGTAATTTTTCTTGTATACATTATATGTTATTAATTTGCTGTTACTATGAACACTACATGTTTCTAAAACAATACATTTTTTAAAATTGCTTACGATGAATTTAAATTATGGTGAATTTTAAAATAGACAAGCAGATTGGTTTATTAATTTAAAAATTTGAAGGAATGACAAATCTGATGAGCACAAATTCGATTAATTAATTAATGATATAGATTAATAATTTTTTTTAATAATATAGTCTGACAATTTTATTCTTTTATTTTCTAGACAAACCCGTGTCAGCATCCGGTTATAATACTTCAGGATGTACACTTTAGTGAATTGGAAGCACTGTTAATATTTATATACAAAGGCGAGGTAAATATTGAGCAAAAAAATTTGCCAGCGCTCTTAAAAGCAGCAGAGACATTACAAATTCGGGGTTTGTCTGGTGGGGACATCTTCGCAAAGGAGTCCTACAAACGACTGGCTGAGCTAGAACAGGCTGTGGCTGAGGATGCGCCGCTGAGTAAGGAGGAGACACCTAAAAAGAAACAGAAAGTTAGCAAACAACAGAACAATTCTATCTTGGAGAAAGCACTAACACCTAGAATATCGCAATCGGAAAATACAAATGAATCCGCTGCCAGCGATCAAAGCGGGAAAGATGGGGAGTACATGTTGCCAGAGACATTACCTAATCCAGTGTATCATCGTTTGGAGATGAAAGTTAGTTTAAAAAGTAGAAAATTGTTGATAACGATAATAAAACATTTGTGCGTCACGTACAATGGCGTGTATGAAATATAGTATTTAATCCAAACGCATTTCAGATAGAACCATTGGAAATGGCGGTAGACGATCTCCAGAAACGATCTCCAATAGATAAGGATCCAGCGGAAAGGCTAGACACAGGACAGGCAGATGGAAATCAAGGTTAGTGTCACGTATAAACCAATCGGATTTTTACTTTATAGTTTAGTATGCATTACATAGATGTTTTAAGTAGCGGCTCTTATATATTACATTTTATGTTTTTCTGTGTTAGAAAATTACTGTTCACTAAGTGAAACACTGAGTCTCCTTTCTTTGCATTTTCACTGCTATATTGTTGCTAATGTCTTCGTTTTATTAAATATAAATCTTTTAAATTAGTTACATTTAGAAATATAATTTGCATATATAAACATATGTTTTGAAGATACGTACCTTGAATTTTTTTAGTTAGAATTTCTTAAAGATATGTGTTACGATGAGTTTTTTACTTAAAATTTAATTGTGGATTATTATTTATTTTTCATTTTTCAATTAAATGTTTTATATAAATTGCACTTCAATATTTTTTTAGTATTAGCATAAAAATTTTGTTATTAAATATATTGAATATCTTATAATTACAAGAAAGAAATATTTCTTTTTAATAATTTATTTACTTTATAAATTAGCACATTTATTGTGTAGGTTATCATTTTCATTAATTGAATACGTTAAGTTTGATAAATATATTATTATTATTATTAATCTAGATGCAAAAAAAGCGTTTTGTGAAAATAAGAAGTTTTAATCTAATGCGGATATAATCACATTTTGCTTTTTCGGGAACCGAATATCAGCTATATATCATATTTAGCATATATTGCTCCTAAAAAAAATCTATTGTTTTCATTATCGCATATATAATTAATATTATCACATGCACAAATGCTGTATACAATTGTATACACAAATTCACTGTCTTTGCGTATGCCGGCAGCTACTGTAGTATCAAAGCTTTTTCTTTGGTACCGCAGATCGTTAGCTTTTTCGAATATTCTGTTCGCTTTCACCGCATATTCTGTTTTGCTCGTTTTTGGCGCGCCACCGTTTTTTCTTCATTTGCTGTGCTACAAGGGCTCCGTGTTATATGAGATAGAGACAAAGATTGCGTGCACGAGTAAAGAAAACTTACTCTATCGAAAAGACAATGAGAGCGACGTAAATTGGTGCAAATGACACATGTCCCCGTGTGGCTCATTGCGTTCACGGCAAAAAGTATTTCGCGGAATATTTGATATGGAAGTATAACGTTTATCCCGAAGCACGATTGATTTGTAATAACTGTAATTCGCGGAAAAACTGACGCGGCTAATCATTGCGACTTTAATTTCTGCAATTCGGAGAGTTTCATAAGAATGACGGAGCCGGTTTCGGCGTCACGCTTCGATCGGCGGTGCATAAGCGTATGTGCGTGCATGCGTGAGCAGTGCATACGTGAGATGGAAGATGCGTGATCGGTCCTTCATTATAGCCTTTAATGTACACTCGCTCGCATTTTCTTTATTGTGCGCGTAATTCACGTGTGTGGGGCAGCCCGTGTCTAAAGCGCGCTGTGCTGATATGTGTGGCAGGGTCTGGGAACAGCCCTGCTGAAGACATTTCCGGTTTATCTGGCTTGTCCGGGCTAAGTGGATTCTCGGATGTCAAACCGCTGCTTTACTCGTATCAGCATCTACCTTACGCCGATCTCCTGCCAAGCCCGGACATAATCTCGACCTGGGCGTCGTCCCGGCCGATGGACCATTTGGCCTGCGACCTCATGAAGATTCTCTTTACGCCGGAAGAGAGGATCCTCTGCAATGTCAATGGCAAGATGGGCAAGCAGCAGTTCGATAGCAACAAAATACATTTAATTCGGGAGGTCCTGTTGCACTTTAGCGGCATAGCGCCTAACAGCATCGAGTGGGAGGAGGCTTGGAAGAATTGCGTAACCAAAATCGACACTAGTAATAGGGGCTTGAAAAGGTATCTGTTTCAGAGACGCTCGGTCTACACCCAATGACTAGGGCGTTTTAGGTCAGGGGTCAAACGGAAACGTTTCCACTGGCTGGAATAGGATCGTTCTTGTAAACCCGTCACCCTGTTCGTTCCCACACAAGCGTCGCAGAACGACTCGTTCCTCTCTTGTTCCTCTTTGGTATGATGGCTTTCGCGCTTTACATTTAGGACACTGTAAAAAAAAAAAAAAACAATTGATGTAAGTAGAGAGTAAGATGATTCACGCGCGTGTAGCATGTAGCCAGGGGAAGAAGAGACGGATAGTCAGCTACGACGTGGCTTACGAGTCGCGGAGTTAACGGTGCAATAGGATTGAAACGTGCGCTTTTCGATCCGCGGTGACGTTTCTGGGCTGTAGATTTCGGGGTGACAGGGTGAACTAGGAAGAGCATTGTAGACGCGATCGAATTATTTATACGCTTCAGGTTCGCCGCTCGGCGTGATGGGTGGCGAACAATCGAATAACTCTAAGCCTTCCTCATAGTTTCCTTCTAATTTTCATCTTATCACGGGAAATCTCGAGATAATTTGTTTGATCTCTCCTCCCAACCCCCACTCTTCACATTCGTACGCCGCGCGTGCTTAAAAAGAATCTCCTCCGCTACTCTCTCACGATGCGTTCACGCAGCAAGATTTTCGATCATTCTCATCTGCTTGTGTACATTTGTTTCACATATAGCACCTCGAATAACATTCCTTATTACTCTTTTAGTTATGGTTCATGCGAGAATTTGCTCTTACAGTAAAAACGCGATACGATATTATTAAAAAGTTGGCGTATATCCCAAGAGACACGCGAGTCTCTCTTTCTCTCTCTCTCGCACTCGAATATACACATCACGTACTCGCTCACACGCATTACCAATACACACGGACAGGACGCGCGTGTATGTATGCATTCGTTATTGCGGAAATGTGTCCGTGTATATACACGAGCGTGCGTACGCGGTACGCGTATCCAGTTAGAGGTATACGTATGGTATATGTATGTACATATATGTACAAGGATACGTTTCGGTCGTGTCGATCACGTACGTGCGTGAACGTGCTGCACGGCCACGGCAGCTCTATGTACACTTAAAGAAAGAAAGAAAAAAAAAAAGAAAAACCGTAGCTCTTACGACAGGAATAGTGATTTAAGATACATGCTTGTAGAGTATTTAAATCGCAGCAGGAGGTGCACTCAGCATGCTCCACGAACTATTAGGGTATACGTTGCGAATCAACGTGCGATTTCTATCGCGCGTCCCTTTCTCGAGACTCGCGCGAAAGTGTTCTTTGATCTCCGTTTATTTGTAAAGTCGTGTCGATTTTTTGTTTGTTTCGGTTTGCGCGGTACGAGCGTTGATCATTGGAGCACATCGACAGCTTCGAAGCGATATTATTTAAATCATTATTATTGTAGACAAGACAAACGACTGGTCGCAAATAAACATATTTTACATTTTTAATTGTCTCCTTATTTTTGTGATTTCTGTTACTTGTCATATTCCTTCGCTCATCGCGTATCTATATGCTTACGGAATTCTACGAAAAAATAAGCGTAGCGTTTCATAGTGTTTGTAAGAGGGAAAATTTTTTTGACTCTTTCTGTAAATAAACTTAAATATTTTCCATGTATTTTACATTATAAATATCATTTCAAGTTAGAGTAAAATTGAGAATAAGTTAATAGTTAACGAAATAAATATGCGATATTATTTAAAGTGAAAAAATAGAACGTCTACATACTTATAAATACTATCTCTCTATTTTTATACGCAAATAAATACGCGGTATTATTTAAAGCGAAAAAATAGAGCCTCTATATACATACTTAAAAATGCTATCTCTCTATTTTTGTATTTGTAAGTAGAAAACCATGAAAGTCAAGGAATTATTATCGACTATATATATTTATACTATTACTGATTACCGTATGCAACATTTAATTTACGCATTAAATTCCGCTTATGGAGAAACAATTCAAATGGTAGACTGAAATTCTTTACAGGATCGTCGAAGCCGATTGTGACAGTAATAGCCGAAGCTCGCCACACTTCACCAGATCCGCAAACGCACAGGAGAGATTTCCTTGCAGTTGAATGCAGCTCGTTCAGTCGCTTTTCGGGTCTCTCGAAATATATGGCGGATCCATCATCTGACTTACCGAATTATTCTCGTGCCGAACAAACTTCGCCAGATCCGCAAACGCACAGGACAGATTCCGCAGTTGAACGTTTTTGGAATCTCTCGAAATATGTGAAGGACTCATCATCTGACTTACCGAATTATTCTCGTGCCGAACAAACGTTAGATCAACCGGAATCCTCGAATTTCCTGGGACACAATCCTGGAGTTTCACAACCCAGTTTCCCCGCGTTCGTCGAGTCCTACAGTACAGATTTATCAGAAGAGGCTGTAAAAGGTGGACCAGTGTATCCACCGTTTCCCTGCCCTTTTTGCGACAGGGCATATACGAGTTGGGGCTTCCGCAGAAGGCATATAAAAGCTGTCCATACTATTTCTCCATCTCTTAATTGCAAATGGTGTTTACAAGTGAGTTCGTGGAGTTCTTTGATTATTTAAAAAAATAAAAAGCAAGCGAATTGAATTATATGCCGTATTTGTATTTATATGACGGAGAATATTTATTTTATTTTTGTCTATACGTAGGTTCTTCCCACGCACGCAGCTTGGAGACGGCATGTGATATCAGCGCATAATTTATCAGCCAGTGACGCACATAATGGTCTTTTAATTTTGGAAGAAGCACATATGGTTCTGCAAATAGCGCGTCCTACTAGATTGGATACATTGGTTAACATTATTAAGCAAAGTTCGCAACAAAACTGTGGTCACGATAGCACTCAACCAGATAAAGATTAGGTAATGATCATTTAAATTTTACATATCAAGGAGTTATCTGCATTCAAAATTTTTCAATAAAATTCATATTGTTGGTAATGTCCTTGATGACACCGTTGTGTTCGAAGCAAATGCAAATTTTTTTTTTATATTAACAAATTTTAATGTATTTTTAATATATATACATAATGTATATATAATATACATATATGTTATTTGTCGAGATATTGATATATTTTATCTGTGGTCGTGAATAAGATGTAAATTATATTTCTACGTTTTATATCAGATCAGCAACTTGTTTTGTAAAAAAAAAATAATCTGAATATTGTTTATGAGGCTGGATATATAAAATTACGATGAAATAACATATATTTCCACATATGAACTACTGTGATGAATAAACATGTTACCAAACATTTTTAGAGATTGTTTAAAAATGTTTAGTAACACAATGTGTGACTTTTTTTGCATTTGTAGACGTTATATATTTAAGAAAAGTTGTTATACGTATGGCCAGTATGTATACATATTATATTCTAAATTCAAATTTTACAATATAATGAATCGTGAAAAAAAGATGAGATTTTATATATCGTCTATACATTATTTATTGAAAATTATGATAATATAATTATAGTAATTTTAGTGTTTTTACAAAGAAGAATATCTATGTTATTATTTATATTAATTGAAGCAAATTTATACATTCTACTCTTATTACTATTATTTTTTATCAACCATTTCATAATTAACCATATTGGATTTTTACTTGTACTATATTTAATAATAATGGACAAACTAGAATATTATTAGAATATTTGTCTTTCTTTGTCTTAATAGAAGAATGATGTTATTATATCTTTATATAAATTGTTAAGTACTTATATATATTTTTTCATGAACACATAATGCGCGTAATCAGTACTATTAATGCATAATACACTATGTATAATTTAAATTATTTATTCTGAGTTACTGATACTGATGTGGTTATTGTTTGTATCAATAGAGAAATAATATTTAATTTTCTGCAATAAGTAAATTGCAAATAAAATTATTTAATCAATAAGTTGTTACAAACAATTACGCTATTCGTTATAGATTTATGTTTTTCTCTATATCTAGCAATTAAAATTCAAAATATATATTGATTATTAACAATCTAAAATGAGAGAAATTGATTGCATTGATTTTTAATCTCTATTGAACTTTAATTAACAAGTTTTTTCTCCTTTCCAGATTATAGCCTTAGATATGACAGATACAGAGAGAGATGACTAAACATTAATGCAACTGATCCCTGCTTGTGATTCTTTATAGGTCAGCAACATAGCCCTTGACAATAATGCCTGGAGCTATCTCCGTAGTAACACTAGCCTTGGCGCCTTCCTCATTCCATGCGTTCTCTCTCGCGTACTTCTCTGACATGAGGATCATTTCGTTCGGACTCCATTCTGGCGAATCTTTGCGACTATCGCCACCTTTGTATGCAGTATTCGATTCGTCTAAGTCATTATTGCGGTGATAAGATTTTGACGTTGATTCTGACGATGTGACACTCTCATATACGGGATTACGTTTCATCGAAGCACGCTGGTGAGGCGTTTTTCGCAGCATCGCCTAGAATGAAATTTCTTTTGAAGACTATATACAACATGTAGTTTTCTCTAAAATTTAAAATATAATTACTTCATTTTTGAAACATTTTTATAAAAATAGAAAAATTTATATACATGTTTATAAAAATATATGACTGTGATTGAAAGAATAACATAAGTAAACTGATATATATCTTACTTGAAAGTTGAATGGAGGTGTATCATCGTTCTCATCATTGTTGTTCCTGCGTCCAATCATCTCCAATTCTTTAATAGGATTTACTCTATAATTAAAAATTATAGTTTATGTTACAAAGAAAAAATGTATTAATATTTATTGCCAAAAATTTATCTCAATTGAATTAATGATTACCGAATATCACTGTTAACATTGCGATTAAATCTATTCTCAAATTCCCATTCTGTACTATTTTTGTTTTGAATTTGTTTTGTATTTGACTCATAACTATTGAAATTGCGCTTTGCCGAGGGTTGCGTTTGATTGAGTGATATCGGTGGCAATGGTGCTTTCTTCCTGGAGTGTGCTGATTCAACATTGTCGATGTTGTTCTATACATATAAAATTTAAATTTTTATATATACATTTTATTTATATTTATGTATGTATTATGTATACGTTATTACATATGTCGTATTATATATAAGACATATGTAATAACGTATACATATATATTGGATTACTACTAATTAGGGAATAGAATTTTAAACTGTAAACTTTAATTTATAAACGAGTTATAATTGCAAATTGAAATATTTTATCAAATTAAGTATTATATACGTATGTAAATAAACTTTTCATTTTTCAATTAATATTATGTAGAATTTAATGGAAAACATTTCGTTTAACATTGAAAATTAAAAAGTAAATATTCTAGAGATGCAATGAAGTTTTCAAGGGGGAAAAATTAATATTTCTAAGCAAATGCTTCTAATGGAAGTAATTTTTAGTTATCCAAGATATATGTATTAGGTGATCAAAAGTCATACTTTATTGCAAACTTACGGAATAAGGAGTATAAAATTTGGAAGATTGTGTGCAGCCACGTTTATTCGCAGGTGGAAAGCCAGAAATGCTACGACGGGACGGTTCCTCTAGTGGACAATGAATCGGAATGTTCGGATCCCTGGTGAATGGAGTGTTTATCAAACTTTGTTCATTGTTGATAGATGAACGATGAAGGGGCATGCGATGTGGCGAATTTGTTGTTTGAACTTCGATGTCTGAAAAATGTAATCAGTTAGAAAAGGAAGTTCACGTTTTCACAGATGATATATAATATAATCGGATAAGCCAATATATGACAAATTTATTTAATTGCTTTTAGTTTTTAGAGCTCTTTAGAATTTCTTTACAGCGAATTTAGGTACCTCTGGTGTGAACATTTTTTTTGGCCCAGGGCACGGTTTGTCTACGTAACGGTGCATCCCAGGACTCGTGCTCGTTGTCGCTTAATATAGACGATATAGATCTGCGAGAATATCTTTCTCAGTTCATTTTATAAATTGTCGAAGTGTTTTTAAAATTCTTACTTTTTGAAATAGAAACTATACGATATGAAGAATGCATAGCTGAAGACTGACGTGTGAAAAAAGAAGACAAACAATATCTAAAAATGTACATAGATATAGAGCACCCAACAATCTTAATTATGATACTTAATAAGAGTAAGAATTCCTGTAAGAGTGAATTAAGCCATTCTGTGCATTCTTACAAGTTTTCAGTCAAATGAAATATCTCGTGTAATATATTTTTTTGCGAACTTCATATTTCTGAAAATTTTCTAATACTATCTCTATATTCTATTTCTTGTAATTTTCATTAATTTTTACTTTTCAAATATTTAAATATATTGTAGTCTTTGCATATTTACAAATTACATTAGGGCGTTTTAGTTCGCAATGTATGTATGTACGTACATCGTGATCACAGAAAATTGATCGATTTAAATTTTACGCGTGCTTCTGACGTAGCGTATGCGCACAAGTCAAACGCGCATCCGCCATGTTTGCGGCAAGTTCGCGCGGTCGCGCCGCCTCGCGTTGTAAGAAATCGTGTGTTTTTCGTGTGTTACTCATTGAAAATGATTCTCGTTTGTAAAAAAGGTACATCGGACAAGCAAGTGGGAATTCGTCGCAACGTTCCCATTCGAGAGTAGACAGTGCCTTTCCTGCTTTTTACGACATTCGACTTTCCTTTGCAACACGGAAATGGAACATGACAATAATGAACGGGATTTCGACTTTCCCTTGCATTATGGAAATGGAACGGGACAATAATGAACGAGTCCAGAATAGTTGAAAAGGTACTTACCCTCGTTTAATATTTGTGATCGAAGGATCATTTACGTAGTTCATGTCAAAATACGGGAGCTCTTGTTGCATATTGAAAGGTAGTTTATAGACCTGAGGTGGTTTCACCTTACTTATATAGGTATCTATTTTGGCATTCGGATCGACCTTATCCAGAGATACACTTTCATTCATTTTCTCCAAAGCTGCTACTATCGATTGATTATATAGATGAACCTGTTACATGAACCTTTGATTATTTATTATTTCGATTGTGGGAGTTTTAATAAAAATTCTTATATTGTTTTATTTTATAGAAGAAGAAAATTAGAAAATTTAAATTTTCTAATTTTCTTATAATATATAACAAAATGTAAATTGATTGATGAATTAGATATCGTTAATTAATATTTTTCATCTCTGTTTCTAAACAATTTTTCGTAAAAATTGTTTGAAATTCTTGAAAAATAATATATTTTTTTATATTAGGAAAACAGATTGAGAGATTAATTTATAAATTAAATTAAAAGAAAGAAAAATAATACCTGTTGTGATAATTGCACGAAATCTTGATACCGAGCTGCACGGTACCGTAAGAGAACTTGGAACATGCTTTTCGATCTCCATTTACTGCAATAGAACTTGATAAAATCCTTCGTCTCTTGGCTCATTTCTTCCTTGAAGGGTCCTATTTCTTTTCGTACCACGTGTCCTCTGTATGCTAAATTTAACAAGTATAATATAATAATGAAATATAAGTAACTTATATAAACTCTATAAAATAAATGTCTTATATAAATACTTATAAATGTTTTGCAACGAATTGTTAAACGTTTTATATTACAAATTACAATTTATTTATATTCACTGGTAGTTAAAATGGCAGACACTTAATTAAACTTTTATAAAATTTCTTCCGGTTGCATCAAAACCGAAAAACACTGTTATTAACAAATCCTGTTATTAAATCTTGTTTATTTGAATTTAAAAAAGATAAAATATTTTTAAAAATTATGGTATAGATATGTATAAAATTCTAAAAAAAGAATTTTGTTAATTGCGAAAATATGTATTATTAAAATGTTAGTACCACAATTATTGTTAGGAGTATATTGTCGCGAAAAATATGTAAAGTAAGTACAATTAATCATATTTTGACCTCTATAGATGGAAACCCCGTCCTTCCCTTATTTTTAACGCGATTTATTGCTGAACAGCTTATAACAAAGTCGATATTAGAGCAATAAATAGCACTAAATTTTTTAATAAATCTGATCCCCCCCCCATCTTTGTTTCGCGCTAGGGTCCAGCTTAATAGAAGACATAGTAGCAGATTCTGATTAAAAATCAAAGTTATTTTTCAATACCTACTTTTTTGTATCATCAATGCCGCTTCTTCTTCACTAAGTGAGATAGTCTTGTGTATTGACGCTCTCTTCACTGAAACAGTGCCATTATCTTAGTTGAAATATTTGAAAAGTTGTAGCATTATTCAAATCATAAACACACTACTGTAAACTGTAAATAGCAAATTACCGCATTTACCGCGATTTATTTGATCAGAAAATGTACTTACCAAGTTCCTTTTTGATATTATTGATCTTCGAGGCGATGTTCTTGCGCGCTAGAAAGGCACGCATCATACACTGCACTTTTATGATTTTTTTCACTTGAGTCTCGTATAAACGCGATAGGTATTCCTCATTGTAGTACTTCAAGAAGACTTTGGTCTTACCGATGATCCAGCCTTCCATTTTTAATCTAATCAGAAGTAGTCTGCAATTATCTTTTGTCATCTCTACCGTCTCGTCGAAATCGAAGGCTAGAAACTTGTATCTGTAATTGGAAATTGTATCTGTAATTAGTTGCCTTACATTTTGTAATACGAGAATTATATAAGACAATCTGAATTCTAGTGCATATTTAATTTTATATCAAAGTCAGTTAAACATGTTATTTCTTGCTTTAATCGAAAATTAAATTAAATTCTGTAAAATATTGAAGAATTAAGTGACTTGCTATATTTAATTGAAAATATTATTTTGATAAGACATTGAAGAATTAAGTTACCTTCGAAGAAATTCTTGAAAGGGTATCCTATATGGATATCCGCATCGTCTTGCTTTCGCTGTATCAAGAACTGCTAACGCCCTGATTTGTTGTCTAACGACTTCCCGGTAAAAGCTTCGAGGAGCATCATCGAGATCGGAGCGTATGCATCTTACAAAATGCGTGCCACCGTTTCCCGCGCCTGTCGCGAGATTTTTCAAAATTTCGAGACTCGTCGATCTGAACGTCGACGAGCACGTTCGCATGTTGCGTATCTGCGAGTACTGTCCTCTGGACGCAGTATTATATTTCTGTTAAATTTAAATGAAAGGTTTATGATGTAAACTAGAAGATTAGTTTTCGTGAAAAATTCTCTCTAAGTGCTTTTAACATTTAAATTAAGAAAAGCCTTGAATTAGTTGGAAACTGAATCGATCAAATAGTACCTATATTATTAAGAATTGAGATAAAGATATTAAATATATGATAGAAAAAGATATAAAGATATTAAAGATCTTGATATAATAAAGAGATAGGATTATTTACAACAATTTCACTTACTCGGAACGTAGAAGATTCCTGCACAACAGCACTCCATTTTTTTTTCGACGTTTCCTTCGCCGCGACACAATGTTCGTGAACGATCGTCAGGTTTCCCGACTTGGTTAGCTTGTTGGTGAACATCTGCTTGATCGTATCGTGCGAAGAGACTCTCATCGTGCCGATCATCTCCGGTGGTAGGAAGTTTCGATTTTTCGTGGTAATTTCACTGGCATCGTATATCAGCTTACCGGCGTAATGTGCGACCGTGAACTCGTGTGAGCTCACTGGTTTCACGTGGATGCCGCGTTTATGTTCTTTAATCCTCTCGAGAATGTACTGAGCGTCTTGCATTTGCCGCGAAGCGTCGTCGATGATACGAAAGAGACCATCCTCTTTATTCATTAGTCGATCAACCGCTTCCTTATTATCGTAAAAGCGTAATTGTCGCATGGGTATGTCCTCCTCTTCTTGTTCTTGCTGAAAATCGTAAAAGAGTACCTAATACAAATTCTTTCATTTAGTATGTAATTATAATAATTATTAATAAATTTTGTTTATTGCTTGATGTGCATACATACAGCCATGTGTACAGAATTTAAAGCTTTTATGATCCTAATTTAATTAATCCTTAAAAAGACGCGAATGAATTTATGATGTAATGGTATACATTTAATAACGTTTGCGAATATTAAAATGTAAAATCATAATAGGATATAAGTCCTTTAAAAATTTATCAAAAATAAGATAAATTATTTTTTTAGTACTTATACACAAGAAAAATAGAGACTGAAAATTTAGCTGTTTAAATATATTACCAAATTTGTTAATATGTTTTTACAGCATAACAGATTATTCATTAGAAATTTACCATTTCCCAGGCGAATACTCTTTGATTATAATAATATTGCATTTGCTCGTTTATGGTATTCACTAGTAGTTGTTCAAATCGATTTACTGAGAAACATTCGAATCCAAAGTGATCAAGGATGCTGATAGAATGTTTATCACCACTGAAAATCACAATAGAAATTTTAACAATTGATATAAAATCCTTATTAATATTTTTTTTGTCCGAATTTCTATAAAATTTTCAGTTAACTTACTAAAGACTACGAGTCATTGAAAGTTTATAATTGATAGTGTTGATTATCCAATCTACTAAATGCTGATAAAGAGTGTTCGCCAAGACATCCCGCGCCTCTTTCGCTTCCTCGCAAGTGTGTTTCCTACGTATCGCTGATCCCTTCACGACCAAGCAATAATTAACGAGAGCCCAAATAAATTTTTTTGAGTCCAAGCCAAGAAGTTCCACCACTGCAATTTGCAACAGCTGATTAGCTTTCATATCTCGCGGACAAATACATATTTTAACGCGATTTAATACATAAAAAGTATAATAAATCTCTCAAAAAGTGCATCGAACTGAATTCTTCGAATTCAAATTTTTACCTCTGTTGGCAATTTCGCTGTTGTCCAACTCAGCCTCTCCGTTATTGCCTTCAACGAATCGAATCTCCCCGAGTATCAGAATTGCTGCGAGGATTTTCCAAATAATCTCGCAATGCTCCTCCATATCCATAAATACAAAACATTCTCTAAGTTCTTTGAGCTTAAGCGCGTTGTTCCCTGGATCGTTTCTCACTTTGAACGCTCGTCTCTTTTCAGTACCCTTGTCGGTTATTCTGAGATATCGAAGTTTTCTCCCACTTGGTAGGAAATATGGTTTTAAATTTTCTGATGCTTCGAGACCGTCGTAAAAGTAGTAAAAAACATGGAAGTTTGATTGATTTCTGAAAAAGTACTTTTTTGTTATAAAAATAGTTAGCACAACATTTTTGCGAGTTACTACTTTCTATTTCTTATTCTATCATTTTTAATATTAATTAGATTATATTCTAACTTGTTTTATTATTTTTATTATTCTACTATTTTTGTATTTTCTTGAATTATAAGCAAAAAATTATAAGCTGTTTATTTTCATACATGCTGTACACGCCTGTACAATGATAACCCGTTATACATTGGAATATAGAATGTGAATATTCTTTGGTGCATTTTACTTTGATCTTATATTTTGCAAAACTCTTTAAAAAATTAGATAAATTTTCAGTTAAAAGATTCAAAGTCTGCATAATATGTTTATTAATTGTAAGAACAGTAGCTGTACATTCGATAAATAAATTATAATACCTGTCGTGAGTCGAAACACGCCATTTTTCCAACTGATATAACCAGAATATCGCCCCCGACGCTTTGCCAGTTGTCCCGAAAGTCGTCTGAGTTTGCAATATGCATCTGGTAGAATTAGCATTTAGCGGTGTCGCCGCGTTCGTAAAAGCGTGAATAATTTTTATAGCTCGCAGCACTTTCGCTCCGGTATCGTGCAGACCCTGAGAGTAAAATGATGTAAATGTTCTTCGTAATTTCGCTTATATATCTAATATATTCGCTTCGAGCTCACTTTTCCGAGGAACATGAGATGCTCTATTAAATGGAGCATATTCGTTGTTTTTCCGGAGTTACTTTCACCGGCCAGCACAATATGCTGCGATTCTTCGTTAAGCATAACATCTTGAAACGCGCTATCCGCCACGGAGTAAATGTGAGGAGCATTATCCGACCGCGATTTGCATTGATATTTCGCGTGATGCTGCAAATAAAATTATTCAGATTTTTTTCTGTATCATATATAACATAGTTTACAATCTTATTATTGAACATACATTTAACATTCACGAACAGATTTCACTTTTTTATATGTAGGATAGTAATATTTGATATACATGTAAAAATATGAATAAAATCTAAAGAAAAATAAAAAAGTAGAGATGCATTTGTAATTTCTTGCATTATATTATAAATTAATTATAAACATAAGAATATTACTTATACAAATTTATACAAATATACATTTATACAAATTTATACGCGTGTGTGAAGTTAGCACCTCAACAATAAAATTCCATAGTTCTGATTAGAGATTCTCGTTTTATTTTGAAGAAACGAAGAGTTCTTTATAATTTATAACAAGTTTCTGCTTAATAACAATTTTTAATTTAAATTTAAAAAATGAGATGTTAACTTCTTATCAAAATTCATGATCGAACGGCTTTGAACGGCTGTTATAAACTATAGAGAACTCTTCATCTCTTCAAAATGAAGTGGAAACTCTAGTCAGAACTACGGAATTTTATTGGGGTGTTAATTTCACACATGCCATTTATACACATTTATACAAATTAATAGTCTTTCAAGTAATCTCACACTTGTTTTTTGTATTTTTATGTATATTTTTAACTTATTTTTATTATATTAATATTTTTATATTTGCCGTTCTTTAATGATAAAAGTTTCAATATTATTTTTTTTTTCGAAAAAGAGATAAGCACAATAATGTTAATTTTGTTAATGATTAAATTTGTAAAAATAATTCAAGTGCTGAATATCGATGAGCTATCATAATAAGACTTACGTGAACACCGTAAATATCGTGCTCCTCGTTTGGGTTGAGTATCAATAAAATGTCACCGATAAACGTGTGATATTCACCTCGTCCCAGTCTGTCGCGGAGTTCATCCAAGATTACGTTCTCAGTCAGGACATCTAATGCCGCTAAGTCCTCCGTGTACATTTGTTCCGGTGGTTCATCCTGACGAGTCTATCGAACAAATTAAAATTTTCTTCTAATATATGTATATTATAAATCCATCATTCTCAGTTCAACTTATGTTTCGCGCAAGTCGTTACCTTCAAAAAACCTTTACGAACTATTGATTCCGCTTTTCTTTGTTTTCTGCCCTTCTCCGAGAGATCCATCGTCAGCGCTTTGATCTCTTGCGTCAGCTGAAAAATTGTGTATTTATCTTTTTATGACGATTTTCAATTAATTAGAATATTTGTAGACTCTAAAAAAGAAAAGGCAAATCAAGACTCTGTGTATCTATCTAACAATAAGATGTTATAAAAAATTAAAAATCGACAAGATATTTTGAAAGATGTGAAGTTTTATGATTCTTAATGAATAATAAACTTTGGTTTATAATTATAATTCTATTATTTTTATTAATTAATCGAACTTAAGTTTAAAAAAAAACTAAACGAATTTATGCATTTAGGAATTTCTGACAGGTTTTTGACGACACTTTATAATATGTTGTATAATTTTCTAACTTGTAGACTATACATTATACTGAATCAATGTATATTACAGGATAATCGTTTTCGGGTAACTCCAACAGAAAGGGATGCTCGATGATCTCCATCATGTATGGTCTGTTCTCAGGATTTTTTTCGAGGCATCTGAAACGGATATAAGTGCAGCCGTAGCTCACGTTAATTCGTTCGCGATATTCGTTCGTAATAAAGAAATTATCTATCTGATCGCGTACTCCGAAATGAAGTCATTGAGATTCTTCGACCAATTGGCGGGTCGGTAGAGAGTCGGCGGTGGATTCCGGACGATCTGGAAGAGCGTACGAGTCGGATGCATGTCCTCGAACGGTGCTTTGCCGTCGGCCAGCTCTATCGCCGTGATGCCGATCGCCCATACGTCGACTCGGCTGTCGTATCCACCGTCGGCTCCGCTATCCTTGCTGCCAACCATTTCCGGCGCCATCCAGGACGGTGAGCCTATGTAGGTGCGCCTTTTTTCAAGTTCATTCTTCGTCGTTCTCGAGAGCCCGAAATCCACTAATTTCACTTCGCCTTCCTTCGTCAGAACGATATTGTTGCCGCGAATGTCTCTATGGATTACATTGTGCTCGTGCAAATGGATCAAAGCCTGAAAGAAAGAAACATTATATGTAACATCCTTACAAAAATTTAATACTGAAAGGGGTGATCAATTACTTATTTTAAACATTGAAGTATTGAAGATTAAGTATTGAAAGCACTGTCGTTTTTAGTGTTTTTAATTAAATTGACTAGTATTAAATTGGATTTCTGTATAAGAATATCTAATTTTGATATTGTGCATAAAAATTTTTTTATTTTATGAAGCTAAAAAATAATCATTGATAAGAATTAGAAACAAGTAGATGAAAGATTGAATTATATCCTCAAGAAAACTTGTTATACCTGCAGCTATATGTTTTAGCAACAGAGAGTACTAATTGTGATTTGATAGTACTAATTGGTTTCCTTTAAAAATTGACAATTGCAAAACGCTATAAATATTAATATTATAGTATTTCGTGCAATATTCTGAGATCGCAGAATTGAAGAACAACACGAACGTAATATCTTCGAGATACGGCGATGCGGAAGAGAAGTTGGCAACTCGGCACCTTCAGTGTCTTGCGAGAATCGTCTTTATAGATTTACTGCAAATTGAACAATCTATAATTTGCAGCTGGCCGTGCTCACCGCGTGTAACAAGCGCGGGTCAGTGAGCAGTTCCGACGTGGCATGGGCATGAAATCATTAATACCTGGTTCATCAGCCAGTCGCTTTAAAGCCACATTCCGAAGTTAAAGCTAAACTACCTTGCAAAGTTTATAAACGCGCAATTTTTTATTCATTTCCCGCGGATTTTCGAAAACTTATTTTTAATATAACGTTTTTAATTATATTTGATAAATTTTTTATTTAGTTTCAATCAAGAAATTACTTTTAAACTACAGTTATTTTTATCTTTCTATTTAAGTTCGTATTATATGTCCGTATATTCTGCGTATATATATTGGATTTATTAATTTCAATATCAGACCAATAATGGTAAATTTGAATTATTTGTGATTTTTTTTTAAGTGGATCAATATGCAACACACAAATTATTATTATTTGCCTGAAATTTATATTTCGTCGTATTGTGTATTCGTCGATAATTTCGATAAATAAGACAGAAAGATAGAAAACATCGTTGATGAATGTTCGTTGACCGGATGGTAGACAAGAAATAGTTACAAGGGTAAGGAGGGAACTCTCAGGAGGGACGAACGAATTGTTAATTGGCGGATAAAGATTAAACGGGATATAACGATCGTGCAGAAGAAGCATACTGGTAGTCTTCATTCGTCTCTCGTTCTTTATCCGTTTCCCGTGCTCTCTTTGTGTTTCTGTTTCGAGCACTGCGCTTACTGCGCACTTCTCTTCGCGGGCATTTATTTCGCGTGTAATTTGCCGGCATTAAACGTCAGCGTGGTCTGATTTACCGCACGAGTGACCGTGGACGAATCGCTACCGGGCCCATGGAACACGTATCTGCGAGGAAAGAGCACAGAGGGGGAGAACGGGTGGAGGAAAAAGAAAGAGGGAGACGGGAGGGTTGCGTGTGCAGTTTCCAAGGTGGATAAGGAACGGCGGCGCGCGGCGCGGCGTCGGGCAATCGGGAGGGGGGGGGGTGAGGAGAAAAGGCGGGGAGTGCTGGACCCGGTGGCGAAGGGCATCGGATTGTGCGTGCACAGGGGGGGCATACCCGAAAGGTAGACCCACATAATGATTTAGTGACAAACTGCTTGGATCGTAAATATTATCGCCGTGAGCCATGAGCCACTCGCGAGAGAAAGAATGCTGGGCCCATTACACGTCGTGCCCTTTCGCCGCGCTTCCTCGGTGAACTTATGAGGGAAGAAGTGGATTTCTCGAGAGAAATATATTTTTTTCTCATTACATGAAAAAGATAGAAAACCTTCGTCAGCAATACTGCACATGCTTGTTTCCGATAGTTATAATTATTATTAGAAATTTTAAAATCATAAAGAATTTGCACATATTTACGTGTAGGTACGATTACATATGCCTGCCGTGTTTTAATTACGATGATTTTTAATATTCGAATAAAATCCGTTAGACTTTAAGTGATTTGATTAGTTATTAAAAATGTTTTTCTTATTCTCTTTACAATTTTATTGCGTTACTTAATAATATTTTTTTTTTTTTTTTTTTTATCGCGTTTGATATGCCTTTTAGATCTTAATCATTACTTACACTGCACTTCTCTCTATTAAATATGTTAAACTAGTAACATCTATTTTTAGAACATGTTGCTAAAAGTGTCAATTAACTGCAAATTATTGATTTATATTAGCTTACATACAAGGAAATTATCAATTTAAATTAAATGCATCAATGTATGCAATTTTTTAAATATGAATTATTAGATTTAAATATATATATTTTCTATGTTGAAAAGAGTGAAGATAAACCCATGTACTGTAATGTATACAGTCGTCGATCCTGTATTACTACCCGTTTATCAAGTACCGGTGCACGGAATAGACGGCAGTAATGATATATTTTAAACGTTTACTGTTTAACGGCTCGTGATACTTATGCCGTATTGGTCTATAGTTACGATGTTATAACGGTTGAATAATCATATAGTATAGAGGTATTTGACAGGAGTTAATAGATAAATCTGTGCAGATACTCGTAAGATAGGAATTATCGTATCACAAATAGAAATAAATTAGTTTTTTTTATATTTAATATTTTTTTATTACGTAAAATTTATTAATTTATATATCAAATCTGATTTGGTTCCTTCAAATTTCAGTTTTTTATATTTACAGTTATTGTCTCAAATCTTTCTCGTTATTATTTATTTTTTAACAAGATTTTTTTTCGGATGATTTTTTTGCTGTAATCGAAATGATAAAATAAGAGAAAGTTCAAAAATCAATAAGAAAAGATATTAATAATCATAAGAAAAAAATACTGAAATGATAAAATAGGAGAAATTTCAAGAAATTACGGTAGTCCGACAAATAAAATACTATCGATAATATAGTAACAAATAATATATATTGTTGCTTTACTGCGTTTAACTTAATTATTTCGTTCTTTTAAGCATTTGAACACTAACATCTTTACTACAGCTAATATTAGCTTCATTTCGCGTTTACATAAATGATAGTAAATAAAGAAATAAATAATTAAATATAGAAATATAATTAGCAAGGAAAAATCAATGACACACGAATCAAAGCGGAAATGGTCACTTAAGTTCCATCCTGTGGCGTGCATCAGTCATTTACTTTTTTCGATTCTCGTCTTTATTTTTCCTTCCATATATACATGTGTCTTCTTAAGTTCGTTGAGAAATGAGCACGATATCCTCACCAATTATCCGACCTCCTAGGAGAAACCGGAATCATGGAAGGTAGTATCATTGTAAATAAGCGAATCCGTTTTCCGTGACCATTAACTATTAAGCAAAATCATAGCAATTTACGAAACGAGAGGCTGTTTAGTTCTTCACATCCCATTCCTCCTTCACCTTTTTTTGTTTTTTTTCCTCTTTGTCTCTTCTGCTTCTGTCTTTCTTTATTTGAGCTTTATTCGAATTTCAATCCATGCTTTATTTGTGTCATCCCATTTCCTCGTCACAGTTTCGTCATCCACCAGTTCTTGCTTTTTTCTCTTTTGAAAGTTCTTGCTTTTTTCTCTTTTGAAACTTGTGGAAAAATTAACGGCACGGCTTACGTTTTATGATTGTCGTAAACAAGGGTAATATTCAATTAATGCAACGGTTTAAATTTATCGTGACGTTAACTGTATTGCCCATTAATGTTAATAATGATCAAAACAAAAAATGAATATTTGTACTGGATATGAATTACGTGAATTCATTAGGTTACTGCCTTGTTATTGTAAATGAAACCGTTATTTTATTTTTTTATTAAGTTAATTATTAATTTCATTGTACATCTATATGTATATATATACATATATATATAATATTTTGATAAAAATATTGAAATATTTATTTTTACAGTGACATACAGATGAATTAATTTTGATTTAAAGAAAAAATTAAATATATATCTTTGTATTTTCTATATCAAAGTTTTTATATAAATCTAGCAAAAGAATTAAAAGATTTTGTTCAATTCACATATTTCACGATATTTAATTTTTATATGTGTGTGTAATCACATAATTATCAATTATTGAATAAATTTTTATTTTCATTAGTAGTTTAATAGGCAATAGCCTTTAGAATTTTAGTCATTTATCGCGTAGTTATCATAATTACTAGTAAATCATATTTTTGTAAAGTCACGAAATACCTCGTTTTTTCATCGTCTTGTAATTGCACAGCAATATACTTCGACGCCAATGCACCTTCTGTAATCAGAGAGATAATCTGCCGCGAGATAAAAGCATCGTCGGGACATACCATCGAGCATAATTATATCGTAATAACGCGACTATTGCCGTGGCTACACCTATTATCATTTCTGTCGGTTCACTGGTGTGCTCTGTCATGCACAAGTAATATTTATTACGCTCTGTATCAAGAAAGGGAGGAAGGAAACAGAATGACGAGGGATAGTGAGGGGTACGGTAAGGGGTAGATTGCGGCACAATTTTGCTGGACATACCGCGATGGCGACCTTTCTCAGCTACCGACGTATATATCTTCTCGTACCCGAGCAAAAACTAATTACCTTAGTCGGACTTGCCTGTTTTCGGTCAGTCAGATATTTTCACTTTATAACATATCCATTTATTATTAATCTTACGTCTTACACAAGACGTGTCTGTTACCAAGATATATATCTTACTAAAATATTTCGATTATTTAATCTTTGTTAGCTTTGTTAATTAATTTTAATTTCTGTTGTATTATGTTTTTTTGAAGGATATTTCGATTATTTCAATATTACTTGATTAACTTATATATAGTCATTTCAAGTCTGCTGTCTATGAGTGAGTCTTTTGTATGAGTTTTGCATCGCAAAATAATAATCTGAATAAAAATCAAGAAAAATTGCATCTTAAGAAAATATTACATATGATTCAATAATATACATATATTTAAAAAATTTATATGGCAATATACATATACATAATATTGCGTAACAAGAAATTTACCTTTATCACTTCTCTTAAAATGAAGGCAATGTGTTCCTCTCGTATTTTTTTGTTACTTGCAATCATCCCGCGAACGAGATCCATGACTGTTCCACCCTCACAGAACTATAACATACCATATTTTGTAAGTTAATTATACACATTAGAGCTAAAAAATCTAAATTAGATGAAAAAAGTTAACAGCAAAATTGCGCCCATTTATCGAATTCAAACAAACTCATCATAAATATTATGTACGATTCATCGTTTATATGATGATGTGTAATAATTAATTTTTTTTACTTGTGACATAATTATGCAACCTGAGATTGATATACGTTAATTGAAATGCCATTCTAATTGCGGAAGTAATTTGAACCGTGAATAGGATTAGAATTAAGTTCCACGAGTACTTGTCCATGTTCGTCTTCTGAAAGCCTTTAGGTAAAATATCTTTGAAGATAGTTCTTCCGACCCTTAAATCCTTTTTCTTTCTTGTAATTTTTTGCTTAAATGTATATGAAACTTCCACTTTGATAATTTTTGAATGCTTCTTTGTTTGATTTTTTATTTGATACGTTTTGAAAGTTAATTCAGATAGCAAAAGATTATCGTAATCCATTTCTCCAGAAATTAAGCATTTAGAGAACATATAATCGAAAAGTGTAATAAACTTCGCGCATATGACTACAATTACACGAAACGTGCGGTAATTATGAGTAAACGTGATTCAACGCTTCATATATGTTAGCCTAGACTATCTCATGTGAATTACAGATTGTAACACAGATTCGGCCGTTCTCTTTCACGGCTTTAATCCACATTTTTTCAATTCTTTTGCTTCTTTTCTCAAATTAAAAGGATTGATTATTCTTCCTACACAGAATTATAACCGTATATAAAATGCTCACTAGAATGTTATACACAACCCAGATGTCTGATTACAGTTCTGTGTTCAGTTTTGCTAAAGTTAAATCACGAATATTGTATCCTATTCGTGACGATGAAGAACATCTTTCTCGTATTTTGCCCGTAGTATAGAGTCGCGAAAGGCTTTACCGAGGCCTTACGTTCGCGCCAATAAAGCTCGCTCGATATGAAATATCACCGGCGATAAATCCTTGCCACATTGTCGTTGTGTTTCTCTCTCTCTCTCTCTCTCTCTCTTCTCTTGGTGATCTCGGCGCTCGTTTCTGCTTGAGCGAACTTAAAGCCGATTGACTTACAAAACTGCTATTCGGTCCGCGCTGCACCGCCGACGAAGATGTGCCGCGTCTCCTTTCTATCGCTACACCAGCCTCCGCGCGGCCTGTTGCTCCTTTATTGCTTGTAATCTCCGGCAACGAGCAATCAGCGAGCTTAACGTAGCGACCGGCGACTCATTACGTTTCTTCGTTGCGGGTACTTAGCCCGTCTCCGAGCCACGCACGCGAGTTCGCTTGCCGAAGTGAATCATGAGATTCAGGCGGATTTCGTCGTTTTTCGACGTGTCCGCGCGTCGCTTTTGAATCTGCGCGAGACGTGAGGGGGAGAGATTGATCGAGAATGTGGGTGGTCGAAGTTAAAAATGTAAGAAATTCTCATGCGTCAAGAAAAAGGATATCGAATATCCTAATAAAGGTAAATTATATAAATGATAATGTAAAGAAAAGCGTCAAGAGTATGTTTTGTAATATGTTTTTATGCAAAATCATTTTGTAAATGTCCATAAAAAAGAAGTGTAATAAAAATGGCCTAATTGAAATCGGACAAAATTCCGCGGCTAGGACTTGTAATTACAAAATTCATTACAAGAGGCCTGTTCTTTACCACTCTACTGAATTGCACTAAAACTTTCTTTCTCTTTTTCGCTAAATTTCAAATAATATTTCATTTTAAGTACGACGAATGTACACTATAGTTACTTTTTTCTGTTTCTTTTTCTTTCTTTCTTTTATCAAATTAAGTCTGATTAATTAAGGAACTCAAATTGATGAAAAATAATATTTAAAAAAATTTTTATTCTAGAAATATTTATAATTTTTATTATTTTTACGTTTCAAAAAATATATTCCATTTTTTCGTGACAGAGTATAATTTTTAGAGTTAATATGTATAAAAGAAAGTAAATCTCAGTGCTATATCGTATAAATTTAGAAAGTTAATGAAACGGCTTTCGTTATAAGAAACTTTCTGTGCATCGACGTGTTCCGAACGGCAAAGGCGTGACCGAAAAGATCTCGAGTCCTGAGACAACTTGGTGGATTTTTCAGTGCGCGTATTACGTCAACTCTATCGTCGCTTTATCCGAGATAAGTAATAATGTTTCGGGACACCGCGGAGGTCCGTCCGTAAATTAGAGCCGCGACGTGCCGAGCCTCACCTGCGTACACGAACGAGTTTAATGATTGTTTAATGGGGGCGCGTGTGTCGTAAATTATCCGTGTATTCGACGGTTTCAAATGCTTGAAATTGCCTCCGGGTTCTGAGCACGGATATACACGGCAACCCTCACTTTCTCTCCCTCTCTTTTCACTGTCCTCCTTCAAACTCCTTCAAGCCGTCTTTCGTTCTGCATCTCTGTCTCCCTCCCTCCCCCTTGCATCCCACATTCTCTTTTTCCTTTTTTCTTTATCTTTCTCTTGTTGAAAAACTACAACGTTAAAGGAAACGCATTATAGGCGCGGCATTTGATAGGAACTTTGTTACGATTCCGATCTTTTTTCGGTAACAATAATAAAAATGATTGCAACGATAATAACGTCTTCGAATCGAGTGAGTTCACAAACATCCATTCACGATTCTAAGAAGTCATTTTACAATATCAAAAATATGTATAAACACATTAGACGTTAAACTGATCAATTTTTGAGGAAATTGAAGAAAACAAAACAAATATGATTCTTTGTCTTTACTAGATATACTTTAATAAAAAAATAAGGTAAAAATAATAAATTTTAGAAAAATGTGTGAATTGTGAAGAAAATTAGTTTAGGTCTTAAAATGGAACGTTAATCGCTTTATGACACATAAATTATATACCTTCATATTTCATACTTTACACAATCGTTAACTTTTATATTTCTCTATATAATTATCTTTTTATAATCTAGAGCTCCTACCTCCATGACGAACCATACTTCGTCGTATTCGGATTTCTTCGCTGATCGTCTGCGGTATATTCCGTAGAAGTCCGGTAGATTTGGATGACCGGCAAAATCACGAAGAATACGATATTCCTCCACAATCAAAGATTGCGTTTCAGGTGTGAGCTTTTGAATCTTGATGGCAACTTTTTTATTTCCTGAAACACAATCGATATGTATTAATCTTTGTGTGTGTACACTCTTTGCTGCGGCATATAGTAATTTTTCTATATTTCTCTATTTACATATTGCGATTTACAGTTTCATGATTTTATATTCATCCATGGATGTATATTCTTTTGCGTACCAGCTTGCTGATCAATCCCTTCGTAAACGTCGCCGCATATCCCGGTACCAATACGATCCTTCAGCGCATATCTTTTTCCCGGATCATGGATGCTGTCCAATCGTTTAAGAGTTACAGATCCTGTGTCCCGGTTCCTACTCCGATTTTCCATTTCGCTCTGTTCATTATCGTGCCAATCGTTACTTTCTCGTTGTTTTCCAGAATTAGAATCGTTCATTTTGCAGGTAGACAGCGCCTGAGAAATATGCTAGAATAGAAACCGAAATATCTATGTATTAACATTAATTGAAATATGCATATGCGAAAAAAATATTTTGTAAATGATAGTTTTTATGCAATTAAAAGATTTAAAACAATGTTAATATGTAGATTCCTTTGAAATAAAATTTTATTAATTTTATAGGACAATTAAATAATTAGATACATTAATTGCAGTTTAGAGTAGGCAGTACCATTTAATAAAAACGACGTTATATTAAAGCATTATATTAAAGTGATGATTACTTTATCAATCAAAACATGTAGTTTTCGTGATATAGATTGTCACACTAATTTCTGTATTGCTTCTTTTTTTTTTTCAGAAAACTGTTACTTATGGATATATATACGATGATAAAGCGCAATGTATCTTCACATCTTCAAAAAAAAAAATCACAACATTTTCTTCTTACAATCAAGTCGCAAGATCAAGGATGACTCTCCGCTCTTGGAATATTTTAAGAGACGTCAAGATTGGGTCGGTCGAGTGTTTTAGCAGCTTCCCCCTTCCTCGTCCCACAAAGGTGAGTGCTAATTATATTCTCTCTCGAGTGCCCCGTGAACGAGTGGTAATCGCTAATTAGTAGCTTGCTTCCTGAAAGCTTCGGCAGGCGTTGCCGAAGAAGGATGGGGCGAAGAAAGGATCGGAAAGGCGTCGTTGGCCACGAACCTGACTCGCATCCTTGTCTGTTTATCGATCGTACGTTTTAATCGAATTATACAAAGCTTGCGCGTTGAGATTTAATCGAATTCTTTTTACACAAACAGATTAAGACGCGTCGGAATTTTTCTCAGAATAAAAATTATTTTTCTTCAATCGTGAGACAAGGGTTAATTACAAGTCCGCGTTAAATTTATCATTCTCGTATCAGTAAACGTTTGCAATTTTGTTAATAAAATAAAATAAAATATAGTTTGTAAAACTAGGTGCTTGTTCTAAAAATGACCGCGATAAACTAATTCATAAACTTACGATTTATTTCTCGAACATATACTAAAATTTACTAAAATTTGTAGGGCTACAAAAATGTGTATAGGATAGATATGTAAGCCTACTTATCGCATATGTTATGATTGACATGTTATGGTTGACATAAAAGTATTTTAAACATGTGACAGCAAAATTATGCAATAATTATCTTTCGTATACATATTAAAATAGTACAGAATCTAGGATAGTAGACAGCAAAATTATGCAATAATTATCTTTTGCATACATATTAAAATAGTAAAGAATCTGGGTTAGTAGACAGTCAAGAGTTTTTGATTCCTGAAAATTTACTTTTAGATGTTTTCGTCTTATGCTTAACTTTAACATAATCCATTTATGAGTTACGTCGATTGTCTTCATTTCTCTTCTTTCGGACGCAGTTGATAAGCTTCATAAAAGCATCGTCGTTTCTAATTGGATTAGCATTCGAGATTTCAAATACTATCATACAAAACGCATAATCAAGATAGACAAGAATTCATAGACAAGAAGATATTTCTCATTTATTCTGCTTCTTTAAAAATTTAATTTTACTTTTGGACATGAAAGAACATGTTTTGTAGGACATTTCTGTGTAATTTTTATTTGTTGATGACTGTATGTATCATCTTGATATGCGATTACTTCAGTCAATTTAATTATACGCTTCGTTAATTATCGCGAATTAAGCGTTTACACCTTCGAGCTCTCGTAAAAAATTAAATCTGCCGTTTCCTTGACACGTATCCTCGGATCTCCGCGAACTCGTGTAAGTTCCCTAAGCTAACGCACAGGTTGGCAAGGAAGCCGCCGAGTACGCGGGGCGAGAAAAGAGAGGAGTCACGTCGTTAGCCAATTCATTTATTCCCGGTAGGTCGGCGCCCGTCCGGCATAATCCGTCGATTTGTCGGCACGGCGTGTCCCGTGTAATGCCGCTTCTTGCCGCTTGTAATCGAGTCGGAGGAAAGGAGAGCGACTCGAGCGAGAGGACGGCGCGTCACTGGCTATATGTGAACGGCCGTAAGAAAAGTCACTCGATCCGATCGAACGTTCCATCCTCCATCTTCTCCCTCCTCCTTCCGTTACTCCCGGCGCCCACCAGGATCTTCCTGACTCCGTCTCGCTGTGCCTCTGCACCATCCCTCTTTGTCCTGGGGCTGGTCCTGCGCCGCCTTTCTTTTCGCTTTGCACTCTGATGCCGGTGCAAGTTTATTGATACGGTGGGGCGCTAAATTATTGATGCCTGACTGCACGTCGCGAGACAACGAAGAAGGAAAGGAGGAGGTGGACGTGCAGACAGGGATCCTGTGATTTCAGAAAAAAGTTTTCCGCGTCACTCGGTCCATCACCGGTCTACCCGCCGCTCCTTCTCGCTGTCTTCGGCTCGTCCTCTCTTCTGCGTATTAAACAAGCGAGGTGAACTCGAGCCCGCGCTCTTTAAAAGGAAGGAAGAACTGCGGGACAACGAAACGTATGTTGTGAGAAAGTTTCGCGCGATATGTACGAGGAACCATTGCGAGGTATGTGTTAATAGGGATGAGTCCTACAATCTCTCTCTGATCTTTCCTCCCGACTTGGCTCCTTTCTGGGAAATTGATGCTTGTTATTCGTTTATGTTGCTTCATGGAAAACCGATTTGAATAATCACTACTTCTCGAGAGAGTTTATTATTACTATATCATTAGATAAATGCTGTTCCCGATTCTCTGTAAGTTTCCAGCGTCGCCATTGCTAAGAAGGAATATTACCATAGTGCCGATTATATATATATTTTTTTTTCTCAAAAACGATGGTAATTGGTAAGACCAAACCCAATCCTCCCATAGCATTACTGAAATTGAATCTAATCACACAACCGTGTTGAGTAACCGATTGATTGGTACATATCGGTACACGCAAGGTAACGGCAAGACGCAATGCCGCAAGGTAACCGCTGATCTGTTGCAACCTCCAGTTGCATTTCCCACGTGATCAATTGACGTATATGCAACGTATAGAGATCAATAGACTTCCCCGACATTCATTTCTGCGTTTCTGCGAAATCGTACGTTTGCTCCTCCAAAAAGCAGCTGTGGGAAAGTTGATATCTGCCCGGCCTGGAGGACGATTGCCTGCTACAGCGGAATGTTAGCACCGCGAATCCCTGGGAAGAAACGGCAACGGTAGTAGAGTGGCAGAAGAAAAAAGAGGAGGGAGAGGGAGGAGGAGGACAGGGGACCGAAAACGAGCGTCGTCGGATCCGACCGGACTCCGGGACCAGTTGAAAAGGGTCCGGGGCACTCCTCCCGCTGGAAAGCACCGCTGGTGAATCGCTTGACAAGTGGCTCGCTCGCTTCTCTCCCGTGCTCGTGCAAGAACCGTGCACTTACAGACGGCGCGGCATAGGCATCGTTAATCGTTCCGTTCCCTTTCCATTCCTTTTGTGGACCAATTATTATCATCGCAATTGAAATACTCAAGAGAACTTTCGCTTAGTTTCATAATGGATATGGTAAATTATTGCTCGCGAGTGACGTAGCAATTTTTCAAAATGTCATGAAATGCGCATAGTTAGCGCGAGTTGTTCCTTTGTTTCATTTTCCAATTTTTCCTTCTCTTTGTCTTTCTAAAATTGCATTTTGCAATTTGAAAAAGGTTTCTCGTTTTTGATGCAAGTATTCGCAAAGAAGCAATCGTCGCGTACGAGTCGAGTCTTTTCGCATGTTAGTTCGCGCTACTGATCGCGGCGTAGAAACGCGTATCGATCACGAAGGCGGGACGCCTTACGCGGGTTCTTGCTTCGCGCTTTACCCCTTTTATAGACGCTCTGCGATCGATGCTTTCGGCAGATAAAGTGTCAACCTGTTCGTAGATTCCGAGCTTGAAGTGTTGCAGTTCTCGCGTTTTTATTTCGAAAAATCGTGGCGATTGTACGCTATTTCCGTCAATTGATTTGAATTGGGCTAATTGATACCGGGAACCTGGTCGCTCGGTCTTTTCTTCGCCGCAGCTCATGTAACATTTCATCTCCCGGTGTATTTTTTGGGAGAATCGCGAGAAGCTCTTTTTCGGCATTTTTTCTTCTTTGTTTCGTTCTTCCATTTTAATAATGTCGAAAATGTTAATAACGAAGGTTATACGTTTCTTTTTACTTTGCTTTGAAACAACACACCCTGTCATGAAATATTTATAAATGGGAGATAAGTATACTTTGTATAATATTCTGCCACACGAAAATCGTATTGACAATCTTTTTTTAGTATACAATGTATTTGAAGTCCGTATTGTCATAATTTCAGAAGGCGACTTCTCGAAACTTCTTTGAAATTTAAGATCCAAAAGCCTCGATAAACATAGATCCTAAAACCAATAGTTTCCGAGAAATATAGGACGTTAAAGTTTCTCAAAAAAATCATATTTTCCTAAATATTTTAGGTTATATCTGAAATAAATCCATTAGATAGGTTCCAAGTTTTATGGATTTATATCAGATATAATCTAGCTGAGATATTTAAGAGAAAATTTTTTTTTAAAGAAAGATTTTTTTTTAGAAACATGTATCTCGAAAACTATTGGTTTTTTAAAGGACCTAACTGTTAAGGCTTTTAGGTTTTAAATGATCCGAAGAAGCGTCGAAGTCACGATATGGATTTAAAATATGCGCTGTATATTTTACCACTGTTATCACTTGAGCAGAAAAATAAAATAAAAATGATTATACCTGCACGTGTGTTGCGTAGTTAGCAATAAGTTAAATCGCGACACATTTTGTTTTATTAGTTTTCCAAGTACCGATTAACACTCTTCATGCGTCACACCTGCCACTCATCGACTTCGTTATTTTCTCGCGTATGCGCGACTTTTCTCGCACGGCCTTCGCATCATCCGCGGTACAGTGGGCGTGGTGACGACAAGAGGAGGGTGTGCGAAAATTGTACTTACTTACGTAAGGGACGCCGCTCTCTCTCTCTCAAGTCGTCCCGCGCGACGGAATTCACCTCTAATTAAAACGCGTCTAGCAAGTCGTGCAGGCCCCGCGGCGTTCACCCTTGCCAGTGCCAACTGCGACTAAGTCTACTACGCTGCATTTCGCTTGGGGTGACGGCCGTAGTATGTGAGGGATGCGAGCGCGATACTTGGGCTTCCATGATCCAATAATACCGACTTAATTAGCTAACTGTCTAACTCCAAGCACAAGCCTATTAGCTCATTGATTTCAGTCGCCAGTCTCTGCCGTCCAAACGTTTCACTATCGCATCCTCCTCCCTTGGAAATCCATTATTATCTTTCATTCGTCGTTATGAGGATCGTTTTAAGTTCCTATCGCGAATCGTCTGGATTGCATGAATGATCTTTGATTCTCTCCCCTTCTCTCGTTCTCGTCTTTCTCTCAGACTTTTCAAATTGCTCATCCAGGGATTGAGATACTTAATAAGTTCGCCGCGTGCGAACTTACTTATGCTTTTCAGTGCTTTCGCTTATCATTCGCAGACATCTTAATCTTTATTCATATAGAATATTTACGTGAGAAGAAATAATTATTTAATATTATTTAGGTTAATATTACGTCATGATAAATATTATCATGATGTAATATTATCCTAAATAGTATTAAATTATTTAGATTTAATATTATGATTTATTAAATATTATCATGATATAATATTAACCTAAATTGTTAAACAATTATTTCTTTGCGCGTGAATATTCTACGAATAAAGATCAATATTATTGTCATGATAAGTTAGAATAATAAAATCTGGAATTACAATTTTTTTTATTTATTTATTTATAGCACTTAATAAAAAGATAAAATAATAGCAAATATTATACCTTTTTATCGTTATACTTTTAATTGTTGCGCCATAAAATCCTTTTTCATTTTTTATTGATAGTTATGTTATAAGAAAAAGAATTAATATTTACTAGATTTTATTCTTTTCTTATATTGACAATAAACTCAAATACTAATTTTATAAAAAGAGAAATTTAATCACCCTTAACAGAGAAATTTTGTTTTGAAGAATTAAACAATACATATGTATAATATATATATATTCAGAAAAGTGTAAAAATTAATTGTTGCAATTTTGTCTTGAAATGCTATATAATTATGAAATTAACTTAGAATTAACGGTAACACTTGATAGATGTAATATTTGACGGTATCTAGTAATTTAGAGGGAGAACCGTGTCGGAACGTGAAGTTAGCACGTTATTTTTTAATTTTAATTGTTTTGATATTAAAAATGCGGAACATTTTTTTATGTTTATTAGAAACAGTAGAACTATAGAAAGTGCTATTGGAACTATTATTGGTTTTTAAAAATTATAACAAAATGTCGTGCTAACTTTATATAGATATCGCGGGTGTCATGTAAAACGGAAATGCATAATCATTACGAATCTAATAATAAACAAATCAAAGGAAATAAATAAGTCAAATAAATAAGTAAGAGAAACAATTACGTTATATGAACGTTCTCGTTCTTCGGATCGATGTATGGAAAAAGATCTCGGGGCGGCGCGCGCGCGCGATTAATGCGTTTTATCGCGGCTTCTTCAGGATCGTCCTGGTCGCTGTCGCCGTCAAAAGGAGCCGCTCGCCGTTCGTGGGACTGTGGCAATTAATGCCGATGCGCGCTTTATCACTCCTTCTTGCTTCCCGAGTGTTTCCTTGGATTTCGACGTTTTATCGCGAACGCGTACCACTACCACTTTGCTTAACACTCATCAACTTAGTAGTTTGTTATACGCGTGAGCTTATAAAAGATTTTATATCTTCGAGAGCTTATTAAAAAGTAATTAACCTTCTTTTGCTTGTGAGGACAAAAATAACTTGATAATCTACCGGAGTTTGTGATAATCGATGATATTTTAATATCAAAATAATTGAGCTAATCTGAAGATTTATAGCGGTTCTTCTTTAGATTAGAGGAGAAATAAATTAAATTATAAAATATATAATAATGATGAAAGAAATTGGGCGCGAAGCCCGCGCCTCTAATGCTAATTTGGTATAAAAATAATCTGCAAGCATCGTATTATCGAAATATAACAATTTCCGATTTTGTTGTTAAGGGAGATCGGGCAAGGGAACTTAGAGCACGCGGTGCTGTCGGCCGAGATAAATTATTAGCAACAAAATCGGAAACTGTTATATTAAAGCAATGAGATTAAAGTAATTAAATATCAAATAAATATATAGGAAATAATTCCCACGTAAGTCACATTCGATTGTGCTGCAGTGGTTACGAAAACTTTCATCTTAAAGCTAGCGCAGCCATTGTTTTTTTCCGAAACGGCTCTAGGAAAAAAATCGGGATTTGCGCGATTAATTAGCGAGTAAACAGGAGGTAATTATTTAATTGTTCTTAAGTGGCTGTGCCAGCTTAATAGACGTAGCAATGTTATTTTTTGTAAATGTTTTAATGCTATTCTTGGAGCAACAAAAAACAACAAAATCTAGTGAAATAAAACTGATAATTGAATATCTATGTTGTTATCTATGGCAATATGAAATGAAGATAAAGTTACATATATATATCCTGGAAATTTATTATTATAAGAATTTATCTTAGAGCTATCATTAATTTAGCTTGGTTCTCATGAGTCATTTCTATACTGATCACATACGAGTTGCGCGAATCATGAAATTTTATCTGACCGTTTTGTTTACGCCGTTCACCTATATAAAGTTTCTATATAAAATTATACATTTTTGTTTTTATTTCTTGGGCTGTTATATTTTTTATTATTTTTTTTTTAATTTGAATCCTTTTTACTGGTTTTGTTTTTTTGTTCTCACATTTTATTCTATCGATAATTGCGAAAGACTAATCATCGTTTATGATAAAGTTTGTATTGTTCACATTTTGAATTATTAGCAGTTTATATTTAAAAAAAATTGATATCAATGTATTCATGTTATGATTTGAATTATAGTCGCGGAATTAAATAATTAAAAATTTGAACTGATTAGGATATGATTTTTTACATAAGGAAAAGATAGTATATTAAAGTATTCTTATGCCAAATTATTAATTTTTAAAAGCATTGACATTAGGTATAAAATTGGATATAAAAAAACATCGTAAAAGTAGCTATTTCACTTACCTCTTTACTACAATATAAAAAAATTCATCGGTAGTCAGCCGATAAAATGGTGTGTTTTTTATTACAGATTTCTAGAAATCTGTTGTTATATTTTTTTGTCATTATCTAATAGTATGTCTTTATATAATATTTAAATCTGGTAATTAGATGACGTTGTGCAGTAATATAGGTGATAATAGTGCAAGTGTGTTGTCAGACAGACATATAATTATAGGAATGACGTAGTAAGGCAATTAGCCTTGATTGTTAACTCCGCGGCTCAGGTTAAATGCACTTTTTTTTCTATCTAAAGATGGGATTGGCATAGATCTTTCCAAGATTTTAATGCGCATTTGTTTATAATGGACTTTAATAAAAAGAAAAAGCGCATATTTCAATGATTCGGGTGAGGCAATCGGAAAGAAATATACTAAAGATATTTCTAAAAATAAAAATATTATTCGGACTAATAACTCGATATAATTTGAGAAAACATCTGAAAAATGGATAAGATAGGGGATATTGTTTGAAGGAACTCTCTTTATTGTACGCGCATTATTAAATTGTGTACAATCGTGTCCGTCAAGCAGGACACGCTTTTCGTCTAATAATACTGTGCTGGAGGTTTTACAGTTCACGTAGAAGTTATAAAATTAAATATTAAATAGAGCGTCGTTATAAATAAATTATAAGTTTACTTAGCCTATGAATCATTTTATATTACTCATGCCATTACGGAATAGTTTGCGCAAGATCTCTCCTAATGCGATTGGACTTCTAATGCGATTGATTCACGTTTCTCTGCTACTCAATCCAGTCGTTCGCAGACGATTGGTAAATCAAAAGTATAATTTCCGTAATCGACGTTTAGTATAGAGCATGGTTTTATGTCAGTCAGTTTTGTGTAGTTTTTCACCACATCAAAAATCGTTTACGCTAAAATTCGAGACTCTTTAATAATGTACAAATTTTTACATAAAAATTTACTTTTTTTTTCAATGAGAATTAAAACAATTTCTCAAAATACAATTAATATGTTACTTTAGCATAAAAACATGATTTTGAAAGAGGACAAATAACCTGTCGACAAAGTAAAAAATTGTATTATTTAATTATATAATTAATATAAATATAATCGCATTTAAAGATTTCTTGGTCCTCGTTACATTAAATCGATTTAATTTTACTAACAAAAGATTATCTTTCTATTACATTCGCAGAGATTCGAAATTAGCAGACAGATTCACTGATCCGATATCATGATAGTCCACGAAAAAGTGTCTGATAATTCTGGTTTCAATAAGAACCGTATTATTAATTCTACTTATGTGTCCCTTGATCGATTCTTGCAAACGAAGTTCGTTCAACGAATAGCCTCGTCGCGCACATCTCCCGGCGAATTTCCGGGGCTAATTTCTTCTCTTATTGAATCGACGATGTGTATATCTTTCTCGTCGGCTCGATTGCGGAAAGGAAGATCAAAAGCTTCACGTCAATTTCCGTCAGTCTTAGACTTCCGTCTTGTGTTTTTCGCTTCCTCCGTTCCCTCTTATTTGCAAACCGTGATCCACTCCTCCACCGTGCAATTCTGACACTGCACGTAGCAGCACCAGTGAAACTTGCATCTGCACCGCTCCGTTCGCCGCTGCCGCACCACGTTATAGCCCCTGCCGCAGCACAGACTGGCGCACCCGTCCCCGCCGGTGCTGGTCTTGTTGCATCTGCGACCAGCGGTGCCGGCGACGTCGATCGTCGGATCCCGCTCGCAGAAGTTCGGCGACTTCTGGTAATAGTAGAGCTGCTTGGGGAGATCCCGGAGTTTCCTCTTGCGGCCGCCCCCGCGATGCTTCTTCTGCTTCTGCCGCCGACGAGATCCTCGAATCCTGTTCGATGGTATCACGCCGCCCAGATTGCTCTGCGTCACTAATACAGCGTTCCTGAAACGGTCCTTCAGGGCCTTGCCGATTATCCGGAAGTCTGGGACGATTTTCCAGCAGGTTTTCAGTTCACATGACCCGGACATGCCGTGGCACTTGCAGCGTCTCTGCATGTTGTTCGCCAACGCCTGCAAATGTCGAATTGTGAATGATTAGTCATGACACGTGAATGAAATCGAAATTAAGAATATAAAAGTTGGTTTCTTTATTTCCCGCTAATTATGTTACTTATGTTAAATACTTCTTTTTAGACATGGAAATTCAAATTTTTCCAGGAAAGATCATTTATTGTCGTTGTTATGAAAAAAAATACTTTAATATCTCGTTTTAATATCTCTTTAATGAACTTTTCTGAAAACTTTTATATTTTCTATATCGGTCACTCATTATTCAAAAACTCCTTCCTTCCCCCACATCTTTGTTGAGCAAAATCCAAATCAATTCCAATTGGTTTAAGAATCTATGAAAAAAAACCGCGGTCAACCGCACTCAAGTTGGAGAACACTTTGTATATATCGACAGTTCTGAGCGATAAAGTTTCGCTAAAAAGTCGCTTTCACGTCGGTTGACTTTGTACAAAACGGTTGATCGACTTTTTCATTTGCGCCTGCCACGGTCTCTTTTTCGTGCGGGTTGCCTTCGGTCCAGCGGACAAGGCGGGCGGAATCGAATCCTTCCCTCAAATTGCGATATCCGCGATACCGCCGTTGTGACGTCGGCTGAAAAACGCCGGTTCTAACACGCTGTACAAACAGGTACGAGTCGTTCGGATGTGCGGGGTGCGCAGAGCGGTCAAGAGGGTAAGAGGGGAGGTGAGGGGAGAGAGGAGGGCCCAGTTTCTTTTAAACAAAGAGGTGTCGCGTACAAAACAGTTAATGAGTCTACGGCTGGGTGGTCCAGCCCGGGGCTTCGTCTTAATAACGTCGAGGCGAGAGAGCGAGCGTGGAGAGGTCCATGAAGGAGAGGAGAAGAGTCGGTTTCTCTCTACCTTTTCCTCTCTCTCTCTCTCTCTCTCTTTCTTTCACACAGTTCGTTTCTCTCCGTTCTTCTTTCTTTCTGGTTTCTTTTTCGTTCTTTTATCTCAGCGACGGGAGGGAGGGAAGAAGACCGCGCATCGCTAAAAAGTAAAAGCCAGAGGAAAGACAGAACAATGAAGGAAGGACGAAGAGAAGGGAATCGTGCGCAAGATAACTTCAAGCTCTCTCACGGACCTACGCACGACGGCGTGCGCGCTACATTATTCGCGGACGGACGCGGCACGCGATTGCGAATTCGCTTCCTCTCGGGATTCCCCGACGACCGTTTAACGGTACATTTCTTGCGCGCGCCTGCTTTAAGATGGGCGCATCATTTATCGTGGGATACTGTCTGTATATATGTATAACGAGGACTGTAATAAGAAGATGATAATCTCGTTATAGTAACTTATGTTAAAATGTAGCTCAGCTTTCTCCGTCAATAGGATCGTTCGATGTTTGCGCACATGTAGCTTATCTACATAACGAGTAATAAGGCAGAGTAATAGACAGAGGAATATTGCCCGAAGAAATAAGAGCGGAATTTTATAAGAGCGAGAGATAAAGTTAAAGCAAGTGAGAAACTAAATAATTATAATAATGAACAACTTCCTTTAATTACGTAAGCTGAATGGAAGATGTATACAAGTTCCTTAATTGTTACTTAATTGTTACTTAAGTTTACTTAATTGTTCGTCTTTTCTCAAACACGAACAATTAAGAATTATATAAGAATACAGTAATTTATTGCATAATGTTCCTCAAATTGGATTATGTATTGTATTTTTATTCACGTCATATTTTTCTCTCTAACACATTTTAACACATCGCAATATCGAAATGGAAGATGAAAAAGTCTTTCATTTAGATTAATAATCTTACATTAAGATTATAAATGAGACACGTGATTATAAGTGAGACACGTAATATTTCTTCTTCCTCTCTATTTCCTCGTGAATATGCTCGTGCCCGGAGTTTAACGATGTCGAAGTTGCGAAAGTAGCGCTTACCAGACGACCGGCTTGATTATTGTGTAGATTCACCGTAGACTGTATGTCGCCGGCTTTCTCCCGCGTGTCTAGGAACTGCCTCGAGAATTCCATGCCGTATTCGAGGTTGTGTGAACAACCACCCCACTTCCACGAGACGTCTCCGGTAGTTGTTGGCGTATTATCTCTATAGCTCAAAGGATCGCAGCTGCAGGAGAGCAGGCGGCCCATGCTGCAGGCACGAGCCACGTTGTGAGCCACGCCAGCTGCCGAAATCGCGTAGGCAAACGCCGTCTCTCTGTAGCCTGTAACAGAGTATGATCGATGGTCAACTACGACATTTTATTCCACCTTTATCTTGTCAAAGCTGTCTTGTCAAAAAGTAAATCAGCCCTTCCGTGATCTACGTACAAAATTAATATACAAGGTGCACCTTTTTTGCATCTTTCTCGCATCTTTAAGTACTTTTCTCAGACAAAAATGTCGAGATTTTAATAGTTTCCGTATTAAACAATTGCAGAAATATTTTATTGATTAAATCCGAAAATGGACAATAGGTTTATTTAGTTTATCATACGTTGATCTTTCGATATGATAACGCGAACGTGGTGATATATTAAACAGAATTAGAACCGTTAGGTACTTGTAATGTTGGATGCACACAGGACGCGGCAACGCTTGCCGCACGGCGGAAGTTGGCATGGCGAGAAGAAAGTGATTTTCCTATTTCAAAATATATCCACATTTTACTAAAAATTAAGTACTATTGGCTCCTACATGCAGAACGCCGCGGCGGCTACTGCCGCACGGAAAAGTTGAACTCCATTGAACTTTTTCCGCGTGGCGGAAATTATATATCTATTTATTTCCGGGCAAGTGAGACGTTGATTGGATACCGCGGTATATTCCCTAGCCAACTTCCGCCGCGCGGCAAGCGTTGCCGCGTTCTGTGTGCATTCAGCATAAGTAGTTGTTTGAGATAGGATGCATCCAAGCATCCGGGGGGAGACACCCGTACCTCAGTTGTCTCCGTTAGCAAATTGCTGGTCATCGTCAACGACACCGACGACGACGACGACAACGACGACGGCGACGACGACGACGACGACGGACACGACGTGCATAATATACGCAAGACTGCGATATCGCGTTCGCTCTCCTCTCCTCTCCGTGGATAAAGGCAGAGATCATGAAACAGCGGGACACCGGGGAAGCCGAGCTTCCGTAGAAGGAACTTCGGTAGCGAGTTCGGGACAGAACGAAACGATGGGCCGACAGACAGACAGCCATCAGGCGCAGTTCAGAGGTAGATTATTCAGCCGTCCGTCAAAACAAAGTGCGGCCATCAGCAACGGCGGCCGGCGGGCATCCACTGTCCGCATGTATAAACGATCTCGCGACGGGGTGCCTGAAGCGATACGATGCCAAACTCCGTCCCCGCGAGAGGTCTGCGGACAAATCGCGATTTCTCGCCCGATTCCACGCGAAAATCGCGAACAGCCGCGAGATATCTTCTAATTTTACCAGCAACAACATAATAGACTGAAGATGTCTAACTTTTTCAACTTTTAATACCATTTAGTTAGAATTTTTAATATTTTACATTAACATTTTTATTGTTGATGTAAATTTTAATTAAATATTTAAAAATATGTTACATTATAAATGGATGTAAATTCGAGATTAAAAAGAGAAATATTGTACTATAAAAATTATTTACGCGTATTCTTTAAATATTTGTAGAGAGCGAAGATAAAATGGAAATTAGATGACAGTTTTAAAGAGTTACTTATTGGTTTACTGTGATAAGTAATGCGATATCGAATGTAGTTTTTCTGTGGGCCCTTCGAGAGCTCTTAGAATCTCCAAGACATCTTCAGATCCGATTGATGGACAGACATTCGCGAAGCTGCTTTGGTGACTGTTAACTTACAAACGAACGATGCACAACTACCTTACCTAACTAGGAATAGAATGATTTTTTTTCTTTTTTTCGTGACAATTATCTATTTTCATTGCGTTGGTAAATATATTAGGACAATTTTAAAATATTCATGACAAATGATAAAATTGATAAAGTGAGAAATTTGAAAATTAAAAAAAAAAATTAATCACTGAAGAACTAAAAATTTAAAAAAGTAACTTTTTATCAGCAGAAAATAAGTAAAAGAAGTTACACAACGTACGTGAAGAAATTACATGAAATATTCATTCTAATCACATGAGCTTCCAATAGCTTGCAATTAGTATAAGATTATATTATAATATGCGCTAAAGTGTTTAATATTTAAATTATTAAAATGGAACTTTGGCTTTTTCGTTACCATACTGGGAGTATGTTGTAAGCGACGAATATGAACGACAGTGAAATATCTCTTCAGTCATTGTCAACTGTTACTAGATTACCCGACGACATGGATTCATTGGATCCAATGGATCGTTGTTCAGTGTAGAAGACAATCGGACAGCTGGCAGCTGATTACGTCGCTCTTCGTCGACCGCATTCGACGATGTTAAAAAGACTTCTCCGTGCAGCTCGAAGGTCGTCACTGACCAAAGCATTTCTTCGAGATTCCCCAGACCGATAGGAACGTCGGGGATGGAAATCAGGGTGGATCCACTAGTTTTCGACGAATACCGAATTGAACTCGATATCGCGACTTGACGCCCAGAATGCTAGTCTCGATATCGAGAAGCGCACGTCGTTCGATGGGATGAGACGGAACGAAGCGAGGAGGGGCCCTTTATGTGGTCTTACAGTGGGAGAGGTGGTTGGAAGCTTTCGCTATATACGGGTATTGGCAGCAACTGTTTTATAATGCAGATAGCTACCGTGCCGCGAGACCGTCGTTGTTTCTCGACAGCGAGAGGGACGGAGGGAGCGCGTAATAAATCCTCCACGGGTAGTTGTACGTCTCTCCTCTCACCGGACAGTGGAGAACCCGAAGTGGAAGATAGGGAAGAATCTCCCGAGGAACGCGCAGCGATCTCTGGCTCCCTTCGTCTCTCGTCGCAGCAGCCGTGGTGCAGCGACGTTGTGACGAATGGTGCACAGGCCTTGCGCTACTCCCGCGTGTCAGATCCAAATCGCTATTTAGATAACTCAATAGATAGTGCTCGGGGGAGGTCCCGCAAGGACACGCGTATCCTTTGAGTGTAGCTAGTTCGAAGACAGATATCAAATGGGTTTAATAGATATCAAGTTCATTCAATTAATTTTTCCGTCTTATCTCTACTTTTATTTTTAAACAATTGTCAAAAACAATCTAGATGTTTTAAGGATAAGTAAAATATTTATTTTATTTGCAAATATATATTTTATAATTACAGATACAAGATATTGAGAAATCTTTTTATTAAGCTTGCAGTTATCGTTATATGCTTCATAAGATATAGGGAGAATTAAATAATTGAAAGCTGCAGTTACTTTTATTATTCGTTAATATTTTACGGTGATAAGTCAAATACAATAAATGTTTATTACAAAAAAATTTTTATATTTCTGCGATTTGTTGCACATTTATTAATTATTGCAAATTATTAACAGTTTAACGTTGTTGAAACTTTTATGTAAATGATATCGGCTGAATCGCTATTTAGGTGACTCAATAGACAGCACGCTCGATAGACTCGTGTAAGAATGCTATAGGTGTTCTTTGTGTCTTCAGAGTAAGGATGTATAAATCCAAACGCAACAGATTTGTTTAATGACATCATTTTCTTCGATTCGACACAGAAGTTATTTACTACTTCTGCGGATGCTCGGTGGTTCTTTAATTAATACAGGAAAAGAAAATTGATTAGTCGGTTTATAAGCAGTGAGACTAGACTGACCATCATCTTTGTTTTCTAACGAGGATTTAATGAGTTCCACATTAATCACGTACGAGCATTTTTCATTTTTATGAAATCCCTTGATATTAGAATTAAAAAAAAATAATAGAAAGAAGAGCCTTCTTTTTGACATTTCTATATTTATATCTATAAATCCAGTTGTCGTGGAGCATCGTCGGTATGGGCAACGCGACAGCCGGTCCGATCTTCTTGTGTGGGCCCTACGCTTCGGCCGGAGCGGTCGAAGATCGGTTCCGTGTACTTTTCATAATACATTAAGTCGTTTTGCTGAAGTCCGACGAAATTGTGACGATAGGTGAGAGAAACCAGGACAGGGGGGAAAGCAGGGTGGCGTTGAGAGCAACGAGAGGGCAAGAGAACCGTGTCTGAGTGACTTGAGCTATGAACGGCTCTTCTCGAGATGCCGGACCCGAGGCCCAAATTTGACACGGTGGATTTCTCGAATGATCGCGGACCATCTCTCCACCTGGCCACCGATATCTTAAAAAGGGACAGTGGGTTGTTAGACGCGCCTGCTGAGGTACAAGCTTCTCAGAAGCTATTGCCCTCTGACTCGAGAACCAAAATCTAATAATGGCCGGTTGGTTGTCGCCAATGTTACGGATAATCGGCGAATCGCGAATCTTTTACACGCTTGAGCTCACAGTAAGACGAATACGAGAAAGCTTTTGTTGTGCGTGAACATTTGCGAGTGATGCAGCTTTGCACAATGAAGGAAGGTCTTCTGCGGCAATCTATACGACGTAAAGATTTAAACATTTATAAGTTGTAATATTTAGTTTATCTAATGTATAGTTCGCTTGTTTTTTAACTTTCCATTTTCTAAAAATTTTACGCGACAAACCAAACAGAATTAACGTGATAGGAACAAAGACGGTTTACCGAGTTTTTTTTCGCGAAGCGCTAAAAAGGTGACTGCACTCGTGAAAGAGTAAGCTTCGTCTTATTAGAATTCTACAATCGGTCGGACGCGGGCCGCTTTACATAACTCTCGAAAAAGTCGTGGAATCGACACCTTCTCCTGTCTCGTGAGCAAGAAAAGGCGTACCGATTCACGGAGGCAGATAACGAGGGCCCGAATGGAGAAGCGGGGGCCCCCAGGTCTGCGGACGAGCTTAAGCTTTCAGGTCAGGTGCGCCCGATGTCGCGCTCTCGCGCATTCGTCCGACACGATATATGTTTCCTCTTGCGGCGCACGTACGCGCCACGACGAATTTATATGTCACACCGGAATAGGCCGACCGTGGGGGCAGGGTCTTCTTATGGAATTGGGACAGGTTTTCGGGGTATGCCGCGGGTAGGTTATGCCGTGCGCTTTGATTTAAGGAAACGCGTCGTCTCGGCCTCGCCTCGCCTACGCCGCGCGCCGTCCCGTCAACGACGTCATAAAAGATTCCACTTTGTCCAAGAAACTCGTACGCAGCAATTATATGATGAGAAATTGCCCAGAACTTTTGTTGTAGATTTGCGAAATATCACTGTGAAATTTTCCAATTATATTCAATTGTTTAGCGTGTTTCGTTCTGTGATTGTTTCAAATATATGCGTGTAAAGATATCTTTCATAGCTATAATGTTTCTAATAGATTGTATTTATATTTTATTAATAACATAAAGTATATATTTTATTATATAATAACTAGTATCGTCGATGGTTATAAATTTGTAAATTTAATTTCTTTACCGCTACTCCATTAATAGGTAAAACATTTGAATTTACATTTGTTCGTAAGAATGATTTATTATACAGAATAATTTAACTTTTTTTAATATTTTTAAAAAATTACTTAGAATATTTATCTCTGAAATTACATTGTTTCCGGGAAATTACAATGTCTGTGGCATAAAAACTTTCGATTGTGTATTATTTTTTACATAATTTTAACAGACATTTTAGTTTCTTAATGGGGTCTATATTTCATTCATTTGTATTTATAGCGCGAACCGAGACGAATTTAATGATCTAGGAAGCATTAATACGCCATTAGCAGGCAGGTAGATTATTAATCACGAGTTCACATCTGATCAGATAATTTCGCTCGTTAAGTATTCTTAGTACCTCGTTGAAGAAGGACGCTGCTCTGTTGAGTTCTGCTGTTGGACGTGAGGGACGAACAGTTCCACCTGTGCCACATGAACTGATGTTGACACTCGGACACGGCCAATTGCAGCCCCTTGATCGCGGCTACGGTAACATCGGAATTTCTATAGCAAAGCTCGCGCTGGTCCTTCGTTAATCCTGGAATGCCGTTACAGACGACATTGTTGCTATTCATCCAATCATCCACGGAATTGCTCATTAGGCAGGTTGCGCTGAAAAAGGTAGCAAAATGATAATCGACGTTAATTTCTTTGATGTGATTATCATTAAGATACTAGGCGATGATTGAATATGTAAAATAGGACAAGGTATAATTCTTCTTTTTAATCGAGATTAGATGAGCTGAAAAAAAATATACCAAATAAACATGATCTTTTTTTCTCGGTTCTACGTTTAATACAGAAATCATAAAATGCAATTCGATAATGTTACTCCACGATTTTAAAGTTATCTAAAAAAAGCGATTTAAAAACAAAATGAACGCCAGACTATTGTACGTAATTAGTTTCAATTCGATTTTGATTGCGAGTTTTGAATAGCGAGGCATATATATGGTTTTTCCATGAAAGCGGCTGCGTTTGATTCATTTGAGTGTTTTAGACTCCAAATACGACTGGAGGTATTCCTCATGCTCATGATATATCATGACCTTTGCTTTCAATGTCCCCTTGATATTCTCATGTTCTTATATATTTATCTATCTTCGTTCCTTTGATAGCTCATGTTTATTTATCCTGTTCCCAATTATCGATTTCCCGATCGATATGGATCGCTGTAGAATCGATTAAACAGACATTATCATTTTTTTTTATATCATCAAATCTTGGTGAAAATTCTGATATCTTTGTAGAAATTAACAAGAACGAAAGTGTGATAAGCTGCAAGTATTTACCGTCAAGTTAGAACTCGCATCATAGTCTTTTCATCGCCGTTACTTCTCTTCTCAGTTGCGAACGTACATATTAGTTTAGCATGTGTCGAGTGTAATTAGTGACGACGTGCGGAAGCAGGGAAGCAGCCGGTCAAGCTCGCCACCTGGTTAAACTCGCGAAACTGATTATCGTTGAGTTCTTCGCTGATAACGGTGTGCAAGCAATTACACTACGGATAATCATCGGTATTGAGACACTATAGAAAATATCGATGTTTTATGACGAGCACGAATAGGGACTGTGTATTTAGATTCTTTCCTGAAACGAACTATTCAGTTCAACCTTGTTAATTATTTATAGAATATCTTCGCAACTTTGCTTGTAATGAATTTTTAAAATGACGGCGTTATTTTTCAAATCTTTATTTCTATTTAATATCCTATTTGTGTATCGTTTAACAGCAATAGCTTTTAGCAAACGTACTTAATTGACGATTAAATGGATAGCTGTATCGATGTTTGTTTTAAGCGGCGATTTCTAAGTTTCACACTCGGAATGTTAATGGAAACGCTTGTGCGAAGGCATCGAATATCGAGAGCCGGGGCCGGCTTGCATCTCGCTCGAATCTGCAAGGTGCAGCACTAATCGCGGCGGTCTGGAGCACCGGTTTTACGGTCGCGCGCGGCTGCACGGCGGGCACTTTCGCGCACGCGTGCACCGCACGCGAGCGTCCGTTTTCCTTCGATTTTACGAGGCCGAGGTCAAGAGGTGCGAACGTTCTCAAAGAGCCGATAAAACCGTTTCTATCTTGCCGTCTGTTTTCTGCCAACGCGCGTCTCGCACCGAGGAAGGAGGCGGCGGAGGGAAAGGGCCCACGCGTTCGGCTCTACCCCGGTTCCACTCTCCGTCCTGTCCATGTTCCCATCCCCCGCTCGGTCGCGATAACGGCATCCATCTCTTGAAAGAGGAGCTCTTAAAGCGCTATCTTAAGCGACGGCTGCTGCCTAATGGCCACGTATTACGGCGTACCGGGTGTTAATTAATTTCGAGGTGAAAAAAAAGAAGAAGCGAGCGTACGTGCGTGTTCTATACGTCTGGATCACGTGTGTCGAGAGCGTGCGTCGGTTCATTGAAAGAGAGAAAGAAAGAGAGAGAGAGGGAGGGGGGGGGAGAGAAGGGTTGTTCGTTTCGTTGTCGCTGCACAAGACCAGCAAAGTCGTCATTTCCTATGTTACTGCATGACTTTATCAAAAGAACGCTCCGTTATTTACAGTTAATAAATAATAAGCTATAAACTGAAACTTCTTTATCCGAATTTCGTTGGATTAACCTACTGCTCTTTCGAGTTGCGCTTTCTTTGTACGTGAATTTGATCCTTTGAAATTTTTAAGTTTTAAAAGTGCTTCAATATATTTTACAGTCTTTAATAAGTTATTTTTTATATAAGAAAGATGATGAAGAATGCGCAAGTATTTTTGCAAATATCGAAACAAAAATTATTCCGTAATAATAAAATAAAATTATATTCCGTTTTCTTATCTAGCAATCTATTTTCAAAAGTGTTTAAAGCAGTAAATATTAAATACGAACAATATCAAAAATTTTTTCATGATACGAACAATCGTAGCGATTGATATCAGTGCAGAATAATTTCGTGAAAATTAATGTAGATCGTTGAAACGTGAACATATGGCCGAAGTTTCCTATCGACGATCATTGGAACTCGCAAGATTGGCCAGCAGCGCGAAAAAAATCGCCGCAGTCTTCCTCACGATCATTAATCTGCTCGCAGCGTTTCGAAGCGGTTTATTTTTTCCTCGGAGGGATCCTCGGTGGAGTCGTACAGGGTCCTGCAGGATGTCATGGGCGGGTGCAAGGCTCTTCGTGGGTCGCTTGGTTATCTGCGGGTACAAATTAGCGGACGAGCTTCTTCTAAAGTAAAAGCTGTGTATAGCACCCGCGTGAACGAAGAAAGAGGAGCAAGACGAAGAAGTCGGCGACAGCGAACTCGAGGTGGATAGAGGAAGGCGAGGACGGGTTGGAGGGGCGGGGGAGGAAGGGAGGGAGGGAGAGGGGGGGGAGAATGGGCACAGTAATAAGAAGAAAAGGTAAAAAGGTCCTGGCGCGATACTACGTAGTGTGGGAAAGAACGACGCGAAGGGGGTGGGGAGGGGGAGGGGGCGCGGGGTTTTAGGGTCGCGGAGGTTATTGAGAGCTCCCATTACCGGTACACCGTTGCACCGCTGCTATCTTTCGCGCTATTGATGATCTACCGAAAGCAGATTAATGATCTTAACTCCCCCAACAAATTACGGAAGACACCGCGTACCTGCGGAGGAAGTTGGATTATATCAAGAGATTCCTTTCGCTACCTCTCGTCGTCGGCTTCCCCGGCTCGGTGTGCATGCGTCTCACTTCGCGAATAAGAAACGAGCCGGGTACGTAAGGCAATTATTCCGCCGGACCCTTCAAAGCGATCGTTTTGTTGAAGCTGCGGATATTTGTTTGCTAATCGGATACGATTATCATTAAGTTTAATTACCACGTAAACTTTTAATCCGCCCAGAGGATAATCTTTTCGAATGCGTTTCTTAATATGTACGTGTGATTAAAAATGAATGATGATGTCGCTCGTTATATGGAGCATTTTTGTGATAATTTTTTTTCGTTACATTTATAGATATAAAACAAACTTTTTTCAGAATATTTTTCAAACTAGTAAAACTATAATACTAACAAATTCTACTGCAGTTAAAAGGATGATCCTCTATGAAATCATAATCGTGAAGTGTTGAAAAATGTAGCTAATCGTTTATTAACGCATGCACAGCTCACATTATGTTTATTCTCCCAGACCAAGTGTGTGATTATTTTGTCACAGCACCGATTAAGAGATAAGATTTTAAATAAATAGAAGATCCTTTATTTTATGAGAAATACCGGGCTTTCTATTAATAATGACGTGCATTTAAAGTTGTATTTAAAAGTTAAAGCAATAATTAATTGCAACGCATTAAGATCGATTTATTGCACAGACGATGGGCGTTGTGCTTTTATCAACGACCGTTATAGTTTCGTTTCGCTTCGGGTGCTCGATCTCATGGGAATCCGCTGGGCAAATCGGAGACGAGATACGCGAGCGCGTGTCCCGCATTTTTGCAATAATCTAAGGGGTCGCAGAAGAATCCAAGATGGCAACATCGCGGGGATGCGCGTGTTTTATTTAATCCCTCCCTCCCTCCCCTACCATCCTGCTCGCGGAGATGAGAGAGGAACACGGCGCGGAATTTCGCGTCTAATGGGATATATAGCCAGTGGGAAGAGAGAGAACTCGCCTTTTTTCACGATCCGACCCGCGAGAATACCTGCGGTAGATATCGCATGGTGTCCCGCGCTCTTTCCTCGATCTTATGAGAGTAAATCGATTTCACGGCGAGTACATTGTCGGGAGTGCGATAGGCCGCGAATTACGTTCTGCAGATGGTATCTATAGCGGCGTAAGTTATGGCGACCCTGTAACTCCGCGATAAAGCTGGATTCTCATCTAGTTCGTCAATTACGAGCGATCTCATAGGATATTCACGTTATGAAGTCTCCATTTGTTAATAAACATTCGGGATTCTGCTAACTTCTCTTCGATAATACGATTTCCTTGAAGATGATATCATTTGGAACCGTGAATGGTATATATATAACCGCGAATTATCACTCATGTTAATGTCGCACGTATCTAGGCTTTCTTAGAATGATTTCTTTAATTTTCAATTGTATGTCTCATTTAAAAACTAATGTTAGTCACAATAGATTTTATCGAATTGATTACATTTTGTATATTATTTAAATCAATGCAAAATGAAATTTTAATCTTGCATGGAGAGAATTTCCTTTTAAAATTTACTCCGAAAATCATGTTAATTGTGAGACAATATAGTATTTAGGTAAATTTTACTGTGCACTACAATAAATTTTACTGCGAAATCTTATTGTAGTGCACAGTAAAATTTGCCTAAATACTATATTGTCCCATAATTAACATAATTTGCAGGATAAATTTAAAAAAAATTCTCTCCGTGTGGAAACTATCAATACAAGTAATATATTCACATACTTTATACTCATGAATTGTGAATTGTGTCTATCGAGGCCATTAAAAAAAATTTAAGAATAGAGTTTGTCAATTATATTTTTTTATTTTAATATACAGAGCTACGAAATATCGTAAAGTTTGCTGATTCTTAAACGTATATACTAAATTCTATTAGTAAGATTTGAAGTGTATATATATATGTATATATAAAGTAGCGTATCAAACTCTTTTATTAGACATTTTCTTGTTAAGATTTTATTTGCGATGTGGGAATCCGCGCAACAAAAAGTGCGCGCATTACGGCGTATCAGGGAAAGCCGCGTGCACGCGTGTCAAGACGTTAATGACGCGCGCGAACCAGTTTATTGACTATTATATCATCAGAACTGTAATTCAATGCCGTCCCGCGAGTCCGGCTCGCAATAAGCGGTCGCGTATGTGAACATATGTACGTGGATTTACTCACACGCGCGAACGCACGTCCTGTTCCCGGATGCTAGGTGTAATTATTTACAAGAAGCCGCATATGGGTCTCGGAGAAGAGGCCGTATCGATGCCGTTGCCATTGACGAAGAATCGCTCGTGTGTATACATTTCGAGAACTTGCGGCGAATGATTGGCGATTATCCGGTACGATATCACACACCGGACGTCAACAAACGAGGAATGTATCACGAAACCTCCGCAATTATAAAATTAATTACTTGGCACTTTTATATGCGCGATACCGGATTTTATGATTATAGCGTCTGTGATTGAAAGCTTTATAAGCTTTGCTGAGCGGTGATCTTGTTGTTTATCAACGTAACGACTTCGTGATGAGAATCTTGAGTGTTGTATAAGTTAATGGGAGAGAATATTATTATGGTAATATTATTAATGTAAAATACACACCAAGGAGCTCTTTAAAAGAATCAACGTTTCTCAGTTAATTTTATTTAAACTTGTGTGCACTCTCCGTTTGTTCTTGAGATTACCTAAGATAATTATAGTTACAGAAGTTTTTAACAAACTATGCAGTATTTTGTATGTGCATTTGTCGACATCTCTGTCGCATCAAAGCAATCTCTACCTTTCAATCTGCGATTTCGCATTGCCTGAGAATCGTCGCTTCACCAAAATCGCTTTTCGCGAGAAAAAAAAAATTTGTTCGGGATGATCCTGCTGCACAAGGCGCGATTAGTATTACGGAGAGGTATAATAAAGATCACAGCGGGATTCATTCTTCGTGATGTGGAGTTCGGTTGGAACGGTCTATTTGCACTTCGTCATTGTGAGCGCCTCTCTTTCGAACCGTCGATACGACCGCCGGGTCGAAGAAGCGCACCCTATTGACGGATTCTTTCCGCAGAGACAGAGAGAGAGAGAGAGATAGAGAGAGAGTGTGTCGAGAGAAGGATGCGTCAGGAGCACAGAAGATGCACCATGAAAAAAAGAGGGCGAAGAAGCTGGCCGTGCTACCGCGCTCGTAAATTTTTCTCGGCGAGATTAGACACGGGCGAGCCCGTTGCTCGTTGCAGCTTCTCCTCGGTTGTCCCGTGACATTGTCGTGTACTTTCCATCGCGGTGTGGACAACGTGCATTTCGTGAGCGAGTTCGCGATTTGTAGCGCTCCGTCGCAACGGACGGACAAAGCGGGCGAGAGTGACGTTTTGACGTCTGCATTATGGTGCATCGCGGCGCATCGGAGTATCGTGTGGATCGAAGCACGGGAGAGAAACGGGCTCTCCGGAAGAGTGTTTTCACGACGACGACGTCGCTGAAGTGCGAAGTGATGGGGAAGAAGGTAGATGAAGAGAACGCGAGAAGGATCGTAGTGACGTGAATTACTAATCAATCACGAGGGATAGATGAGATGCTTAAGCGAAAATAGATTGGTTGATGTTGAACTACAGTGAACTACGAACACATGTAATGAATACGTTAACGAATTTGCATAATTTAAGAATATTAAGGCACATACTTTGACAGTTATTTTGCAAATGTGATACGTACAAGAAACCTGTGTGTACGCCACGATGGCGTATTTATTACTTATAATTATTAGAGATGAAATCAATATTTCAAATTTTTATTCCTGAAGATATACACGGAAGATGTATTAGGACCGTATATTTTATAACAATATATTTTTTATTTAAAAATGGAATTTAAAGACATTGATATTTAAATTAAATACTATTCATATTCAATGATATGATAAAATGTCATTGATATTTATAATGTCGATAGTTTTAATAAACCTGCGATTATTTAATTCTGATAATTATAATTATAATGCGATATTATAAATTAAACGAGCACAATTGAAATACTAAGTTTTTTAGTATTATTAACAAGTAACTTAAACAACATAACTTATAGAATAAAATAATAAATATAAAAAAGAATAAAAATGTAAAGTTTTAAAGGTGTGAAATCGAAATATACTTTATATGTACTACGATTTTGATCACTGGCATTGATGTTTCTACAAATGATATTTTGACGTTTAGAGGAAATTAAGGAAATTCAATCGTTAGATCATAGAGGTGCTCACCGGCGATGCTCAAAGAGAATCAGCAGCAGAGCGACGGTAGGGCCGATCCTGGTGGCGATCCTGGACGGCGATCCTTCGTATGCACGTCCTGTACGAGACGGAGGCATCCTGTCATTGCCCCGAGGACGTTTTCTCTTCTTTGCGCGGTTTGCCCACTTTAAAAGAGTTGAGTGCGACCCTTCGTCCAGGGTTGCACACCCCTAGCACCCGAACGGAAGGACCCCTCGTTCGAGATGATGCTGAAGCTGCTCCCGTTCTTTATCTCCCTTCCTCTCTCCGTTTTCCTCGCCCTTTCTCTCTCGCTCTCTCTGCGTTTGTCTTTCTCTTTCTCTCCCTGTACTCTCCGGTCCCTCTCCTACTCTTCTCGCCGCGGTGCCTGTGATCAGCAGCCTGGCACGCGTCGAGAACTGCTCCTCGCCCCGGGCACCGGCGCTTCTCCTTTGACGTTCCGTACGACGACTCGAGAGCTCCCAGTTTTGCTGCTTCGAGGGTGCGTTTCGAAAACTACCCCGGGACAATATTCCGCGGCGATCGGGCGATTCATCGAGCGTGTACGCGTCTCGATTTCGGCTCTCGTCGCCAACTTATTGCGTCGGCTCACTTGCCGTATGACGAGATTCGTTCTCGACGTGTAATCACCTTCCTTTTCGTGACTCGTTCGTCTGGTAATGACACTTCGCTATTCTTTGATTGAACCACTTACACATAAGTTCCCATTAGAGAGGTCTCTCCGTTACATTTGTCAACAAGAGCTATGTGAAATCTTCAAGGCGACTTCGCTGAATCTTGTTAGATACACTTATCTTTGGAGGAAAAATACTGTCGAGGTTCTCCAAGAACAAAACGTGGAAAATTGAAGCCTAACGTTCTCCAAGTTTCGTCGAGGCATACGGTGAGATCACTATCACTACAGGCCTTGTCGCACCGGCTTTATTCCCGTCTTTGGCATTCTCTTCGGTGCTGAATGAATACTCCAACATAGCTTGCCCCTGGATTCGCTTATCCGATTTGCACCTCAAAGTTGTAGATCACGATACCCTTCTCGGTAAAATCTATCCGAAGATCCGGTAACATCCTGTCGTTCTTTCACCCTCTGGATATGTTAATCTTCGTCTTCTTTTGCTTTCTTCGGTAACAAGGTCCAGGCATATTAGTTGATCTTTCGATGCATTGGGCAGACGAAGAGAGAAGGGCTTACACGATACTTCCGGTATATGTGCGCTCGCGGCGAAGTGTCAAGCTCAAATAAAAGAAAAGTCGCCCTCCGGATTCTCCTACTCCTCCCACACACGGACCATCACGATCTCCCCCTACCCCGCCTCGCGGTTACAGGTCCTCTTCTTCTTTCTTCTCAACCACCGCCTCTTCTTCTTCCACCGTGGGCTCCTTCCTCTGCCTCTCTCCCTCGTAACCGCGCCTATCTCTCGCTTCGCTCTCGTGCAAACAGTCAAATAGCAAACTTCCCGCGATCGTCACGCTCGGTGCGACGGTGACGACAGAGCCAGGCGAGGCTTTGAGGATTGCGGAAGAAGAAAACGTCGAGAGTCGGATAGGAGGGGGAGGAAAAGAAGAGAATCCGTTTCGTGAAGGACTCTAGGAGTAGAGGTGTTAATGCGTTTGATCGGATCGCGTTTGCGGGGTGAGAAGATTCATGTCGAGGGAAGGGTATGATCAAAGATAGGCCGCCGTTTGTCGAGAAGCTGCACATGAGACAGAGAGGAAGTAGTTTCGTGAAAATGTCTGGCAGCACAATGAATTGAAAATTGAACTGTATAGCGATTAGAGATAAACTGCCCGATCGAGGAACGCGAGAAGGTCACGCACTTTCGTTATCCCCGTTACTCTCCTCTCCTACGTTCGCTGACACCGACACCACGCTACTGTAAAGCCGGAGAGATAGACAGAATCTGGATGATTCCGCCTCTGTTCAAGACCGACGAGAAGCTGTCAGGGAGATCGCTCTGTCTATGATGAACTCGGTGCGCAGTGCGCGGCTACGGGGGCCCTCCTCGCCCTCCCATAGGGAGAGAAAGGAGAGATAGGGAGCAGTATAGGCACGAAGGAACCAACTACCCCCCCACCATAGCCACCACCATCCGGACACGACCACCACCACCGTCGGCCACCACCCTGTGATTCGGTATGAGAGACGAAGAGGGACGAATGAAACCACCTAGACAAAGACGACGTGACGACGCGAGACTGTGATAGAAGGAGAGAAATAATGGAGGCAGAACGCGCGCGAGAAGGAGGAAGATGGAAAAATGCGTGGACCATAGACTGTTCCTACATTTCTCTTTTCCCCTTTTTCTCCCACTTCGGATCCTTTTTCTCACTTTCGGTGTTACTTCGTCGTAGACTCTCGACAGATAGTTCGAAAATGCCTCCCCTTGAACCAACAGGTACACTAGCATTCGCAAGTTAAATTTTTGCTTAGTGTGTTTATCGTAGCGTGAAATATTTATTTTCTCTTCTTAGTCTTGTATGTATTTCTTCATTGAGATTTATAGTTATAGATACATTCTGGACCATTGACATTATTTTATTTTCTATTTCATTACTTATTATTTTCTATCATTATCTATTTTATAACATTTCGTATCGGTAGATAGAAGAATCTTTTATACTTTGAATTGTAAGAAAATCAATTAGTTTGAAGAAAAATAGAAAGATAGACAGCAAATAAAAAAGTTTAGTAAGTAAAATTGTTTCCATACAGTCGGTACACTAATTAATTATAGTATTAAATTTTCAATTATTTATTATATAATCGATTGCTTGAGCTATTTCGTTCAATTGTTAAATGAAAGATAATATCCATTTAAATATTCTCTCCGCATCTTTACGACTAATTGAAACGAATGCAATCTCTTGTGCATCCGAACATCTTTGACGTGCATCTCTCGCTTCATTATCGTACGAACAGATAGATCATCTTCGCGTCTCGAGACGCATTACCCTACTCCCGAAGGATCTTACCCTCTAGATCGAAAGGAAGAAAAGCAGGCAGGAAGGAAGGAAGGTTGTCTGAGATCACGTGACAGGACAAGTAGGAGGAGCGAAATTCCCCTACCTAGCATCACTTGGAGGAGTCAATCGGCATAATTGAGGCTTATCTTCCTCCCTTACACAAACAGCCGTCCGCCTACTCTCATCCCCTCTCTTCCTTGAATCTTTCCTTGAATTCATGAACAGAGAATGTAAAGAATGTCATTGATATTATTTTACCAACGATCATTTTTGCCAATGAAATAAAGAGACGAATTTTTGTATTAATTATTAATATAGATATTTAAAATTCTCCAAGTTATTTTTTTACGCGACAATGAATATCGATGTTAAACAGAATACTAAGACAATTTTTGCATTATTTTTTCAAGCAGTATATGATACACTTGTTTCTTCAAGATAACTTTTAATCGTTAAAAAATAATAATATAAATTTATAATTTCGTTATAAATGTAGAGATCGATGCATTTATACTTATAAAATCTATCTGTCACTTACATATATCTACAGCTTTTTTTTTATCGTTCAAGCATAAAAAACGAAACGGACGAGAATAAATTCCTGAATCGAAATACTTATGGCATTGACTATTTAATGTGCCCTAGCTAGTACATTTCTCTCTAAAGCCAATTAGCAGTGCATCCAATATAATATAATCCGTCGTACGAAGATCTCGGTCGATATTGCGATCATCGTGAGCTGTAGCGAGGGGAGCAGAGCTCCCTGTGTCTACTTTCCCCGTTATCCCCTTGCCTTCGATTTCTCTCGTCGACGCGATGTGGAAGAGCAGATTTCATTGACGTGGTCGCTGAGCTGGCAATTAGCCGCAACGACCCCGGCTCGTATACCATGCTTGTAGTCACCCCACTGTGCCACGTGGTCGAAGATCAAACGACATCCTGGCACAAAGCGCAGCCAGCTGGGTTCTCTCTCTCGATAATCGGCAGCGACGCCGATCACATGGACCGCGATGAATCCGTGGTGGTGGTCCGTTTGGTCACCCTCGCTCGCGACCTTTGACCTACGCTTAATTAGGATTCCACACGATGGCGAAAACAGGTGTGTAATTCGGCAATCGGACACAATTAGCGAAACCGTTAGATCAGACAGATGAAAGGGCGAAGATCAATTTTTGGATAAGGAGTAACTAAGAAAGTGAAATTAATTTCGAATTAGTTTAGTTATCATTTGTTTATGTTAATGGAAGGTTGGATTAATAATAATAAGAAAAAGAATTTATGTCACGTTACTCTACTTCACTGAGTGCCTTATGAAAAATTTATTTAATTGCAGGAGTACGGATAATTTGATTTAATTAACTTTACGATATTCAATTTTAACAGTTTTACCGTAGAAATATAAAAAGAGACGGAAACAAATTTGCCTAATTAGGTTTAGTCTTAACTCACTGCGCGCGGTGCAAGCGCGGGTTCCACGGCTGTCGCGGTTCGGCCGTAAACGCGAATCAGCGCAACCTTGTTATCGCATGCTCCGAAACTAACGAGCAGCGTCTGTCTGTACCTTATGGCGCTCACCGTTATCTCGCATGCCACGGAATTATAGGCAGATCGGGCGGCGATTTATCGGCCATTTACCGCGGCGCATACGCCGCTGGACACGTGGTTCCTTTTGCCTCGCGGATGAGCCACGTTCCATTCGTTTCGTAGAGGGACACTCATTGCCTGGTCTCGATACCTCGTCCCGATAACATCGTCCGTACTTCCAGAGGAACCACTGGAAGCGCACTTCTGCTCGATCTCGTCTCTCGCCTTCTCTCTCTCTCTCTTTCTCCCTCTCTTTCCTCGTCTCTTCTAGAGCGTGTATCTTCTGTCATCCTATCAAGGTGCATTACTTATCGAGCTATCGAGTGTCCTGACCGTGATCCTGGCACGCGAGCGCTGATACGATCGGGGCCGCTCGATCATCCTATCGCCGCGCAATGTGCCGTCGCTCGGCAACCTAATTGGCCGACTTGAAAAAAAAAGGTACGAAATCCTACCATGAAGGGCGAAGTGTAAAAGGGAGGGAGAGAGAGAGAGAGAGAGAGAGAGAGAGGAGAAAAGACGATGTCGTGCACGTTACCAATATCTGCGGTAGAATTCTCATAAGATTCACTCGAGATCCGGCATTTCGGTCAAGCCAGGGATGGTTGG